AAAATAAGCGTACGTCATAGATTTTATGAATATAGAGTCTAAAAAGAAATAGTAGGTCTGTTTATCTTGTCTCTAAATTAACCTGGTAAGTATGAGATCCAGCTATGTAAAAGTCGATACATAAATATTTATATATATGCAGGAGAGTAACGGTGAATCGAAGCTCACTAAAACAAATTCTCCGCAGCCCATTTCGAGGCTTACACGAGCCAATCATGCTCATCTCGACGTAGTACTTAAAGACTCGCTCTACTGCCTGACTCACAGGTCAAACCAGAGTCAGACTCACTCTCACGTCAGACTCCCTCTCAGGTCAGAGTCACTTCCAGATCAGACGATAACCAGACTCATTCTTACGTCATACTCACTACCAGGTCAGTCGAGTTCCCAGGCCAGTGCCAGACACACTCCTGGGCTAGAGTCATTCCCAAGTCAAACGGGAGTCAGATTCAGCTTCACGTCAGATTCTCTCTCAGGTCAGACTCGCTCCTAGGTCAAAGCGGAGACAGAGCGGTCACAGTCACTTCAACGTCTCATCAGAGGCAGACTTACTACGTAGGAAAATTTTTCACAATGGTTATGGTTAGAATTGGCAGAGAGGCGTGCTTATGACTAATGCAAAATAATTCTTAAACCGTAGCTTGCTCTTAAAACGGCGATTTTGGAGTGTATTATTGTCTTGTTCTGTATATTCTGACAGTGGTTTAGGGTACTGACTTTACTATGTTACGACGTTACTTGTGATAATTTCTTGTGAAAACCCAAATGAAATGACCATCACTGGCTACTACTCGTTTTAACTGAGATTTTCTTGGCTATAGCGAGAAACTCGCCATAAATAATGCCATTTCATTGGACAATTTCTTTGTTACTAATAAGAGCTCCTGTTTAGAGAAGACAGGCTTCGAGGAGAGAAAGATATTCATTTGCCCGTCTTGGGCACTGCTTTGGAAATGATTTGGTACTTTTTGGAAATTAACAAGGGTTTCAATGACCCCCAAAAACTCAAACGCAACCCAAATTGTTTCTCTTTCAAAGAGGCAAGCATCATGCAGACGACTGTGGTAATGGCAATAAGTATGATATGGATTATGTTGATGGTGATTATTATTATTACGAATATTATTGTGATGCTCTTATGAGTATAATACGAGATGCGATGATTTAGTTTAATGGCAATCAGTATAAAAGGCTACTATCTCTTATATACTTTATCGGAATACAATCTTAATAACTTTACATTGCCCGCTACGACAGCAAACAGTGATAAGAAAGCGTTGTAGTGGATTAGCTTTGCCCGAGGAGAAAACAAAAGCAAGAAAGACCATGAACTTATAATGAAGTTAGTGAGTAACTTTGTAAAAGAATGACGAAAAGCAACCAGAAAAAACAGTTAAAGGAGTAATGAAATAAACTAATAAAGCCACTTAAAGATTGATGGAACGTCTGTCAATTCTATTAGAGATAATTACATATGAAAAGTTTTCCTAAGAAAGATGAAAGGCAGTTCTGTTCCTTTAGACATTGATTGAAAATGAAAGAATTTCATTTCCAATAGCGTAACGGTATAGAACCCAACTCATGATAGGAAGTTATGTAAAGGTCAAGTCCAGGCTCCTAAGAGGAGAGACGGGGCTTCGAGCCAAAGTCGGCTGCCATAGGTCCCTATTAAGTTATTTGGTTCTAAACAAACCTTATAAAATGTTACGTTTTATTCGTCCTACAGACATATGTAGACATGTTTAGGTTAAGTCCACAAAAAGTTTTAGGTTTGGGGAAGGGTCAAAGTTCATTGGAAAACTCTGAACGTTTATCCTGGGGGTACTGGAAGCCCCTGTAAGCAGGGAAAGGGGGCAAAGTGCCTCAAGGCATTGAGGTCTAGAGGGCCTCAAAAAGTAATGAAATCTATTTTAAGAATGAAATTAATGAAACGTAGCAAAAGTATGCCTAAAAATAGTAAAACGCTCTAAAAGATTGCAAGAAATGAGTGCAAAAAATATTCTGAAATGTATTTTAAGATAATCTAAAGGGCGTGGTCGCAAAAAATTTCTGCTCGCTCCACTTGCAGGGGGCCTCGTCTTTCGGTTTTGCCCCAAGTCCTCCGAAACCTATTGGCGGCCCTGCCTATAAGATCTGCTCATACAAACTAAGGCTCAATTCAAACATGCTGAGCTATTTGAAGAAATGAGGGTATCTCATTGCTCAAAACTTGACTTCTAGAGTAAAATCAAAGTTGCTAACGAGAACAAACTCTTTGATAAAAAATCAACTGCATCAAAATGCCACACTCAAAAATGATATATTTTAGGCCACGCCCTATTTTGTCGGCAAATTGGTGACTGGCACCCCCCCCTCAGTGAAAGTTTTTAGCGACGGTCTTATTAATCTTGTTGTGGAAATCATTCAGGATAATTTCATTTTCGTCGTTTTGCCTATGATTGCCACAGCCTCGCCAAATCCCATTGACGGAAGCAAAGAATCTTTGCTGAACTATCCCTCAATCGCGTAAAATTTTATTCAATATGAAAATTACATTATGGATTTCTCAACCAGGAAAAGAAAAGCCGTACCCCTTTGCCTGCTCTTGAATATTTGGCTAAAATTCCTGAAACACATTAATTAGTCTTGGCATAATTAAAAAAAACAGAATCTTAACAATTTGGCATTTTTGGATGATATCAGGGGCAACGACAGAATTAATGCCCAAAATATCAAAATTGTGATGAAATCTAGAAAAATGCGACAAACACTTAAATTTTGTAAATATGGATGGCACCAAATTCTTGTTGAAATAACAACAATTAGCATTCAGTCTGACACATTTCGTACAACTATTTCCAGAATCCTACTGGCAGAAATCTCGTTTTGGTTAGCCTCATTTTATTTTTTAACGTAGCAACAATGATTTCTCGTACGATCTCTACTAGGCAGGGGGGATTTCTCCTTGTGAAACTGATAATAAAACTCTTTTTCACTTCCAAGTTGAATTACAAGCTCTTTTATGTGCCATTTTTTAGTCAGTAAATGCGGAGTCGAAGCGGGGGCTCAAAGTCCTCTTTTTCTTTGAATGAACATGGCACAAAAACGTTTACTTTAATGAAAGATTCACCATTCACGCATGCAATTATTGAGGTATAAACACCAAAGCCAAAAATTAGCGAGGAAATCAGTGAGGTAGAATACTTCCTGAATACTAACAATACTAGCATAATAACATAAACTAGCACTATACTAGCATAATAACATAGAGGTAGAATACGAACATAAACCCAACTAAAGTGGATGATATCTTCATTACCCTGGGTACCAGACTCACTTTATAAAAAATAAAACGATTGTTTTATATAGAGTGAGTCTGGTACCCAGGGTATATTTTCATCAACTAACAAGAGCCTGTGTTACTTGGCCAGTGGCCGTTTAAAATTTTCCTTAAAGCCAGTATCATGGCTTTGAATATATAAGCAAATGTCTACTTTATACTATTGCTGAATGTATTGACTTTTCATTGAAATATCGGCATTGAACTTGCCTTCTGTAACTTATAACATATCATTGGTGACACTAAAAAGTGCTGTTTTGTAGCCCTGACCGACGATATCTCGCTCTCCGTTTCCTGCCGCTGTTGACGGAGGGTGCGGGAAATCACATCATGGAAAAATCCTTTTTGTGTTTATAAAACTTTAGAAAATAGCAAGAGGATGCAAAAGCCATCTTTGAATGTTTTAGGAATATTAAGGGGTGTAAGCAATAGTATTACAACGAGGCTAAACTGTTAATGAATGTGGCAAACAAACTAGCTCTCTAAATTTCGATTCACAGTATCACGGCTTATGATGGCGTAAATCTGAACCAAATAAAAACGGAAATTCGATACGCAAGTGGATGTTGCTGAAATAGATTAAAAAGTCTGCCATTTACATTGGATCGCCCAATCTTAAGACTGCCATGCCGTTAAACATGAATTGAAAAACGGAGAACAAAAAACCTTGCCTTACAACGTACATAACGTACTTTCCAAGAATTGGCCTATACAAGGATTCGGCTTGGTAGCTTGGTGCCAAATGGAAAGGGCGCGCCAGAGAAATTTAGTCCAAAACTACAATTGAAGTATTTATCCTTCATAGCTTCAAGCGGATACAGCAATCGTCTGCTAAAATGAGGAAATTCTGTTTTCGTCTGCCCCATTTGGCATTGCAATCTGCCTAAACTAGTCATTAACTTCTGTGCTTAGTTTATGATGAGCAAGTGCGAAACACATAAAAAGAAAATAAGGTATATATGTCGTACCCACCGAAGATCTGCAATGAAACTTCAGGACCGTATTTTGCCTTTGTAACAGACGGTGCCACGGGTAAGTGTCTCAAGGGTGACTGTCAAACAACAACTTTTTGTTCGTATGGAATCCGCCTGCTTTGGTCGAAATTGGCTTTGTGAATACGTTTTTGTTCTTGCTCATCTCGCATGTATCGGAAAAACGAATAAACTTCAATAGCCAATAACAATAAGTCTTTGTATAATGGACAAGAGGCTTTTCAAGCATATGAAAAGGCTTTTTCAATGAAAATCAGTTAACCAGACAATGAGAATTTTGAATTAAAACAACACCAAAGTGATAACTTAGTGTCTCACAATGCAAATTCTGCGGAGGAGCAATCGATAGTAATCTTTGACAAAGTAACAAGGGTTGCATTTAAAACGTTATTTCTCATTGTCGAATTCAGCAATCTCATTCTCTCCTTTGAAAAATATTGATTTACGTCACAAAATTTGGGGGGAGGGGGGTTGCGGGAGTGGTAGTATTCGTGAAAAGAAATGAAAGATCTAAATGGACAGGGAAGGTCCAGGGGGCATGGTCCCAGGCCCCGCGCTTATGATGGCCCCGGGCCCCGCAGTCCCTAAAACCGCCACCGTAAATGGAAGATAACATAAGGTTCAATGCGTTTGCTGGTTTAAAGGCTCAAAAAGTCAGAGCAACACCCATTGATTTAAAGGCAGTTGGAGAAAGCACAGAAAACAGCTTATAACTACGTATTTATTGTACAGGGAACAAATTCGTGAAATTAGACAAGTTTGTTTTGAACAAAACACAAGTGTCACAATTCGTACAATTGACTATCGCGTAAGCAAACAAAGATATTCATATCTTCCGGTGATGTAATAATTATAACAAGTAACATACTCAATATATGCATATCATTACTTTAATCAGTCTCTTTCTGTAGTATATCTTCACCAGATCACAGTCAATTAAACATCACAAACAACTGAAGATCATCTATTCAACGGTTATTTGTAGAGTCATTTAGTTTAATCTAAACTATAACTCATTATATCGTACGTACAATATTTGGCACAAAACAGTCGTACTGGATGATGAGTAGCTGGGAAATTGGTTGTTGGATATTTGCATGAATGAGAAAGGGGCGGTGCAGCATGCATAGCAGGACACGGTGGTAGCCGCAATTAGTCCTAAAATAATTAAATTGTGATATTGCTGGAATTAGGCGGATATCTCATCACATTTTACGATCCAACTATTGGCTGCCATTCACCTGATTGCCCTTCTACATGCAGGTTCGTCTTTAGGTAGAGACATAATTCTAGGGACAATGGTACCTGACTGGGACACTTGGTATCTCTAAATGTTTAGTTATATTTTCGAAAGACAATTTTAGAAATCAAGTCGTCATTTGCCCTTTACACGACAGGCTATAAAAAATATAGTATTATTTGCATAAACTAAACGTTTTTTAAATAATCTGGTTGATTAATCATATGGTTCAGTTGCGGATACTTCGATGTGTTGGAAATATACACCCTTACCAGACTGTCAAGATACTCTAGAACATTCTAGCTTAATCTTTCACATCATTCTAGTATATTCGTAGTATTTGCTCATTTCTATTTTCTGCAATAATAATTACTTCTGCTTTCTCAAACATTCTGGAACAATACTTTTCTAGAAACTTCTAGAACATTACAATAAACATATAAAAGAGCATTGCTGTATTAGGTTAGTTAGTTGTTCATATTATTACCTCTGTGTTAATCAAACTGCGTTAGTCTGTGAATACCTTCAACACGATGTTAATCTATATGATGGTGGGAGAATAGCACAAGGGGTCGGGCACATTTTTGATTTAGGGATCGCAAACTGGGAGACACTTGGCAAACACGGTTAGCAATCTTCTTGATGTCAACACTTTCAAATTCAGTTTCATGGTGAACAAGCATGTCTTATAAAAACATTATTCTTGAGAACCCTTTCAGATTGCAAAAAAGCAGAAATCATTAGAGCATTTGTACTTTATTTTCAATTGTTTCTATTATCGTATTGCGCGTATACGGAAGGTAGGTAAATAGTGTCTTAAAATAAAGAAAGTTGGCAGTTTTAGCTGCCATGGCTCTCTTGATGCCCCAAAAACTGTATCATTAAAAAGCTGCTTGCTTGCCCACCATCCAAGGTTCCGCCACTCGTAGCTTGTAACGAAAAGCTAGTTATTTTTTCAAGATGTCTAAATCCAGGTCTTGGGGTTTCAATATTTCTAAATACTATCTACTTGGTAGAGTCCAAGGTTTTTTTCATTGGCTTCATCGAAGTCAAGCTGCCGGGCGGCCCTAAGGGGGAGGCTTATCCTTTGCGAATCATCGTGCTCGATCGGCACTTTTTCCATATCCTTAGGCACATCATACTTTTTCTCGCAGCACCATTTGTAAAAACGGTTCTGAATTTCTTGCTTTTTGACTTCATCACTGGCGTCACGACAGTAGACCCGTATATACTGATCGTTGAAAGATTTTACGAAGTGTCGGTCTTCCTGGAACATTGACCCAGGTGAGATCTCAACCAGGGTCCCTTCCTTATTGATGAAGTCAATGTTCTCCAGAGGGTCATTCTTTCCATCCCCATAGACAATTGATATTACCTCCACCAAAATGTCATCTTCTATGATGTCTATCTTCAATTTCTGCCACTGGGCAATCTGTTTTGCTACTTGTTTGCAGATCTGATGATGCTCACGAGTCTCAAATCGTCGTGGAGGAAAACTACATCGTCGTTGGCGGGATGTTACAGCATGCTGCTGACCAGCTGGGGATCCTTCAACTCCAGAGTCTACAGCATCATCTTCCATTATACCATTTCCTTCTAAGGGCTGCAGACTGGTTTGACCACAGAACTGGTAAAGCTTTCTCTCATTTATTCTCTTTAGGATCATCTTGGCTTCTTTCAATTTTTGGTCGCCTTTATCATCCTCAAACATTATCCGATAAATGATGTTGTCGGATAGCTTCATCAGCTTTTCTGGATTATCTTTCGCTTCTGATATTTCGAAGTGAGAGTCTGCATTATACATAGCTTCAGCAAACATCATTTCAATAGCTCTTGTTGTCTTGTGGGTGTACACAAGAGACTGCAGCGCCCAGGAGGAGTAGTACAATTCGCGAACTGCAAGCCGCTCCTTATATCTGATGCAAAGCCTGTTTTGGTCTTTTACCTGAAATTACATAATCCACAATTAACCTTTCAAGAAGAGTCTCGAAATCGAATAGTCAGCACTATTGAGTCATAATAATATTTTTAAAACAAACGATTTCATTAGCTATGTAATTTTAAAAAATTGGGGCCTTTGACTACCAATGAAAATATTAAAAAAGATGCTGTCATTGCAAGAAGCTGAAAAGAGAAATTTTAGAGCGCTTTATTAAACCAATAACTAGTTGTTCTTTCCAAACCTGGACTCCATAACTTTCACATCACTTACATTTCTCCTTTCCATTTCTGTATTGGAAAAATAAATGGTGTAGGGCCAATGGCAGCTTATGCTAAACTTTTTCAGAGAAAAGATATGCCGTTTATTCAATAGGAGATTAGATTATTGTTACGTTTCCATTTTTAAGGGTTTTATGTGCGTTTGCAGCAGTAACTCTATCTTCCATTATAATCGGTCTCAAGTTATTTCTTGTTTTAAGAATACTAATCATAAGCAGTTGCAAGTTCTTCATGTAAGCTGCCACACTAAGGTCCTCCACTATCAATGTTCCGAAATCATAAACATCACCTCTGTGTGCAGTTCGTTAAGACTTTTCACGAAGATGATTTTTCATTTTGCCTAGGGCTCTGTTACAAAACACCCATACTTAGTAGAAGAAAGTAAGTTCAACGGTGACCGGCAACTGTGAACAGTTCTCATAACTTGTTTGAGATTTCCAAGCCCATAAAAATTGAAATATGGGACAGAAGAACGTGTAGCTCCTGGCTTGCTTTCTTGCATAAGAAAATCATTTGTGGTTTAAAAGATTACATTTTATCCAATGTGACACCGTTAACTTTGTAGCGGTCTCTACAATGGTTCTGCCGTCAACTATATTACATATGAACTACTTTCTTTTATTTATTGTATATAGTTAAATGACATTTTCCCAATTTTAATCTCGATTCCATTTAGACAAGTTATGCAATTGTCTAATATTCTTAATTTTCTTGTTCCATAGTTATGTCATCCATGTAAATCATGCTGTCTAACAGAATGAATAAGACAGATCTGAAGGCAGATCTTTGTCCACACGGCAGTTTGAAGTTTTAAGTAGTTAAATGGCTTCAAAGTGACGTAAGAAGCAATGTTCTAGCTCTAGGTCTAGCGTAGGCATCAATATTAGAATTAAATAAACTCAGCAGGTTAGTTCAAGCACATGTTACTGATATTAGAGGTTTCAGTCAGCATCATGCTAAAATTGGCAATTTTAGGGGTATTGCTCCATAATCAGCAGATTCTGCCACAATTACACATCGAAGCATTGTGCCTAATATGGACTTGACATCATTTGTGGTGATGTTACTCCACAAAAAAGCAGGCCCTTTCTCAATGTTGCCCTGTATAGGCCACCTTGTGACTCACTTAGCCCTTTTGATAAGTTTGAAAGAACCTTAGACGGGGCTTTACCAAACGGCATGTTTATAGTTGCGATCAGCTGATTAAAGGGCCTGCCCGTGTTACACAAAGCACGGCAACAGAAAAGGACAATGCTGGAAGTAAGAAAATTTAATGGAACAGCTACTAAAGGCCACACAACCATCAAGATGCGTGAATAAAATAATGCGATGCAAGCAGTTTCTTTTTTATGCTTCTTGCATTTGTTGAGAGCAGGTTCTTAGACAAACTTATAACATAAATGTTCTGATAGAATACTCAACCTTATTTTCTTCGTTATTTGGTCACGAAAAAACTATGAGATATTATAAAAACTAGGGAAAGGCTTAAGAAGGCAGTTAACATAAGTTATCTTCGAAGTCTAATTGGTTTTGTATATATAGGCCCGTAATAAAGATGATTTATCAAAGATGATTAAATCTATAGATATAAAAACAATGCCTATGTGCGTAGCAAATGTGCGTAGCACGTTCATGGAATAGTTAGCCGATAGTACTATGGTTCGATACGGGCATAACTTGGCCAATAGGTTTGGGGGGGGGGGGTGAAAAGGGTTTCTGCCCTGCAAAACTAAGTGGTGCCCTGCAGACCTCATAGCAAAGATTTGTCTATAGGTTACTAGTGAAAGCTTTACCAGTGTACATTTGTCTTTACCAAGGACAAACTTCTAAGCAATAAAAACAAACTTGAAACTTCATTGCATATGAAATATCTCTTTCTCTACGTGAGCGTAAATTATGTGCCAAATTTGATTTTACTTTGTAAAAAACTTGTATTTCATGGCATATGATTTTTGGTACATGATGTAGACGGCGCGAGGGGGGGGGGGCTGAGAATCAAATTAAGTGAGGTAGGAGGACCCATCATGGTTGGGTCCGACTTGAAGAAAATTTTTCAAATTAAACCTGGTAAAAGGGCTAAAAAGCATCTCCAAAACTAAAATTTAGCAAAATACTACACTGTTAAAAAACGGATTATTGTTTATTGGGAAAAATAGGGAGGGGGATGTCATGCTAAAACTCTAGTGATAGACGTTGGGGAAGAAAAGAAACGGTAACTTTTTGTTTCAGATTGCACATAGTTGTGAATGATAGAGGAAGATGTTGCTTTGATTGGGAAAATTTTATTTCCTGAACAGAAATGTGCAGTTTCTTGTCTCGAGAAGGCCATGTTTACATATCCAAAATTAAAACATTGCAATGATACAGAAAGTGATTTACTGAATTAATGCAAACAAACAAAAAATAACAAAAATATACGTGAATAAGTTAGTAATTAGATCAAACAAAATCGGCATCTAAACAGTTTATTCTCTTTTTATTTCATACACTGTTAAAAAGTCATCGAAAAAATGATAAAAAAATCTTATCTTGACCAAAAGAGTGGCCTTCAGCCCCTTTTTCCGCCCAGTGACGCCGTGCCTAAAATTTACAACTTAGATAAATTTGTATAGACTCAACCGTGCCCTCATAAACATATGCATCAATCATTGCATCCATTGGCTATGACTTTCGGTAAGAAATGCTTTCGCTTTGCAAATAACGGAGCTCTTAACTGCATTTCTTCTTGCTGCCTACATTTTTGTGTTATAAACCTCTGCAACTTTATGCCAGAAGAACAGCGATTTAAGTGAATGTCCGAAACGCTGCGAGTCACATTTATTTTTGTTTCACTTGGGGCATTTCTGCCAAAAAAGACAAAAGTGACCTTTCTTTCGATATCTACATTGTAGAGATGTTTGCCATTGGAAGCAAGAGTGGAACCTCGGCTTTTTCTCTATTCACTGACTTTTCTCTAGCTTAACCTTCTTCACTTCTCAGTTTTCCTCCATCTGTGGCACTTCTGCGTTTCTCGTGTTTGTTTGCTTGATAAAGATTGTGGAAATGTGCTCTTAAAAACTTGCTTCAAACTGTTTTCTATCTTTTTTATCTATTAATAAGCAAACGCTACGGTACTTTGAAGACAACATCTCGGCTAAATCGAGATGTTGGAAACTCGAGAGTCTAGCCAAACACGATGAATGCTGTAATGGACTATTCTTATCCCTATGGTTTTTGTTCAAGCTTTCTTCATTTCCCTGTCTTGTTATGTCTTAAGCTGGAGTTTTCTAAATGTTTTCTCTATACGTTATCTGCTGGTAATGATTTATCTGAGTAGGGGCAAGTTGTATCTTTTGTTACCTCAAAGCACAAAGGCCAACAACATAAACTCGTGAGCTTTTAATCGGGCGACAGGTGTGGGATAACAGTTAAATATAATTTGAAAAAGTTGCCTGTATCCAGAGGATGCCAAAATTAATTTATAATTGAAAGTCATCTTTCTGATAGCTCTTTGCTAAAAGGACACAGAAGTGAATTTCTTTTGATCTAAAAAAATTTCTTTTTTGGCAGTAAACGATAAAAGCAACAGATGATTGATTGATTTTCAAGGAATGGTTGATTTTTTCTGGCTAGATCCTTTTAATTCTAGTCTAACAATAAACAGATAAATGCGATAAAGATAAATGATCTTACAAATGAAGAAACTAACCCAATTATACGCAATGAGACATATGTTACTCGACTGTTTAAATCATAACCTTTGTGCTGGATGATTAGCATTTTTTTCCTGTTCTCGATCAAACCTACTCTTCAAAGCAAGAGTTAATTATCATTCACAAGAGGGGGGGGGGGAACTCGCCTTATCGCTACATCAGCGGGTAACTGGAGAAAGTTAAGGAGACGAATTATGTACCCTGTTCAGAAGACGAGTGTAGACTCCCATTGTTAAGGCTATTGTTCTACCCATTCGTCCAAAACAATGAGCAAAATGCATCATGTATTTGGGCGAAGACTCATGGGAAAAATTGAATTCTTATGGCGCTTCACTGCATTTAATCAAAACTATGATATATCATATTGCATCACACAAGCCAGGATTTCATTATCACGCTCTTCATCACACTATTTTTCCAAATGCCCTTGATCTTTTGATTTGTATTTATTGCGGCAACATGACATAAGATACACCATGGATACACGAATGCTCCTACCACAGAATAGAGTCTTCGATGCTATTTTTTGCAGGCAAATTGCTGACATCGATTTCTTCTGCGCATGTGCATTTGACGCAAACTTTTGAAAGCAAGCGGACTTTGGCCAAAAAGCTGACTCGTCTTCCCAACAATATCCCCTTCGCGACTTCTTTGATTGTATGCTCTTAACTGCGGAAATACCATAACACAACCAGCTGCATTCCTCGGTAGATTTTCGGAATGTCCTTAAAGGTTGTCGATCATCTTCAATCAAGAAAAAACTTAGAAAATAGCACCAATTTTTCTGAAAAACTTGCATAAACCAAATTTTTACTGGCGCAAAGACGATACTCACTTTACAAGAAGTAGAAAATTGCTATATTGCTTAGATCTTTCATTCTTAAAATTCTGCTTCACTTTTTCCTCAACATGTTCTTTTACAACCCAAATTTATAATGTTCACGACAGTCATATCTCCTGATACTTGTGTCTCATATGCCAAAATTGACCATCTGACACTGCTGCTTCTAATACCAGCAGTCAACTACTGAATATATGCGCAGCCAGCGGATTGATTAATCTCCGGATTCAGAATATAACATAAATGCATAACTCTTCACTCCTGCTTTGCAGTAATCGTCTACAAAAATTTTTCGCCCGTGATGGAAGCTGGTGTGTCGTGTGACAATATCTGTCTACTAGATGCAATGCATCTTGGCACTCTAGAAATAGTTGCTGACTTTAACTGCTGCAAGGATGTCTTTAAATTTACCAGCTGTCATGGCGGCTCTTAGTAGGCCATCAATATGAAACACGATAACTCTCATATTTAATGCCTCTGTGCTTTTACTGGAGCAGGAACGAGCATGTCCTGATGCTCTCTTGTCCCTCATCAAAAACTTAGTAATCGTCAATTTTCATCAAAAACTCCTTTTTCAGATTTGCAAATATGACGATATCCTTAAAACAAATACAATATTGATTCCTCTAATCAGAGCCAAGAAAAGTTACGGTTCAACGGCTGAGGGCCACAGAAAGGTTATCCAGCGATGCAGTAGTTTTGAGGAAGAGCAATGCATAGTTTGACAAAAGTCTATAAAGTGAGAGGAATTTAGCTTTCTGCTTGAACTTTTCCTTGTTCTCGACAAAGCATTAAAACAAAACGGTTTTACTTAAATTCGATCTCTAAGAAACTGTTATTCAAAGGATACAAGTAAAATCTTGAGAAAAGCAATTAAGGCATAATTTCATCCGTAGGAAAATTGAGGCGTTTTCCAAGTTCATAACAAAAATTCAGTTTTAACCAGATCACATAAATTCAAAACTTGAGGAGATTGGTATAACATCTTGCCTGGCTTAATAAACAGCTTAAAACCGCTTGATGTTGTGCTTTCAAACACTTCTCTTTGACTTTATTTTGTTTCTGTTACTTTCAGTTTCTTGCTATTCTATATCCCAAAGCATGTTGGAAAATGGGAAGGGGGCAGAGGAAAACGAATGAGCTGTAACAGACAATTTTGCAAATAAGCTCTTTGGTTTCGTAAAGATGTCTGTCACCCCCGTCGTCGGAGACCATTATTCTTGGCAGTTAAGTTTTGTTGGTTTTTTGTTTGACAAATTTTGGGTTTTTTTAACCTGTTGACTCAAAGGATGCAACATTATTCTTTTACGCAGTAACTGGGAGGTAATCTGTTTAAGAACCTCGTTGAAATTTTTTGTACAAAATGCAAAAGAAACTCAGTTATCAGGTTTTCGCAAAGCTTCATATGATATTGGTGCAATCTTAATATTTTAGTTTTTCGACTTCATTACATATAGTAGTGGATACCATATCTCCAACTTTATACACGTTTTATACGATAAAGTTTTAATTTGCTGCATTATGTAATAAATCATTTTTAGCAAGATTCTTAACATGTTAACCTGATTTCAATGGTGTGTGTATTTTAATGACAACCTGAATCTTATTTCATTTGTAAGTAGAGACATTTGAATTCTTCTTTTACCCTCTAAAATGGGTTGTGCAATGTATTATAGGCCATAAGAAACGTGAAGTGCATGTGGGGTGTGTCCGCATATATGTATGATAAACGGCGTTGCCGAAGTCCGATGAAATCTTTTCCAATCCTCATGTAGTGTGCTTGCAACCCTTTATACTTCTTCTACCGAGGTTTAAGGTGACATTTATATGGATCTGTATAAACGAGACCGTTATCCTATTTGGGTATGACAAGCCCAACATATTTAAACAATTTATAGAGTAATTACACACAGTGGTGGCATCAGCTACTGCAGAGTGGACGAGTAATGGACGTCACCAACCTCGTTTCAGTGCTTTGCACCAGCTGAATTTTCCTCCAGCGGAAACATAATATTTTCCTACCTAACGCTTTTTATCTAACTTCTAGAAAAAAATATGTGTACCATGTGGGGAGTGATTACCCCCTAAACGAGGCTACTTGCTCTCCTGACAGTCCAAAATTTAATCTTAAACAAAAATGCCGAGCTACGATCGCTAATCTACTTTAAGAATTTACGTATTCCATTTAAAATTGTTCCTTATTCTCTTCTGTTCCCCTATTCTCTCCCTGGTCTAATTTAGACAGCATTTTAAACTTTTCCTCATTCTCCATACCACCAATAGGCTTATTTACAACAAATCTTTCGCTAGGTCTAATCTTTGAAAGCCAAATTAGTGTACTGGGAAATACGGAGATGGAGTGACAATTCTGGAAATAACAATGACATACTGAGAATTTTGGCTTCAAAGAAACGAATATTAAGTTTTGATAAGCCAAACCTCTAGAATAAGCCCCCCTTTCGAATACACCCATCACTCGAGAACACTCCGGGCATATTTCAACGGTTGTAAGGAAATAGGTGTATTTAAAAAGAAATTCATTAGAGAAAAGCTCTGAAATCCGAATATACACTTCATTTGCTGCAAGAAAAATTAAAATGCTTATAGCCTAACTGTGCTAAATTCCTGTTCAAATTCATTTTGGAGACATTATTCTGAAATAAATAACATAGATAATTTCTGACAAATTCAACCTTTTTGCACAGCCATTTGTATATATCGCTCTGTATTATGCCTACTTCTAGCATAATGCCAAAAACAGCTGGTCTTAGGTCACACCCAAGAAATTTCATTTGTCATTCCTTGGGATGTTTAAAATGCAGTTTTCAGTTTATCTTTTTACTCTATTCCATTCTACTCAATTTGAAAGTAGCGAACAAGAAGCAATTATCCCGCATCCAAAGGTCTAAATATAAGACTAATAAAGTACCTCCCTGCAATATGTGAGCAAGCAGAGGCATCAATGAAACTGTTCTTTCAAGAAAAAGGGCCTAAATTTGCTACAGGCCACTATGGCAAAGGGGCAGTAGTGTTTCCCTTTCTACTCAGATATGCAAAAGAGTTCAATACCAAGCGCCCCTGACGACGAGGATGGAAGTAATTACAAAGGTATCCTTAGAAGTGGTCCCATAATAGCACGAGAAGATAAGAAAAGAAGCTCAGACAAGCAGAAGTGTCAGAACTTATCTGATATCATCCCATCCGGCCTTCTTTGTCCTAAAAATTTTGTTTATGGTTTTCTGTTTATGGCTAAAACGCCAAGCTTGTTGCTTTATCACGCCAAGCAAGGAAGCTTTATTACATGCTATCCAAAAAATTGCATCAAAAACAACTGTCGTGACATTTGCAGATGTGTCACTGGAAACTGCTGCAATTATATTATAAAGCAAGTTCATGTGTGTTACATGGTAAGAAATGACTTGGCACTTCTAGTAGCTTTTAAAAAAGCTGTTTAAAATTCATGGTCACATCTGATCTTCTTAACCCACGGGAAGATTTGTGCTCTTCTTTGTTGTTCATGGCCAATGTTCCTCTGATGCCTGCAACAGCTGTGCAATGCTAATGAAACACTGTTTGAGTAAAAAGTTTGTGAACGGAAACCATTCAAAGTTTCGTCAAATCAAATGCATCGTCAGACCTGTTTTGTCAATTAACAGAAAATGGCATATAACTAGTGCATACGGTGGAAATCATAACCGAAAAGAACCAACACGTGAATTTTCTCTAAAAAATCTATCAATATTTTTTAAAAAAGGGTTTTTGTTATTCCGTTTACAACATTCGACAAATCTCCTACCATCAATAATTCACGAAATTATCTCTTCTGCAAAAATGGCTGCATTCGAGCATCATCAAAATACTGAACATTGTATGGCGAAAATAACTGCAATTACATATAACTTTCGGTCAGGCAATTGTAGGCGAGAAATTTTAGAAAACTACGCAAGACCTACAAAGATACAAGCCCTACCGAACAACACTTAATCTAAGGGTCTTTCCCGATTCACAAGTTTGTATCGGGAAAACCGAAAATACCAAGAAAGAAGCTCGGAAAAATTTGCTGAGGTCTGCAGTTGAAGGTGAGGTTGAAGCAGTTGTTTCATTTTCAGAATCCAGGAAAAGTTGCGGTAGCTGGCCTTGAGACAGCTAGGTAGGTCATTGGTTAGAAATACCGCACAACGACCACGCCTCGCTGCGTTATACTATATCATGACAGAGTCCAAATGTGGAGTCAAAAACATTGAACTTCCAGTACATTTTTATAAGAATATCTTAGCTTTGCTCAGCTTCGATACTCCTGAAAATTTTCATTTTTAAGCAAAAATACATTCTCGAATTATTCTTAGATGTTAACAGTTTTGAGGCTCATTATTTTTAAAACTGTACAAGCTGATTAGCTTAGTAGGGCACTGTCTAAGGAGCAAAATGAAATGAAAAATGACCTGCTGCTTTGGTCTCTAGAACGGCAAGGAGTGTAGAGGACGATGACCTCCAAATAACTACATCTGACAGAACCAAAAGTAATAAAAAAGTAAAAAAGAAGACAGAAAATGAAGAATACGACGGATAAATAGGATCCGACGAAAGCTTGTTATTTGTTATTAATCCCAAAGGCGCTCGATTCAGCAAAGAGTCTTCAGGGAAAATAGCAGACCATACTCCTATCATAGCCACCCTCTCTGTTCAAACAGCCCTGCTGCAAAGAAACATTAAAAAGCCTAACAACACACAAACGAAGATGAAAGATGTGCTCAATCTTCAAAAACCACGCCCAGAAACGCACCCTGGTATTCAAAACATTTATTCAAAACATTTATAAATACTCTGAAAATAAAGAGTATGAGAAAGGTTGTTGACAGATAGTTGTGACACTGATACTTTCCTACCAAATGAGAAGGCAAGGCACAGAGACGAAAAAGTTGCCTCACTCTTTTGCAACGCAAAATCACCCGACCACAGCCGAAACCACTATTTCTTGGAATTTTTTCAATAACAAAGAAAGGAATACCTTGCAGATTTTGAAATTTTCCATGATGCGGCGATAGTTGAAGGCACTTTTGACTCCAACATAGTAGCAATCTCTCAGGATTGAATCGAATACATTGCAGTCGATGCCGTTGCGCCGATTTTTCACTATTTCGTAGAGGAAGCGATTGTGATATTGTTTATCTGGTATTCTTCCAACCATAGCACACTTAATGAACTCAATTTCACTCGCTTGGATGTTATACTTTGCAAATGTTTCCTTCACCCTATCTTCCTGAATAATGCTTTCAAAGATAGCAACCGATGTGGCATTGTGTCCCCATTCAGTACCTTTGAGCCGCCGCAGGAATTGGTCCTGATATACCCTTGATAATGGTCCATGGCCTAGATCGTGACAGAGCGCGGCAATTTCCAGACACAACAGTCTTTCTTCCGTTAGCAAATGTGCGAAGTCAGGGTTTCGCTCTTTCAAAAACTTGAACAAAATACCTGTCAAATGACAGACACCAAGCGAATGCTCGAATCTCGTATGCACACCACCAGGGTAGACGTATGGCGTTGCACCCAGTTGTTTGATATCCCTCAGTCGTTGAAAATGCTGTGTGTCTATGAACAACAGCAAAATCTCATGGAAGTACATCGGTCCATGAATAGGGTCGTTTATTACCTTTCCTTTGTCTGAGAGACTGCATTCTTTCTGGAGCATGGAAGCTCTTGTAGCCGACATATTTTCTTCGGGCCTACTTCAATGCCGATCAGGTTTCAAAAGACATTTCGACCAGTCTGTTCGTAAGAACGTCAACAATAAAATCCAGTTTGATCCTGCAAACGTTTTGGCCTTTGAATGGTGCTTCCCCTAGGCCTTAAAGCAGAAATCCCCGATGATTCAATTCTTTTGTTTAAAAAGTCATGTGATTGATTTCCGCAACCGAAACAAAAACTATCCATATCCACCTGCTCTTTTTCCGAGAACTCAAAACAGGGGACTGGGGCGTTTTCGTACGCGTTTCCAGCTGTTTACATTGATATCTTTTTCTGGATATTTTCATAAACTTAGTTCTATTTGAGATAAAACGATGACCGCTAAAATGCGGTTGTAAAGAACAGATATATTTCTGATTTGATTCTTTACAAAGTGCTTATTGCCAGGGTTGTTGTAGTATTACAATAACAATTTCTTCGTAAAATGTTTCTAAAAACAATAGCAAACTATTTGACATTAACAAACTTTTTGGCATTAAAAAGGGGGCACAGCCCCCTAGATCTACACCTCTGCTTGCATCCACAAGTGATTTTATCTATAACTTTTTGACGCATCACTCTGAAAGATGGGATGAATGATTGATGAGCAGTTTTAGTGGTCCGTTGGTTGGGAGGGCGGCAAGAGGGGGAGAAAAGGAACCTGGATCACAGTAGCGCTAACCAGGGACCGCGGAACATATGACGGATTGAGAGGAAAGGAGAGGTTTGCAGTGGGGGAGGGGGGGGGGCGGTGGGATGTTTTGGTGTGTGCCGTCTCCGACATACTAGAGTCTAGGAACAAGATGATTTGTTGTACCGAGAGAGGCAACAATAAAAAGATGATTCGTTGTTTAGTGTGTCAGGCAGTAGACAGGATGGTCGTTTATTGTACAGATCAAAACCAAATTATATAGAAATTTGAATAGAACCATATTGTGAGTTATTTTCAATAAAAAACGAAATGATGCAATAGTTAAGAAAGTAAGGGGAACTTACAAGCAAACATATCGTCGTATTTTAGGAACAAATTTTTTTAGCTTCAGGGGAAGTTTTTCGCTGTTTCAAAGGTCTTAAGAATTTTTCCGAAGCTAGTCCCTGCGACAAGATCAAAGCTTTGAAGTTTTCTATCTATAAATTCTTCTCTTTTGGAGGGGCAAATAGCAATGTGACTAAAATTCTTTGAATCCAACAAAATTTCATTATAAAATGACTTGCCAATAAACGGTCAGAAAACACAACATACCAACCTTCTCTACCAATTCACTGCTAGTTAAAAACTTAAGAACAAAAAAAATACTGCGGTTTAATTGATGTGAAAGTGCAGTGCTGGGAAAACTTTATTTTATTTATATTCTTAAATAGCTGCACCCTTCTAAAATTTTTAGTAATACAACTACACTCTTTGTTTCATAAGAACCAGATAGTTGTTTCCTATGCTAGATCTTTTTATTTTTCGGATAATGAGGCTTGAGTGTGCTTAATGTCGCTCTCTTTTCACCATTGGTTATTCTAGATACCGTAAATTGTTGCTAAATGGCAGTTTTGCCACAGTTCTGCATTAAATTTTCAGTAGCTCGAATGCTTAGCTGTTAAAGATAAAATTTTGAAAAACACATTTTAAATTCTTCCTATCTTCCATCTGGCTTGGAACGGTGATCTTACAAATACTGTTCTTCCAAAAATTGTAGTTTGAACAACAAGTGTAGTTTATCTTTTAAATCCAAGCACTTTATTTATTACTCCGTGAGTAACTTTTGACAAATCTACAAACTTCAGCATATGTTTCATACTGATTTTGTTATCTTTTTTACTACTGTAATGCACAATGAGGCTGACAAGGAATAAGATGTTGCCGATCTGCAGGAAAACGGAAGATGTAAAAGCCCCTTTTTAATCTTTTGAAATAAAGTTACACTCACTTTACAAAGAAAAAAAACGAGTACATCCATAAATAGGCCTTTACTAAATACGGCGCATTGAGAGATACCAAAAGCGTATGCCTGCATGGAAAAACTCCCTTTGCCAACCAAAAATAGACGGACATTTCCTTGTGTTCCTGACTACGTATTCAGCGCATTGCAACAAGAATAACAAACATATTGAAATGTGGATTTACCAAACAAAAATGAAGAATTTACAACAAACGTTCACATCGCACGTCCTTCTGACTCTGTGTTTTCTCAGAAAAGCGTCATATCATCTAATAGCCAACCAATAAACAAACACGTTGAAGCCTTCCTGAATAAAGAAAGGACAGAAGACACGTGATTTGGGAGTAGTCCTTGAAAAACATTGGTCACAGGGGGGGGGGGGAGAGAATCCAGGGGAAGAGAGCTGTACTCAAATATACTAAGAAAGCTGATTTCAAAAGTATATTTCGCAGAGACGGCTCCACGAAATCGAACCTGGAACGGTTCGTCTTCATCATCGTCTTCATACTCCCGATAATGATTATCATTATGACCGTGGTCGTTGCCGCCATCCTCCTGCCCTTCATCGTCTTATTGATAAAATAGTATCATCGTCCACCTAATTGTTTGAACATAGTTAATCTGTAAAAATGACTTCGTCAACCCCAAAATCAGTATCTTGTGGGAAGTGAAAGTTATTTCAACAATAATTTGTTGCGTTCATGAAGGGAGCCTACGAAGCGATAGTGAATTGGCCATTTATTGAGCCTACGCTTTGGATTTGGTCTTAGTGTGCTTAGGCCCAGCCATGCAAAGTGGCTTTTCAGACTCTACCACCATTTATGAAAGAGTGGCAAACACTTTCATCATGCAGAAATCGCGGCTTGCATTTCTCGTGATCTTTAGCCCGAAGACCTTTGAATAGCTTTTGAGAAGATTACTACAAATTACTACAAATTACAAACTGTACTGTTCTTTTACCGTCCCTGTAAACCAGATGTGTCAAAATTGAAACAGTACAGCTTCAGTTTTCATCGGCATTGAAATATTTTCAACAGGATACATTTCAATAAAAGGTTTTGGCAACGAAATTGTTTTGGACCCTGGTTAACTCTGCCTCAAACTCTGCCTTAATTTCTATCACAAATACAAACCAAAAAGTATTGGAGGCAGTGGTTATCGAGCAGTTTTATTCGAGGAAATTCCAGCAGGTACCTCATGGTACCAGACTTAACACTTAAAACAATGAAGTATTTGGTTTATCAAAGTCAGATTTATTCACAAGCCAGAAGATATTGATCAACAAAGAAACTTCTTTTTTGGTTCCTGAACAGCTGTTTATGCACCAAATGCGTATAACTTCTTTTAATTATCAGCCCTTCTAATAAAAGGAAAGGCAGACAATTTCCTTCTAGTAAAAATATTATTCTTGGAACTAAACACTGCAACTTTCCATCGGCTTAAAATATGCAAATATTGCAGACTCAACTAACCGTAGACAGCCCATATAATAAAATACTGAATGCAGAAACTCGAAATCTAAATAATATGACTCTGGAATCATTTGACATTCGAGAAGTTTCAGTGGTCCAAATTTTAGGTACAGTCAGTCGCATCTCAGATGGTTTGAATGGTTTTTTCACGCCTTTGCTTGTCAAATCCATGTTCCTCTTTTTCTATTCAAAGGCTCGATAAACTACATGTTGTTACAGAGTTCGCCAGGTCTTGTCTTAACAGATCAAAATAAAAATAGATAAAATCAAAGGGCAACATTTGATAGTCTAGAATAGTTTTTAAAGGCTACCAGAAAAGTTTAATTCTTATAAAAAGTTACCAGAATATTAATGCTAACGTAACAATCACAAAACGGATTTGAAATAAACTGACGCGTGTTCAACAGAGTTGACAAACAGGATTCATACCTCACTGCTTGCCAGCTTCCAGTTCCTTTAGTTTCATAGCCTCTTTCTCAATAAAATCTACTTTCTCAGACAGTTCGCGCATTTTGCCTTTCCGTCCTTGAGCAAGTAACAGCCTCTGTCGTTCGGTTTTCCTTTCAAAACGCTGCAACTTCTGCTTCTCTTCTATCTTTCGGAACCAAGCATTTGTTATTTCATTCTGTCCATCAAAAGCTTTGATCAGCTGTGGATTCCCTTTTCTTGTGCATTCATAAATGTTTCGGTTCATCTGTCCAGCATAACGAACCCCTCTTTCACCTTTGATATAAACAACGACAAGACCTTTCATTTCAGACAAAATAACGCAAAACTGAGATGTTAATTTTGTAACTCCAAAAAACATAGAACTTGTTATATTATATGTTCTCAATTTTGACTTTTTGGATTATTAAGGCTCCAGAATTATCATAAAATAAAACAGATTGTAACAGAGCGCTGAATGTATTATAGATCGAGGAAGAGACAGGGGAGGAGCACAGGTTTCTGTATGCTAAAAACAAAGAGCAATATGATTTAGAAAATGGCTTTTTAATCAATGTTAGGAATTACTAAAGTATAAGAGCTAGGCAATTTAAGTCTTCAACGATATATGATATTTTTTAGAAGATTAACAACGAATTTCAGCCGAAAGTCAAAGCAGCAAAATATTTTATTAGCAGATTGCAGATCACAGACTGAAATGACAAACTACAATGCCTGCCAAAAGTACGTGGAACAGCCAGCAATTTGCGTTGCATTTTATAACTTTCACTCCATTTCCAAAAAAAAATATTACTTCCACCCCCTTCCCCTTAGAATATGTTGATAATTTAGAGAAATATCATAAAAGAAGCGCGAAAGAAAATGCTTCCTGAAATCCTAACCAGTTTCATAATGAACCAACATTGTTCCGTGGGGGAGAGGGGGATGATTGATTTTGATCTTGGAAACAAGTAATGACACAATCAGAATTGCCATCTAGACCACGGTGTTTGGAAATTTTCCAATGCTAGGGCATACAGACTTGCAAATATAATAGTTTTTGCAAGAAGCAGCGCAGAGTTTAGTGATTTGGCCTATCACGTGCCTGCAGAAAACAGTAAGAATCTTCATTGGTAAGCGGGAGATGAGATACTTTACAAACATACAACTGAAATATGCAGATACCTCTCTTTGTAACGCTATTTGGCATCAAACATTCATCTCTAACTTGTTGACCAATACTCTTCGGCGTATAAAGATTAATCTTGAGTATCAAGCCTTTTCCAGCCGTCACCGCAATCCATCCCAAACCAGCGATGCAGAGATCTACTACACTCCTTTCCCATCCAGCTCCAGCCATTTCATAATTTTTTGGCTCCAAGGCTGGAAATTTCCCTTGTCTATTCACGTCATCAAATGGAATCTACGAAAAAAACAAGAAGTTTCGTAAAACATAAGACTGGAGGTTAAATAGATTTGACACTCATAGTCTAGATCTTTCGGTTGAGAAGCTACCATTTGGGTCGTTGTTTACCAATAATACTGTTTACAAAACGGTTTGCTTCCATAATGAAACAATTTCGTAACTGTTGACCCAGGGCTACCATTTGCAAAACATCCCTGATTTCAAAATCGTTACATAAACTGACATTGCAAACATTATGTCTATTATGTATGTATTAGATATGATCCAGGTACGGAAATAGACGGATATTTTTGGGAGGCTAAAGGGTACATAATTTCCGACTGACAAATAAGCCGATTGTACTAAAATTGTACTAAGCCTTTATGTACAGAACTTAACGTTATACAGTTCTGTCAATTCATTTCTGATGAGAGAAAATTCTCAGCGACGGACATATCATCAGGGGCGTCGCCAAAGGGGAGGAAGGGGGGGGGGTGTACGGGGGTGCGGTACCCCCAAAACTTTGTCTGTCGACACATTAAGGGCTTTTGCTGGACAAAAGACACCATTTTTGTATTCGACCTGTGACATTTTTGCAACAATTTTAACGTATAAACATTTCTGTAGTAGTTGAGCATTCAAAGTGTGAACTTTGAAGCAGAAATGGATCAAATCAGCATTTAGGAGTATTTATCTTTTGACCACACCCTTAAAGAGCGCGACACGCCCTTTTTTGTCAGCAAAAATCACTTCTTTACCCCCCCAAAAATTCTTTTGGCTCCACATCGTTAAACACCAGATCATTCGCTTTCTTCTGCGGGTAAGGTACTGAGTGTGCTTGTCATTTCACTATGAAAAGGATTCATGTAACTGCCAGCTATTCTAATCTTTACAAATATTAGGCTTCAGCTGGAAAATTTGACTGTTTCTTGAGTTTTTTCCCTATCCTAACAAACTAAATTCCCCCTAGTTATATTTTCTTTAAAGCTGGATCTTCAAGGATTCTTTCTGTATCAACTAAGTTATGTAAAGAAAACACAGTTAAGTTAATTTTTTTTATATCTGCTGAAAACACGAATCGTGAAAAAGAATTAAGTATGTCTCAGTGGCGTAGTGAGCAAGGAACCACTGGATAAAAGAGTAGACGAAATCGGAATCTGAACAAAGAATGAAACTATGCAGACCATCGCGTTGCTGAACACAGCCAAGATCATAAGAAAGTTTTGGAGCTCTTAAGAGGCTTGTTGCCGCTGGACCTTCGAGAAAATACCGCTAATAACGAAAGTTTTAAAAATTAAAACTCATGCAAGATTCTGTCCCGACAGATGAAAATGGCATCAACTAGGTCAGGAAGTTTGGCACTCGTTCAATAGAATTGATGTCTTGAAGGGATAATAATTCTTTTACAACAAAATACTTTTGCTATGATAGTCCTGCTAAGTTTTGCAGGAGCTTTGGAAGACACGCTAAATAATGCCACACAAGTGACTGTAGTGCAGTATGAGCTTCCTTTTAGTCTTCGATAGAAATCCCTCCAAAATCACATTTTCCTAATATTTTGAAGAGTGCTCTCTTCGCTACACAATACACCAACAGCTCTTATTTTTATGAAAATTGTAGAACCATATAACTAACCTTGAGCAGATGATTTCCATAATTTCTCTCCAACATCGATTCAGCTCTTTCGGAACTCGTTGGGTGAATCGGGATGTTATTGCTGCAGAACACAGTTAAAAACACCGATTGGCTTGCCTGTAAATGAGAAAACATAAACTAAGCCTGGCATTTTCAATTTAGGAAATGCTACGGTTAAATGGTTAAATATCGAGTCAATGAAGAGACTTGGGGTAGCTCTGCTGTATAAAAGTCGACAATAGATATTGTTTTCTAGGGTTTTTTTTATTTTGCCGTAAAAGCTGGTGGAGGCATCTCGAATGCCAATTTTAGGTTTTCGGCGATGTTTTTAAAAATAATACTTTATTCTGCTAAAGAAAAATAACTCAATTTTCGGTAAACGAACATTGCTATATTATTAACAAAACATGCTCCATACTTTGACCATGTACAAAGATACATAAGATATCACGTCCCTTCCACAAAGATACTTTAGACTAAAATATCATCTAATATAACTCTTTTAGACAAGTTTTATTTTGCAGGACTGACAGTTCAAAGTAACAATACAGGCATGGACAGATGTTTCAATAAATGTCATTCACTGATCATCTCTGTAATATGATTGGACATGTTACATTTATCAGGACATCCCCTCAGCAATAAACTTGCAGGTGCAGTTCAAACGAAGCGAACAGACTGTCAGTCGCACAAACAAACACCACAATCCTTAACAACACCTAACTAGCAAATACGAACTTACAATTTAAAAACTCATTGCAATTCACCGAAAAAGCGCAAAAATACAATAAACATGCCTTAAGAACCTCCTCCTCTTGTGAAGGATCATCTTGGGACTTTCTGGTCACCTGCAAAAGAGCAAAACAACATCGAGAGCATTTTGAATACTACTTAAAAAACATTAAGCTAAGAGTAGATTAAGTAACATATGCATGAACATGTCATGGAAGACACGCTAAATCAAAATACCCCTGTGTAACAAGACAGGCGACCAGGGGATAGCGGGGGGCAAGAATGGCAAGGAAAGCAAAACTTAGACTGGCAGAGAATGGGATGTCGTGCAAAAGAGGGAACTAAAGAATAATTGGGGAAAAATATCTTAGCTTAAAAGGTAGTGGATAAATGGAAAAATGCCCATGTTGTAAAAGTTTTCTCGGGGACGCTCTTCACCGGGTTTGTTACACAGGGGTGTGTTTAAGATTGCCCATCTGGAGAGGAATCTTTTCAGACCTGACTTGATTCAGAGTCCATAAAATGTTCATTCTCCCACAGGCCAATAAGACACAACCATCAAACCGTTTTCAGAACAGTGTCTCAGAAAAACAGTGGAAAAGGGGAGGTATCAGTGATGTAGCTTGATGTGATTAATTTTGAACAATCACCTCACCGTTTTCGATTGTACCATTTCCTCTTCCATCCACAGAAATTCTGTACTGAAAATGGCATATGTGGCCAATTTTTCAATTATTTTGTTGGTACTATCAACATGTATTCATACTGAGAGAAATGCCTTTTATATCAAACATGCACAACACCCTTAAAGAATCTAATCATCAAAAATTTTTAACTCTGCCAATACTCAGCAGAGCTATCATAGCTAAAATATTTTGACTTTGCAGAACAGATAAAAATTTGCATCCCCTCTAGACAACGATGTTTTTGAATGAGTCCCTAACTTTCTGACCCTATTGATGTCATTTTTTATCTGTCCAGGCAGAATCTTGCATCATTTTTGAAAGAACTGGCCTTGGGGATTTTTGACACATACAAAACTCTGTCCAAACGAGTTACCTTATCTTTGAAGTGGACTGGCCTTTGTCACAGCAATTGTTAATTACACATAGAGGAATAGAGATGCATGCCTATACACGTATATACAAGACAATACTGACCTATTCAGGTTTAATCTACAATCTGAGGCAAGAAACAATATACAGTGGATACATTAGCATTTGTAGGGGTTTGAATTGAATGAGAGGTTTCTTTTGGGTCCGGCTAATTTTGCCACCATCTAGACAACAGATGCCTAAGATATAAAGAGTGAGGAGGGGGCACTTTTGAAAGCAACCCTGAAACTGAAGTTTCTATTCACAGATAAAACCAAGTGGAAATGTTCAAAACAATATTTATGTATGACTGCAGATATGTGAATTTTTGGAAGAACTTCCACTTAATAAACGCCCCTCTTTTTTCAAGATGGTACACTCAGAATTCGCTACTTCCAGGAGGATAAAACAGCGTAGTGTAAAGATGTTTCAGACCTTTAAATAAATTTCCCTAAATTTCCACACACAGGGTAAGAAATTTCTGTTTTTACCTTTCTGATAAACAATGATAATAACCAAAAGTGAGCATTTATTTGTCTAAAAAATCTATCAATACACCCCTCTATTTGATAACACTCCTTTGAAGAGAAATAATTCTGTTAACCCCCAGGACATTAAATTGTGGACCTACAACATTGACACATGCTAAGACTGTCACGAGCTGGGCCAATTGGTAATAAATGACATTTTAAAAATAACAACTAGCTAATTTGTAGAATGTAGAGCAACAGATTGTAAAAAGGGAAACCAGTTTGATGGCACTGAAAGGAATGTATAGATAAGAGCTGCTAGGCCTGTGCAGTCTTAATTCTAGGGCAACCAAATGACTAGGTTTTAAACCCTGCTGCCGAAGGTGACAAACACATAACTGTGTGGAAGTTTTCAGCATATGGCTGAGAAGATTTCATGTCAGTGAAGCATATGCAAGAACAATAGAAAATGGCAGATTTCAATAAAGAAAAGAGCTCAATCCCTGGTAAAACAGGATGGGTTTGGGGTTCAAATTTTACTACTGATTGTAATCAAAGGCTGAAAATTTTTCCTGAATATAACTGTACAAAAATTAAAAGCCTGTGACTAGAAAAAGAGGATTGAAATTCATTGTGACTAGAAAAAACAAATGGAAATTTATCTATGAAAGGACAGCTGAAACTCTGATGCTATGGTGAAACTCAAACATAAATTGATAACTCAATAGAATTCTTTAGAGTGTTATGTAAGATTACCATTCTTTGGAGAAAACCTTGTGAATAAAGAAAGTGGCTTGAAGTGAAAGAGTATGCTGTGATAATCATTTTGCTTTTGACTTGTATGTTAAGCTTCCCTGTTCCATCAAAAAACTGATTTTAGAAAAGAAGACTATTTATCACATACGCTGCAGTAATCTATCCTTGCCAGTCCTCCAAGCAGTAGTGATCTACCAGGCTTCATGATAAATGTTCTTGGGACAACCCAAAGACGATGTTTCAAGAATTTCAATTCCTTGTGTGTCAAAAACTGAGTAATCTAGAAAGAATAACAAAATTCAGTAAGCAATAAAAACCTTGAAGGGGTGTGAAAATAAGATATACAACAATAACATTCACATAAAACAATGTTTCTTTAAATACTTAAATTGCTTAATTCTGCCAAGGAATAACAAAGTTTGAAAGGAGACTGTTAGATAAAATACCAATTATGTACAAGTGTTGTGTGATATATTTTCATAAAGATTTTCTTTAATGCTGAATTTAGGAGAACAGTTAAAAGCAAATCAGAGATTGGAAGGAATGTATGGTGGCAATGGCTGCCAACAGTCAAGCTTGCAAAGATATTGCTTTTTGTAGGATAATTGCATATTTCCAGTAACCTGTGGCTTAGAATAACCAATGGAGGATAAAGGCAAGCTACCCAATGAGATAACCAAAATTATAATTATCAAATTTTGAAAGTTTAAACAGAAAAAGCCATGCTGAATCATCATTTTAACACACTTTCAAGGGAAATGCAACACAAAATAAAGCGACTCTCTATCACCTTTTGTGGAGTCTTAGTTTTAATGGAATGCAGTTCATTGAAAGAACCTCTGAAATTTAGTTTCAAATTGTGTCATCAAAAAATCAACATCAAATAAATCAATAAATCAAAAGAAGACTCATTGTTTTTAAATTACTCGCCAAAGAGAGTGGCTGAAAATTGTTTCAAATCAAGCACATAAAACACCAGAGAACAATCAAATACAAAAAGTTGATCTATTTGAAACCTTGAGAGGACACTCTGGGGGCTCAATTTCTAAGGCATTGGTAAGACAATTTTAAAAAAAGCACAATATTGTGTCAAAGACAATATTGGTTCTAGCTGCAAGACAAAAAATGATTTTGAGCCTTTTTGTGAGCAAATCATTGATAAGACTGATTAAAAATCACTTATGCTCCATTTTAGAAAACATAAAATGTGGTGGTCATGACAGAGGGAGCCTACAAATTTTTCTAAACGCTTTGTAAAAATTTGAATTTTTAAAAATCACAGCTGAATTGTATTTCCTAGAACAGCATTTAACTAGAAAGTAGATAAATGACTCCATTACAGCAAACAAACTTGAATAAGATGTTCAATATTAATCAGGCCTTGCTCTAAGTAAAATGAAGGTGCTCCATAAAAAGAGCCCCTTAGAAACTCTAGGCGCTCTATTTCGCACCTCTAAGTAAATGTCATTGAGAGCATCCTTCGAGAGCTTTAGGAGATCGAGAGCTTCAAATCGAAAGCTTCGGAAGAATGTTAAATATGAAATTCAACGGTGATACCACAAAGCACCATAATATGAAATAACAAAATATGCAACAAACACTATGTTAATATAAATATAGAAATATAATAAAACAAAGTCGCAAAATTGTTCAGATTTTTCTAGATATGTAAGTTGCCATCATTCGATGTGCTTTTATCACTGTCAGTATCACTATTGTTATGTTTAGCTTCACATACTGTTTCATCAATACGCATGGCTTTAAATCAAACATTTAACTTTGTTCCTTTTTTCATGTTATCCATTCTATAAGAAACGCTAGAACATCTACTACTCGCAAAAGCAAATGAAAAATGAAAAGCAATGCGATAATTTGAACGGAAACGTGATCGCTGATTTGCAGAGGCGATTTTAAGTTATTAAAAAAACAGAAAATAATATATACTTCCATAGAAGATTAACGCTTGCTCGAAAATCAAATAAATCTGCCGGAGAATATGCTTGCTTGATGGCCTGTATCCTTGATGGTTATTAGAGGGTTTTCAGATTAAAAATGATATCGAAAACCCAACATTGAATTTGCTGAATTTTTTCTCAAGGGGTAATCTTACGCAAATCATAATATTGCGGTCTGTTGGGAAGATTGTTTATGCTTGATCAAGTTGATTTAACAAATTCCAAAAATTTATTTTGCTCCGCGTTAATATTGTTTTTACATTTTGACGGGCTCTATAAATCGCTCTCCAAGGCATTTTTTGGGTGCGCTCTAGGCGCGCACGCTCGATCGAGCGCCTTTCAGGGCAAGGCCTGATTAATCAAATCTTGCTGTTATCAAGGCACGTGCTAGAATATATGCATCATTCTGAAGTCCTGCAGTTACCAAAAGTCAAGTTCCTTTTGGCTTTGATAAGGAACTGCAATATGCCTGCAAGACAGTGGGCAATTCCACAGTTTTGCTATCAAGAGCAGCTGCACAAACACATTTTTCAATTAGAGAGTTTATAAAAGCTGAAAATTACAAATATTGGCTTTCCATAAAGTTGGATTAATGAATACCTGGTTGCTATTCATTAATGCAGGGGTATCATACATCCATCGCTTTTCTTTTTCCAGTGAATGTAGATCAACCAGTTCTGAAAATCCATCTTGCACCAGAAGGTCTACAGAATTTTCATCTTGTGAATCACTTTGAATATCTTTAAATTTGCTTGGCTTCACCTCCTTTATTATATCATCCACAAATTCAAACTGTGTTTCCTCCAAATCTTTCTCCTTTGAATTAAAGGAAGTAGTCTTTTAAAGAAAATTTAAACAAAATATCAAGTGACTCGAATAGAGAATTCACACTAATGTTGCAATAAGGTAATGCCAAAACAACAAAAATTAAAAACAGATTAAAATTTAAGGCATTGAGTCATGGTAAATGAGCATGGAGGTCTTAGTTGAAACAAAGCCTTGATACATAATTAGACACAAGAAATAAGCAGGGCTGATCAATTGAGGTGGATGATAGTGTAGTGACTCTTCTTAGGCCTGTTTTCATTAATTTTCCTTCTCATCCATTCTATCACATTCTCACATCGCAGCACAGGCATCTTATACGTCATTATCATTCCATACAGTTGACAATCTCCATTGTTCGCATCTTTGCGACATTATTCAATTTAATGCCCTTCCGATCTTTTGTTTTTCTCACACCATTAATGTTAAATTTAGACATTCTGTATATAAGTATGTTGAGTTATAAGCAATTTTAATTCAGAGTTCAGTTAGAATCAAGACCCAATAGGCACATTGTCTCTTTTCTGAATCTGTGTTCTCTGCCCTTTAAATGGGACTCACCTGGGTTGGGAACAACATGTTAGTCCATGGAAAGTTTATTTAGTGTTTACATTGATCGCTGTTCTAATGTACACTAAGATAGCATATGTTTCCCTACACACTCCCCTCACAGGCTCAGGAAAGTGACTCACTTTTCTAAACTAAAAATGAAGAAAAAATTGCTCCCCTCATAGTTCCATTCATTTGCAGGTTCTGATTGAAATCTTGAAAACAGGCACAAACAAAATTGTCAAGTTGAGCAAGACAAAGGCACTTTAGCAACACATACTTTAAATATTACTTATGGGTGTATCAGATTCAAAACATTTAGGTGGGCTGGTAATGAAATTTTCTTTGTTCCATTGGGATAGAGTTGCACAACTAGAGCCTGAAATTGTATAAATGTTGTCAGAATAGGAGGGGGGCTGCAGCCCTCCCAGCTCATATCTGCTAAACCTATGATAAAACTGCATTGACTTGTCTCTAAACATTGCTTGACATTTTAAGCATTTACATTATCTCTGTTCTTGATATAGTTGCCCTAACAAATGAGGCGAGAGACTCAAAGCTCAACTGAAAAAATATAAATGGCCAGGCCAACAGAAGGAAACATGCTCATAATCATTTAACAAAAAAATCTTGTTTATTCAAGACATGAGCAAACCTTAGGTGGTGCTTCTAGGAACATTCTTCTGACTTTCTTCATTCTCCAAAATGCAAATTGATGTCTTACTAAACCAGATGTTGTTCCTGGTAAATAATGTGTAATTGCCTGTGTTGGGATGTTTGCATCTTTGCTGATAGAACATAAATTCTGCAAAACATTGAAAATTGTTGATTTCCCAACATTTGTGCTTCCCACAACATATAAGTTCATATCTACCTCCCTGTGCTTATTTATGAGTACTACTAATTTCTCAATTCCGTAGCCTGTAAGTCCACTCACTAAACATACATCTTTTAACACAGATTCGTCTAGACCCTCTTTCAAACAGAAATTTCTCAAAATCTTCATTGTATCATGCTCTTGTTTTCTTGGTTTATCACTTTCACTTGGAAGCATATCTAATTTATTTCCAACAACAATTACATTCTTCTTTTTCCCAATCAGATCCATAATTTCTGGCAGTACTGATCCCGTCATGTCCATCAAATCAACAATATACAAAATCAACGCTGGTTTGTCTACCATATGACTAAATTGCCAATAAACATTATCTCTGTCTATTCCAACATTCAATGATTTGTTAGCATATTTTAAAAAATAACAGTTAGAGCAAATCAACTCCTCGAAATTGTTGTTAAGCAAAGAGGGGAGCTTTTTTGGGGATATGTACCCTTTCACAACTGTGTCTTGGGTCTGCATGAAAGCCCCACAACTTCGACATTTCAAAGGCAATTTTGTAAATTCATCTGCAGCGATCTCAGTGGAAGGTACATAAATAGAGAGCTCTGGTGGATGTTCTAATGTCGTTGCTCCACTTAGTCCATCGCTATATCCAAGTTCAATTTCATAGTTATCTAATTTTTCCTTATAATAAGCTTCAGTACTTCCCAATATTGAATTGTCTCGATTCTTGCTGAGTACGCTGCAGACAATCCTTATGTTGCCGTGCTCCCGAGTAACTAAACCATGAGACGCCCGTCGAATTGGCAAGTTAGTGTGATGCAAACAAGCCACCTTTGTTTCTACAAAAGCACTCAAATTCCTGTAGCAGAATCTATGAGATGTTTGCAAAATTTGATAGCAGCTCCTGAAGGCATAAGGAATTGTTGAAAATCTTCTGTTTGCCATCTTCCTCTTCTCGTGGTATCAAAATGGTGGCAACAGATTTCCTCGTTTTCAAACCTCGTTGCAAAGAGAGGCATATCCAAAATGGTAACGAATTCTTACACTATATGCACAGTGACTACGTGTATATAGCTAACGCCATAAATGCTTCTGGTGTTGGTTTTGTACCATTATTCAGTTTTCTTATTGCATTTAGATGTTATTGTAGGCAAAGAAAATGACTAGGAATAGAAGATTAAAGGATGGCGATAGGCCTCATAAACACAAGGACAACGAGAAGACAAGCCGCGCGAAAGCTTCAACGACTGATGATTATGCATCCGTTCTGTATACAATGGGCGTTGGACTAGTTCTGGCACTCCTCGTGATAGTTTTTGTACAGTTCTGGAGTGATAGAAGTATTGCTAAGCTATACACACCTTTAAGTGAACCTAAGATGGTCAACGAAGATTTTGTTTTTAAAGAGGGTAGAAAAGTTTTGTGGGGAACTTACAGGTGAGGCAGCCCACAATCTCTCTCTGTTTATACATTATATTCGCAAATAACATCACCGATACTGACTGATAACCAGTCATTGCATAATTTTAAAAATTTCAAGGCATCATATGTATTTGAATTATCAGTTGACAATATGTACAGTGCAAACAACTAACAAGCCTCAAGCTAAAACATTCAATGCAACCATTGGATTGGGATTATAACTGCAGAGAGTATCAAGCTTCTTCAAGATATAAGGTGCATTCTAATGTGTTCATGAAGTGTGGATGTGCAAAGATCTTCAGGTTACACATGAGTTAATTTTATCCAGGATTTTCTGCCACATTAATTGCAGTCTGGCCAGGTGTACAACTAAAATCACCATAATTCAATTTTGGGTGTGCTAATAACATACCATGCTGTAATTGCACTGGGACATATATTAACCAATGAGAATCACTATCAGAAGGCTGCAGACACTTCATGCATTTCAAGGAGACAACTGACAGTCATTTGGGATTATCTAATTCTGTAATTTTGCTTGTTTTGCTGAAGTTCTAGAACTATAATACACTTAAGTTCCTGAAAGCAATGCAAGGTTATAATCTATTATGAATTGTAATATCATGCACCATTTTTCATATTTAGGCCAAATCTGTACTTTGGCTTGAGGACCAGGACACCAGATTCTTTGATGTTTGGAATGATGTTCTTTTCACAGTACCCAAAAGGAGGGCAACTTCATCTAAGGTAGATACAGATAATGTAAAGGAATATTTGTCGTTTAGTGTGCTATTTACATTGTGAATTGGTATATGAAAAAGGTAGAGTTCAACAAGCACAGTAAATAATTTGATATGCAACTTTAAAATTATTTCAGTTTCCTATCTGCCAAATTTTAGCCTATATCCAGCTTCAAGCTCTTTTCCAATGGTAGAAAGAGGCTAAAACTAGTTTTGGGTTTTATCAATTACAGAGAGGTACTCTCATTGATTTTCTGTGGTGGTAAGAAAACTGAGGTACTGTAGCCATAGTCCTTGCAAAAACGTTTGGTATAATACATCAAATTTTAGCCTGTTTTCCATAGCACCAGGCCTGGCCGTGAGCATTTTTGCAGGCGCGCAGTACATTGCTCTTCTTGGTAAAGTCAGGCAGGCAATTTTCAGTCTCTTGAAAATCATCAATAAAAGTATATGAATAAACAACATTCTTTAACAGCTAAGTTTACAAAAAGATGGTGATTCTCTGACAAGAATAAAACAATAGTTTCATATAATCGCAAATCAACAACATTCAAAATTTGTTCCATTGATGTAGGCTTCAACAGCTGCCTTTGCACTGAATTTGCAAAGCGGGTTCAAGAGAATAGAAGCTTTATCTTTAGCGCAAAGTTTGCACCAAACAAACATCACCATCTTCTTTCCATCTATCTCCTCATTTTTCTTCCAAGAACAGCCCCGTTGTCATATTTTTCGAAAGTTCGTAGCTCAACAGTTGATCCTTTCTGGTCCCTCGCCATGTTGAAATGATTCACATGTTAGGAATACTCAATTGGCCTTTGAAATAGCATTCTGGTTGAAATGGAACCATTCAAAGGGTTTTCTTCCCTATTGCATTTAAAAATGCTTCGTTTGTTTTTCACGTGACTTGTTAAGTAGCTCACAAGTTTACAGGAGTAGATGACTTCCTAAGAGATTAAAATGTTATTTCTAAGTCAAAACATGGGGGATCAAGTTCCTATCAATATTTTAGTTTTACTTCACGAGGTGTCGAGAAATGAAAGGAAGACAAAGGCGGGCAGTTAATGTGCGAATTGACATTGAGGCGAGCGATGAACAGCTCGCCTCGCTTACTGGAGGTGAGCGTGGAGGCACGCACGGGCGATCGCCCATCTCAAACGGCCAGGTCTGGTGTTTAACACCCACTTCCCTTCCAATCAATGTAGTTTCATTAAATGTTATTTGAGATTCATTGTGGTTCAGATATTGTGTTTAAAGGAATGGTGTCCTGACTTTTATGAAACATGGAATGGTGTACCAATATGTATTGTTTATATAGATAATATAAAGCAAGATTGGCCCTTTAGTTTGCTATTTACATTGTGAATCCTTATATGAAAAAGGTAGAGTTCAACAAGCACAGTATACATTTTGATTAGAAATAAACAATTAGAAAGTTTTATCTATAAAAAATTATAAGCTAATTTATATTTTCTTTAGTTTCAAGCTTCTAATTTACAGTAACCTTTTTAGATATTCTTGTGAGCAAAGTGACAATTTAGCAAAGTATGGATGGCTAAAGCATGATGGGAAATCATTTGGGTCTCAGGAAGTTGTAGATGATGATTTTATTCTCACAACTGATTTTGTTAAGCAAGATGGTGGATTTCATGGAGGAGATTGGACTGCTAGGATCAGGGGGAGGCCAAGGCTTGAAGAGGTATGCATATAGACTCTGTAGCAATTTTTTCATGTATTGGAGGGGGGTGGCTTGTGGCCTTGGGCTGGGCCACTCTGGAAACTTTTCAGGCCTAATCCCCCCTGATAGCCTATTAATACAAAGCAGACCTCACTGTAACAACAAAAAGTAGCAAATTTTCTTTATTTAATAAAAATAAAAAATCCTAAGGGTTTTTATGTAAACTTTTGATTCCTTGCCCTGATGTTCTAGGTTATCTAAAATAGAAAGTATTTATTGTGTCCCTAAAATGGGCTAAAATTCAAGAAAAATAGCAAAAATCAAAAGTATCAAAAATTGCAGTTCAGTATCATAAATTTCAATCATTCACAAAGGAGGACTGTCCTCCCAAAGTGTCAATTCAGTGTTTCATTTGACCTTTGCAATCTCAACATCTCTTCGCAATTCAGGCTCTGTTAAATTATGTTCTTTGAATGGAAACTGTTCCACATGTCCCCTATTGGACCTCTATTTACATGTACAGGTTTTTGTGTCAATCATAAAATGTAAAAAATTTGTACAAGGTAATTTATAACAGGCTCTGTAAAACAATCATGGTCCAAAGCAAGTTGTGAAATGGAGGCAAAGTTTTGGGAAAAGTGACCAGAGAAAAACATGCTAACTGGCCTTTGGGATTTGCAGGGAAATATTCATAGTAAGCAATGATAAAAACACTGGTTCCAAGAGTTTGCAAAGCCCAATGCTGAACATGTTTGAGCCACGAAAAAGAATCGAAAAATCCTGTCACCAAATTTGTAACACCTTAATCAACAATGGCTAGTGGACACCATAACCAAGTTATTATCACGTTCTTATTCTCATTCCAACTCAAGGCACAGATGACAAATTACAATTCACTTTTAAATTATACTTGGGGCTGAATGGACCAACTCACCCAGTCTGACAAACAAGCACATCAAACAAACAACAGTACACACAGAGACGATGACACAATAACTTAATTAAAATTATAATCAATTGTTACAGAGTACTTCCAAGAACATGACAGAATTAATTTCTTTTGTTATTTTTTTCAGAAAAGCAAGCAACTCGTTTCATTATTATTCATCGTCTCACAAGAAGGTAAAGGAGACTTAAATGCTTTTGTTGATAATGGTATAATGTCAGAGGTGCATGGTCACAATGATGTGCTTGGCAAGTTCAAACTGAAGTTCCCGAGATCTTCAAGCGTCATGCAGACGTACTTAGTATCCTATGAAGATGACATCTATGATGAAAAGAACATCATCATGAAAAATCTTAAATACCATCGTACTGAAAAGAATTCAGATAGAAATCGAATGATTGGCTTGCCTGGTGTAGTCACTAATGAAGAAGGAAGAAAGCCCAATTTTTTTGTTCACAATGTTATCCTGAAATTGCCTTTTGAATTCGAAGTGTTGTTCCAGTCTGGTAGTTTTCTTGACCGTAAGAAAGATCTTAGTGGCCCAGTTTTCAGTGACGTTTTTAATGAGAGAAGTAGGTTATTTGATGAAAAATTTGAGAAAAAGTTTAATTTAGCAAAGAAAGGTTTCTCTATTGAGGAAAGAGATTTTGCAAAGGCTGCTATGAGTAATATGATTGGAGGAATGGGGTATTTCTATGGAAATTCGAAAGTTAAGTCAAAATTCTTGAAAGAGCCAGTTGATTATTGGACTGAAGATTTGTTCACTGCAGTTCCTTCTCGCTCTTTCTTCCCGAGGGGATTTCTTTGGGATGAGGGATTCCATCAGCTGTTAATTAGCCAATGGGATCGTAGTATTAGCATGGATGCTATATCACACTGGTTAGATTTGATGAACGCGGATGGGTGGATACCACGTGAACAAATTCTTGGAAGGGAAGCCAGGAAGAAAGTTCCTGATGAATTTGTTGTACAGCATAATGAGAATGCAAATCCCCCTACTTTGTTTCTGGCTATTCAGTCGATCCTTGCTTCAGAGAGAAAAGAGTATGGAAACATCTCAAAGCCAACGGAAATATTTTTGAGAAAGTCATTTGGACGGTTGCAAAAATGGTTCAGCTGGTACAACTGGACCCAGGTCGGCAGTGTACCATCTTCCTATCGTTGGAGAGGTCGGGATGCAAAAAATGACGTCGAGCTCAATCCAAAAACATTGACATCTGGACTTGATGACTACCCAAGAGGGTCGCATCCAACAGTAGCCGAGAGGCATGTTGATCTACGTTGCTGGATGGCTCTTGCTTCTGGTATACTCTCAGACATTGCCAAACTAATCGGTCAGCCATACAGTCGCTATGAGAGTACGTTCAAATACCTTAGTGACAATAATTTGCTGGATGAGCTGCATTGGTCCAGCCGCGATAAAGCGTATTGTGATTATGGAAACCATACAAAATTCGTAGCACTTGAGCATAGGCCTGTAAACAACCAGCCTGGGGCACCAAAGCGTATGGTTCGTGTAGTTAGATCAAAACAGGGTCCTTCGCTTAAGTTTGTCCCAGAATTTGGTTATGTAAGTCTTTTCCCTTTTCTTCTCCACATCCTTGAACCAACTTCACCGAAACTGAAGCAGATTTTAGACGATTTAAGGCGCCCTGATCTCTTATGGACCGAGCACGGGTTGCGGTCGTTAGCAAAAAACAGCCCAATGTATATGAAACGGAATACGGAGCATGATCCACCGTACTGGCGTGGGCCTATATGGATAAACATGAATTATCTTGCCGTTAGAGCGTTGGACCATTACAGCAAGTTAGAGGGGCCTTATCAAAAACTATGTAAAGAAATTTATAGCCAACTGAGATTTAACCTGATCCGCAACATTTTCAGAAATTATCAGAATACAGGGTACATCTGGGAGCAATACAATGATTCAACGGGAAAGGGGCAAGGGTGTTATCCTTTTACCGGTTGGTCAGCTCTAGTGACTTTGATGATGGCGGAGATATATTGATTGGTTATTTCCAATGGAACAGAAGGACTGGAAGCAAGATAGGAGAAGAATGAACTTTTGACAAGATAGCAGAGAATGTTGCACGTGCTTGTGTTTTGAAGATGACATACAATTTTACAGTAAAGGCTGGTGTATTTGCTTTGATTTTTTCATGAAAACTCTCAAAGAAAGTAAAGTCTTGGTTTTCACTTTTGGCCTCTTTTTTACCTGTCTAGAATACTAAAATGTAAATCCTTGAATTGTGCCCTGTCATGTCAACCCCCTTTCGAATTAGCCCCAACACACGTAACGTTTGCGTAAGCCTGCACCCTGACATGCCAATTGCTACAATACATGATTTTAGTATATTCAATGGGATTTAAAACTAAAATAAACATAACATTTCTAAAATACTTTTTTGCCGATATTCTCGACATGCAAACTGGTTCCTTTCTCAAAGTGAACTTGGAAAAGGCCCCATCACCCACAAAAGTTTAAATCCATCTGACAGAGTTACTTTCACAGCTGGAAAGCGTATAGATTTGCCTAACAATAATAAAACTGGGCTGCGAACAAATAAATGAATTGAAAAAGAAGAAAGCATTGAGCCATAACCTTAAGATAGTTATCATCTATTTAGATAACGTTAATGGTATCTGTAAATTGAGATTTCAAGGATCTTGCGCAACCGGCATGCCTCGCGGTTTTTACGCTAAGTGAACTGGGCTGTATTATGTATATTCACACAGTACTGTATTAGCCCGGTTTTAAAAATATAGTCGCAAAGCATGCCGGCTGCGCATGAGCCTTTAAGCAAAACAGACAAAACTGAGCAAAACACGAGTTGGCAGTCTCGTTTTAAAATTTAGTCGTGTTTATCGCAATCAAGTGATTTAAGTAAGGGGACCTGAAAATAGGTGTAGGATCGCTGTTGAGTTTTCAGGGGTTTTTCAGCGTTGGTGAAATTCCAAGATTGTGCATAGATTTCAAGAACTATGGTCAGCTCATATTGCGCAGTCAGATAATTTCTAGAGTTTCGCAGCGAAAATCGAAAGATTTCTTAGCTTGGAGAAACGTAACTTGAACGCCGTCAAGAAGTACACGACTGTCAACAAAGATTTCAAGTGCAAAATTGAATCTGGAAATGTTTTTATATGCGAGAACAGTTGAGGAGGAAGCAAAGGGACTGGGAGGGCTCCATCTCCTCTAATCAGGCAAAATTATCGCATTTCAGGCTCCATTCTGACAGTTCTGTCTCAAAGAAGCAATAATATTTGGGCAGGGACTAAGAATAGAAATCTTTAAAAACCTGTCTATACATAGACCTGATAAGGTTATATTGTAACCCGACAAGGAGTTGTAAAAGTTGGTGACTTTCCTCCAAACCTGCAATTTATGGTCTCAACAGGCCTCTGAAAAAACAGCTGAGAAGTTGTTTTGCTGGACTATTTTTCTTACTAAGTTTTTCAAATACTAATTTTCCTGACATTTTTCTAGTCTGAATTCTTTTGAGTTTGGGAAATGATTTTGAAGCTAAACTCTTTTTAATGGTGAAGACCAAACTTTGAAACACAATGATAAGATGAAAGTTTTTCAAGTTCGAGTTTTCAGAGATTTTGGCTTTTGATTCTGCTCGCACAGAGATTTGTACCCCAGCTTCGGATCAAGCACCAAAAGTTCATACTACAGTATACTATTGCTAAGTGGGATCTCATGGTGAATGGGACAATGTAAAAAGATGATGAAAATGTCCCACTAAGCGAAAGATGTTGAGAAATTAGGATAGAAGGGGACACTAGTATTTAAAATCATCGAGGGAATTAATTTTGGCAGATTTTTATTTTCATCTCTGAGCCATAGTTAGTTTTATACATTTGGTTCCCATTTATTCCAGTCAGGATCAAATTCTAGTTAGTGGTCCAAAGCTCCGTAAAAGAAACTTTGTGAAATGCGCCCAACGAGGGTTTTTATTAAAAGGTGTATGGAATTAAATAGATTGAAATGAAATCCAAATTCTTTTCCCCGTTTATCGAAATCTCATTTCGTTCTTTTTCAAACCCCTTAAACTTGTAGAACATAAAATCAATCAGCCACTAAATCAAAAAGAAAGCTTTGTTAAAAAGGCCTGTCAAACAAAAAGAAAACGATATATTGTCTACAATCTTTCAATAGTTACGAAAATAGATTAAAAATAGTAAAGTATAAGGTATACCTTGTCAACAGTTCGTTGCCTGTGATGCATTCTAGAAATTCCTACATATTAAACCTACTACAATCAAAATAAAAGCATAACATAAAAAAGAAACAAGGTAAAACGGCCTATATACCTTGATTAATTAACGCAGTTTAAAACGCAAAAATATTCAAAACTGCATTGGTCAGGCGGGCGTGGCGATAGTTTGCACAATCTGAGAGTTGCCTCTGTGTATCAAATTTATTCTCATATGATCACTGCTGTAGTGGTCGACAGCAACCATTCTCAAAAGTCATGCCGATAGATTTTCGATGAAAGCCAATCGTCAGGGATATTATCAATTAAATAAAGAGCGACTCAACTTACTAAAATCATCGTAAACCGACATTGAAGTTAACCTTCACTGTATGACAAGAGTAAGACAACTACTAATAAAATTTTATCAAGACACTTTGCATCTAGAATAAAACGACTATGTTACAACGAAGATACGCGGCCTTACACGACCGCTATGCCTAAGAATGTCAAGTATTTCGGCGCTTCAGAAAGACGCGGCCTACTTAAAATTAATCCACACTAACAGGACCCAGTCTAAGACTACAAAAGGCTCTCGTCTTATTAAAATAATTGTCTGTTTAGAATGAGATAAATACAATTTCATTGTTGCATTTATCGAGTAGGATGTCACTCGATCAGGCAACACAGTGGGAGGACAATTTTCAAGTAAAAGGTGTATGCAAACAATATACAGAAAAAAGGTTCTAATGGATTATTATTTTGAAGCAATAAACAGAACAATTTGCTTACTTGAGGTCTAAGTGGACATATATGTTTTGAATCTCGATTGGGCTTATCGAGAAAACTATTTCGGTAGAATAATATCCAGCAGCAGTTTCAATAAGAATTGCGCCAGTGCACATCCTTGTGGAATTCTATCAAGAAGGTAGTTTGAGCAAGTATACAGAAACCTGTCCATGAAGCCCCGCAATCGATAAATCGATTTACATATCGTGTTGGCAGCTGACAACAAGTGACACCCCTTACTAGAAGCAATACAAAACCATCACCATAGAGACCTGTCTACAGTCTATTCGAAACTCGAAGACCTGAAGCGTTGAGAAGTCGGAAGACTCTGCTTTGCAGCTACTGCCCAGTGACCTTGTAGCCAAATCGAACGAAAATTCAACAGCCCTTGACCTGTAGAAAATCAAGAGCCTAGATTAAAAAATATATAAATCCAAAGATTAACTGCTCTATAAAATTCAGGTAGTTAGATTAAGCAACTGCTATATCTAAATGTAAGACCAAGGCAGAATATATAGTGTTGTATTACTTTGCTCCTATTTGGCAAGGAATCCATTATAAAAACCTTTAAACAGTAATAACTTAAAGCTGGGATACCAGACTCTCGAGAATAACTTACAGAAAGAATATTACCTTAATTATAGACATAAAATAATGTTTGCAACCAACATACAAAAGAAGTGAACAGGCCTAATATAAATCAGCGGATTAATGCATCATTGCAGTTGAGTACATTTGGGGGAGTCCTCTTTTGGGGCGCTTTGTTTCTTAAATAATCAGATTCTTACCCATCGTTAGTTCAGGTATAAGCAATTTAGAATTGGACAACTTAAAAAGTGGCAAAGGCAGATAGTGACTTTGCGACCATAGCTTTATCTTTCTATTAAGTGAACAAAATGAAAGCCTGGCACTCAACGTATTACCAAATCCAAACCATACTTTCTTGAGAACGTCGAGGACAACCCCTCGCCCCCGCCCCATGTGAACCACCAATTAAATTATGCAAAATATCAAATCGTACCTTCATGATCCGCTGAATATTTCTCTACTGTTAATCATTAGTTATAAAATATATCTACACCCCCAGAGAAATATCTTATGACTAAAATGTTGTTTAAGAATCCTTCACCTACGCCAAACTCCCTAACAAAAAAGTAAACTTTTGCAAATAAACACAAATTAATATATTAGGGAAAGATGAAAGTAAAAATATCTCGAAATCTTGAAAAGATATACCTTTATACAAAAGGGGGAGGTTGGCACAAAGAACTATGACTTGTCTTCACTATTTAGAACACTGCTAGCTGACTGAGATTGACCTTTGCTCTTCTGCTCCTTGTCCTTTTGACCTTTATCCTTTTGACCCTTGTCCTTCTGACCTCTTCCATGTTGACCTGTGCTTGTCTGACCGGTTGCCTTTGAACTATTTTCCTTTGAAAGTCTTACTCTGTTCTTTTCTGCGTTAACCTCGTCATCAGAATGCTCATCACAAACATACACACCTTCTGAAATTTCAAAAATCTCCCCGTCATGGTGTGAGCCACAAAATGAATTTGGACATATGCTACAATAGTAGCTCGCTCGTTTGCCACAAATGTCGCAGAAATGCCAAGGACAGTCCCATTTGCCTTTCGGCATATCCGAAAGCGTGAGACATTTGAGGTGATAGCATTTGGAACAGGATAACCTATCGCACATTATCAGTTCACCACCGTCTCCGCATGCAAAGCACTCATCTTCGTGTCCTGGAATAAAATGCAGAGGCCAGGTGTCATTGCTTAAGCATATCAACCACAAATTGATGCCATCGAATGATAGGTTGCACAAAACATTAAAACGTATTGCCTTAAAAACGCCCTACTTGAAATCAAGTCTTCAAAAACAGAACAAACGTCAGACCTCGAATAAACGCCAGGGGCTGCTAAAGCACTGGCTTTTATTCAAGGTCAAGCATTAATTTGACTATATACGGTAAACTGAGGGAAAAGATTGGTTGTTCTTCAAACTATATATATATCTTCAGTCTCTCACCAGTCATATCAGACAGGAGTTTCAATTATAATAAGCTGGCAATAGATTACATTAAAGGAACACTGATCATACGGAAATGAAGGCACAATGACGGAGCGAGGGGAGTAGGCTTTCAGGCAGATGGGAAGGTTTAAAATTTTATCTTCGATTTCTCCTGCACAAGACTATCAGGAGATGCGTGATTAGAGTATGTGAAAAGCAAGTCACGACTTCTCAGGGAAATTTCCTAAAAAAGATACAACTTAGAACTTTATACGCCTTATTAAGCAGTTCAATAAAAGATCAGATTTATTTGAAGATTATTGCTGCGGTAGGAGCCATCTTCAAAAGAAATTCCACTTCAACAATTTTGGACTCTGAAAATGTATCGACCTGATCTTTTTAAAAAATTTCTTCAAAATTCAGAAGTTTCTGCTCATTTACCTCTTTGACTTCAAAGAAGTCGAGTGAATCGTTTCATTGCAACATACATAAATAATGGTACCTATAGTATAGCTTATTGGCAGAAGCATCTTTCAGCTCTTCCAAATAGTAACGGTCATAAGAAAGGAGAGCTAAGATCGGAATATCAGGGATAGAAGAACATGATTTGTGAAAGTAGTTGGTTAACTCTTGACCAGCGACACTGTACATAGCTAAAATAATTCCTTCTGGTGTGCCTGAAACTTTTGATAAAATTAGGAGATGAAGAAGACTAACAAGTTCGGAAAAATGTTTCTCCAAAATATGCCAAGAACAATTTTTTTCTACATTTAAATGACTTATCATGTTCTCAAAAGAAAACTCACTTATAACTTTCGTTTTATCCTTTTTGCTTTTCCTCTTTTTCTTTTGCTTGTCCTTTTTCTTCTTTTCTCCTAAAGCAATTGCATTTTGTGTCTTTGGCCGAACACCCAAAAAGCCACTGCAGTTTTTAGAACCACATTGACAAGCCTTCTTTTCGTTGCCTGAAAAACAAACAGGTAGCCCACATAATTTATATATTTCACCCAACACTCCATTCAACTTTCCCTTCAAAAGCCAGGCACAATCCTCTAGCAAGCTGTTGGAGAAAAGATTTATTCACTTTTTCTTTGCTAGACCTTGTGCGAAATTGCTAAATTGGTGGTGTAAGAAATGCAACAATTTACTGGCTAAGCTAAAATTCCTTTAGAAGCATGTATAACATCAATTCATCAATGCTTTCTAAGTGAATTCAGCAACAACAACCATGGAAACAGAGACATTTTGTTATACCACAAAATATCTTAAAGACTATTTTAAACAGAGAACTTTCTAGTATCTGAATCTAGCATTAGGTTCAGGTCAGGTAGTAGCAATAAGTAGAATTACCTACCTAGAGTGTCTAAATTGTAGTTGAACATGAGCTCTGATCCAGCTTTAATGTCTTTGTTCGCAAAGAGACCAACTCTTATCTCACCGTTTACAGTCCATTTCTGCGTATCACAGTTCGGATCACAACAATGGTTCATAAAACGGGATGTATTTCCTTTTGGGTAAGCATCTATAATGTTGTCCTTATCGATAACAAGGAAATAATAATCAATGATACCCTTATCATGGTAATCATTGATTCTCTTCCGACACGTCGCTTCGTCTATCAGCTCGCCAACGTACTCAATCACAAAATCACCCTTTTTTATATCTGCAATCAAAAAAAATCTACAGCTTACCAGGAAAGATCAAGGAACTGTCTGACAAAAACCTTACAAGGATCGGTCTGGTAAATAAAAGGGAAAGGGTCTTAATTGCTAGTGTGTCCATTCACTGTTGGGTTTGCTAAGGAGCAATGTCAAATTCCATGCCTTAGCAGGAAGTGGAACCTAAAGCCTTTGCACAGATTAGCTTCGACTGACCATGATTGACCATGATTAGCGATTATATGCGAAGTGTATTTTAGCAGATAGGACATAGACAAGTTGACAATACATACTACAAAAACAAAAAGCTAGACTTTGCATACAAACACCAAGCAAACGAAGACAATGTCTGCTGAGAACAAAACCAAAATAAGAACGACTTTACAATGATGATATCAAAAAGACATACCTTGCCTGGTTTTCAATCCCCAACCACAACGAGCGGTCTTAAACGGCACGCAGTCAACTTGCTCGCACTTTTGAAAGCGTTGATTTTGGCACTTTTCATTGGCCTTGCACGTCTTATTGCATTCTATTTGTAACATCCTGTTCAAGCATTCTGAGCCTGACCCGCAGGGGTTTTCCGCTCTGGGGGAACATTCGCAAAGAGTGAACTCAGAAGGGTCGATAAGATTCCTCATTGCTGAAACGTATTTGTTTGTCTGAAGCAAAACAGAGATAACTCAGGTAGAATCAAACAGATTGGAGAAGCAAAAATATTTGCGAGATGTTTTTACTTCAACAAACTATACTTCAACATATTTTGATTAAAATGCTATATATAGGAGATTTTGAATTTCTTGCAGTTGCATAACCAAGCAGATAGACGTTTGACTCAAATTACTCCGATCTCGGACACTTGAATCTGACATCAGATTCAAGAGTGTCCCAGTGATTTTTCTTTGTTCATTTGTTAATTTAAATCTACGTGTTAATGGCCTCAGGGCAGGGACAGCTTTTTGTTCCCAACAGAAGGAGTATCGTTGTATGTAGATTATCTTGTACAATGATATTGCAGCATGTTGGCGGCATAAATATACAGTTCATATGACGGAATAAACTATACGTTGACAGATTGGATCAATACCTTAATGTGTTTGTACGGCGGTGGTTTCTTTGACTGTTTTGCCAACTTTTGTTCCAACTGTTTGTCCTGTATCTCCTTCAGCTCTTTGTAAGCCTCTTCAACTTCTCGTATTGCTAAAGAACAAGAAAAAAAATTGGATTGCACACATTTCTGCCACCAACAAGTAAACAAATTGGTAAAGATATGTAAAAATAATCATAATACCACTTGACAGAGCAACAAAGAGAACCAAATATGCTTTGTTCAACAACTCTGATCATCTAAGACACTATTCCTTCTGCAACATGAAAACTGTCTAAAAGACATCAAATAGCAAACTATTTCTCAAAACAAGGAAACCAAAAGAAAATGTTAAAGTTTCTCAAAAGAAAATAATTTCTATCCCGTCCGTAAAAATGAAAGATGGACCTCGAGGAAGAATAAAAAGACCATTCTTCATATTTCAAGGAATGCAGATATTTTGTGCACGGCACAGCAGAAGTTTGTGGCTGTGCATCCAGCGAGCGGATTGGGGTAGTAAAAGGGATCAGGGGCGAAGCCTCTAGGGAATTTTTCGGGGCCACGCCCTTTCTAAAAATGTGACCACACCCGTAACCTTGCGTAAGTTTGCATATCATTGATGGCTAAAATGAATTATGATTGTGGGTAGACAGGCGTCTGGCCAGATATGTACAGAAACTAGTAAAAATATATTTGTCAACTTTGAAAAACTGACAAAAACAGATAAATAACTACAATGAAAATTCAAATTTCTGTAAAATCAGTAACTTGAAACTGCCACAGTAACTTGAAACTGCCACAGTTTATGAGAAATACTCATGTTACACCCATCACATTCAGTTGAGCTAAACATGTTGGTTATTTCAAAAAGAAGTACATTATCTGGTGTGCACTAGCCAAAGAAGGTAAAGCCATCTTTTTTATTACAATACTTTACCCACCCTTCTCAAAGATCTTGTTCGTTCCACTTTTATTGCTAACTTTGCAGCCCTTGTCACCCTCCTGGTATGGGAACACCCGGCCTGCATGCAGCCAACAGTAATCTCTTGATCCGAAAAACATAACTGGGAATTCACCAACATCATGTGGTAGGTTTTGGATTCGAAGCGGAATTTCATCTGGAAAGCAGATCCTTGCTGGCCACCATCTGCAAGTTTAAAGGAATGAGTATGAGGGTGTAAAAATGTATAACAAGTATTGTTTGAATCTATGAAAAAGACTACTGGGAAGGTTTGATCATTAAAAACAATACTAGAAAATTGTACATTCTTCTAAAAGAGCCTGTTCAAAACCTTTAAAGAGTCCAGGTTACCTCCCTTGCGTCTTCTTACCGCATTTTAAACTTGATTTTGCAAAATTAAAAGCAAATTTGAAAGCAAATTAAAGCGGTTTCTTTTTTTACAAGACAAAGGTAAATTACGAGACTACAGCCAGTAAAGGAAACTCGTTCGTCATAGACAGAATAAAATATGACGACATCACATATCAATTCAACTTTCTTGAGCCACGCCACATCACACGAGTTGTGAAATAATATTTCGTGAAAAAATTAGTAACAGCTTGCAACAGTGCTGGACTACAAATGCATCCACTGATTACCTATATAGAAACTTAACCCTATCCAGACTAGGGGGGGGCACAAAGTGCCCCCCTGGTTGGTTTTTCTCTCATAACTTCAGGAGTTTCAAAGCAATACCCCTCAGACCTCCTGACTTTTAGTTTTAACCTATCTGACACATGTTCATATAAAAAGATAATTTTTTTATTATTAATCAGGGGGTTGTGTAGGGGCGTTTTCAAAACTAGTCAAGTAAAAAATAGTTCAATCTGCCACGGATTCGCAACAAAACTAGATATATTGATGAAAATTAGTATCTAGGCATAAATTTGTGCTCTTTTCATGATTCTGACCAGAAAATTCAAAATCAACATCCTTTTCTATGATTTTTCTGCTGCGCATGCGCACGCATTTGTTGACAGATTTATAGGCATTACATTAATAAAACTGCAAGTTTAGAATAATTTGTCTGCTAAGGCACTAAAAATGAACTCAAACATGACATTTGTTGTATCGATCATTTAGTTATATAGAAAATACTATAGCCAAATACAAAATATGTTGAGTTCTTTTGTTTGGAACGTTAATAATTTTGAGAAGTAACATTAAAATTGTGGCAATCTTCTTGTTTCTATTAGAAAATGCATCAAATTTGATTATTTTAATATCTTAGCCCGATGCTTTGGAATTAATGATTATTTTAAGATTTTCTAAAATTTTCTAAATTTTTGCTTCACCCGGCCACCATTATGATGACGTCATCGTAAAACCACGTGACTTAAAAATTGAACAATAATACTAAAATGTGGAGAAAAGATAGGAGTACCATCAAAACAAAGTTCATTGTCCTAGCTAGAGGGACAAAGAAATTACGGAGGGGGGGCACTTTGTGCCCCCCCCTAGTCTCCCGAAAGTTTCAAAAAGCCTAGTCTGGATAGGGTTAAAGCCACAATGTGATAACTATGATATATTTTAAATACTCATTGCCCAGTAGAATAGACACCTCTTCCTTAAAACGCAAACCCTTCAGAACCTGATCAGCCTGAGTGCTTGCAAATGCATGGCAAAAAGTTTCTTGACAGTAAATGAGAATTTCAAATCCTTGGTGATTTTCACTATTGTAAAACATGCCTAGAAGTACTTTAACAATGAAAAAGTCAAGTTGACTTTACATACCTCCAGAATCCGTACTTGACCCAAACAAGGTCACCAAAAAGAGGTTTCTTCCCCTCTCTGCAAGAGTCACACTGCCAAGCCTCGTCTGGAACACCATCAAGGTCTTCAACACAACCGGGGTGAAACGCAGCTGGACAAGTATCGCAGCATACTAACATCCCACCACTTGAACAGACAAAGCACCAACTGACATTATAATGTGTGTGATGCGGCTTGCTTTTGTGTGGTACAAAGTGCTTGTTGCAAACCATCAAAGAGCTTGTCAACTGCATGCATCCTGCCACGAGGCATCCAGATGCATGGTATGCCGTAGGGCAGCGTACACATCGCAACATTCGCTTTTTTGATGCCATATTGCTGTCTTTATCATTAGTACAAGTTCCACAACTATGCAACGAGCAGTAAAGTTTGTTGTTTTCAAGGCGACAACCAGGTGTTTTCTCTGCACATTCTTGATGATAGAACTTGCCACAAGTAGGGTAGCTGCATTTGCGTAATTTCCCGGTTTCTTTGCAAAGGAAGCACGAATGATTGCCTGTTAGGCATTCATCGCAGAAAAATTTGTCTGGAACAGTACTTAGTCCTAAGCAATCTGGATGAAATGAGCTGTAACAAACACCGTTACACGACAATAATCCTTCCGATTGTTCACAAATAACACAAATGCTGTCTCTTTTGCTCTTACCAGCATCGTCACCTTCTTTCCCAGAAATGGATGACGTTTCATCCGAAACATTACTTCGTGTTTCTAGTTTTTCTCCTTTCTTCAGTTTCTTTCCAGGCACACAAGACACTGCTAACGACCTTTCAAAGTGATTATCTTTCGCAGCATCAACCACGCTGCATTTTTCTGTGCCTTCATCCAAACCACTTTGGTTGCTTTTTTTATCAAAGTTATTCACTAAAGAGTCTTTATCACTAGAACAGTAAGTATCAATGACACCTGTGTCCGCAGATATTGGTGTTTGGCCATCCGAATTCTGCAGATCTTTAGAGGCCTTCCTGTGCCTATTTCGGTTTTGTTTGGTTAAGCTCTTTTTGCGTTTTACGCGCTTTGGTGGTGGTCCCATGTCAGAGTAATCCTGAGCTTCATTTTTGTCATCCAAAGAAATTTGTTTCCGCTTTCTTACCTTTCTGCCACTCTTGCTTTCTTCTATGTCATCAACAGGAACTTCCGTAATACCAGTCTCAGCTTTCATGCTCTTTCGTTTGTGGAAACCTCCTTTTGTTTTAGTTTGATTTTCATCTTTACCCTTACTGACTGACTTCTTTTTGCCTCTCTTCACTTTATCTACATTAGCCATCTCAACCATTTCTGTATGACTGTCTTTCAATTCTTCGTTTAACTTCTTCCTTCTAACATACTTCCTTTTAGGCTTTTTATCAGCAGTAGGAGTAGCCGTATTGGAAGCCAGCTCTGTCCGTACACCATCGTTTGATGAAAGTTTCTCGGAATAGAGTGTTTCCTCAGTATTCGTACCAGCTGTTGTTGCCCTACATTCACTCTCTGACCTGCTGCCGTTTTTTTTACTTTTTCTTGGATCCTTTCCACTCTTTTTGGGGGATTTTTTCGATGAAGAATTTAAGGCGCTTTTCTTTGGAGTGACTTTTCTCTCAGCTTTTGTTAATTTTGAGTTCTTGCATTCCGTTTTCAGTGACTTTTTCGTTTTGCTTTTTGGCTCATCTGAAAATTCCCCTTGCTTTGGATTTGAATTCTGAGTTTGGTCATCAACTGAAACCCCCTGGTCATCGGTTCCTAAAGAGTTGATATCTTCTGCACCATCTATAGAAGCCTTATCTACAGTTGTATTCAGTTCATCTCTATTATTCTCTATAGAAATCTTTCTGGTGTCGTTCAACAATGATTTCTGCTCAAAGGCCATCAAATTTTTCTTTCCTGATGAATGCCTTCCGATATCAGAGGATTTTGACTTTTTATTGGCTTTTTTAGTTCCTTCGGGGGAAATGGTGACTTTACTGTCATTGTCGAAAATTTCTTCTTCCAAGGTGCTTTTGTTTTTAACAGTATTGTGCAGATCAAAATCTATCTTCCTCACACCGTCACGTTTCTTCTTTCCAAAGCCAGGCTTTCCTTTATCCACTTCGGTAGCCCTACCTCTGCTTGACAGTATTTCATCAAACGCGATGCCCACATGAAAATCTGACATTGACTTCCTCTTCCTTTGTCTTTTACAGCAATTTACAGAGGGGCTTTCTCCACTTTTGACAGAATCACCAGAACTCAAAATAGATTGCCTCTGACTGACTGGACTTTGATGACTCGGAGAGCTACTAGCTGACAGAGGTTGAGGTGACGACTTCACTACTTCATATGAATTAGAAGAGGTGAGGTTTACACATTCCGTTGACAGGACATCTTGTTCTTCAATTTCGGGAGGTGTTTTCCCGTTATCTTCCAAATAATCACTATCAGGCACATTTAATAGGCCATCTCTCTTCTCACATCTTTCATCCCGGTCCGGCACAGGGGGATTTTCTTCATGATTCTTCATCAAATTGGATTCTTGCTCGATATTTTGATATCTGTTAAAAATGTTCAACCCAGCTGAGACAGGACACTGGTCACTTTGGTCTTTCGTACTCTCCAGATCAGGCCCATGTAGAGATCTACTGCAATCAGTGAAAGATGGAAGTAGATTTGAACTTTCTGCTTCACCTCTTTTTTCAACAACTAAAGTATAAGCTTCTGGATTGTCCAGTTCATATGACCCACAAGAAGACACTAAAGTTGTGCATTGTTCTTCAAACTGTTCATTTTCCCTTCTCTCCGTCTCAATTTGATCTTCTTCTGATATGCAAACGTTATTTACATTTTTACTTTTCTGGTACTCCACTATACCGTAAAGGTCATTTTTCTTTGGATCTACCAGAGAAAGTACTGCAGATTGTCCAGTTGGAATTCCTCTCAAAGAGCTAGGATTATTCAAATCTAATTGGTTGATAATACCGAGTGTAGGATTGTTTATAGTAGCTTTACCTGCTGCTATGTATCCCTCTCCATGTGTCATTTGGGTTGTTAAGGACGACAATACGTTACATGTGCTGTCAAAACCTTTGTCATGATAAGATTGAGAACAGGCAAATACAGGCCCAAAGGGCAGATTTTGACGACTGAAAGCTGGCTGAAAGTCAACTAGACCATGCAGATCAAGCTGAGATGATTTTTCAAAGTCAGTATCTATACTTGGCATCGTCCCTAACTTAAAGGCGTCTATCTCTTTGCCTTGAGGTTCGATTGCATTTTGATCTCCAGCTTTGGCAAATACAGTTGGTGTGGGATAATCTTTGTTAATGTCACAGCCTTTACTAACTGGAAGCCCTACATCATCAGCATTCAAATACACGTCCGCATCTTCTACGCCATTCAGTTCCTCAGATTCAAAGACGGTATTATCCCTTTCAATATCTTCGTGTATTTGATTTGACCTTTCTTCATCAGTGGTGAAAAAGTTTTGCTTTGGCGATTCATGTTCATGCATCACTATGGAAATATCACTTTTATGTGGGCCAGCATCATCTAAGGTGCAACCAGCGATTTCATTTACGTTCTCGTGCTCATCTGAACGATCACTCATCAGCTTCATCTCCATAGCTCCAATTTCCGGTTCTATAGCGTTGTCTGAAAATTGGATAGAAAGTCGAATCCCCTTTTCACCAGTAGAAAATGTCTCTGAATGTGGATCTTTAATATGATCTTTTGCTCGCTCTTGCCATTCAAGATTAAAACTATCTTGGTAAGTATCATCTTTTTGACATGAAGAAATCAAAGTGCAAGTGGAAAGATTTTCATCTGATCTGATGTGTAAATAACCATCTACAGGTTCATTATACAAAGTAAGTTCTTTTTCCTTCAGCTTTTCCTTGTCACCACAGTGGATCTCTTGACCTAATTGAATGGTTTCACTTGATTTCTCATTTCCAAAGATTGTTGAGCTAACGCTGTTATCCGAATCAACATTTGTTTGTGTACATTCTTTTTCTGGCAAACGGTTATTTGTACATATCTTATCGAGCTGAAGACTTTGTTCTTTAGGTTTTGGCGAAGATTCTTCTGTTTTTTGGACCTCCGATGCAGGAGTCTCTGTTCTTTCAATCTCAATTGGAATTTCTCTCTCAAAGTCATGTATCAGTTCCAGAATCGACTCCTTAGGTATACAACCGTTTATCCCATTCTTACCATTAGGATGGGTTTCTGATGATAAACCTAAAATGTCATCTATCTCGAGCAACTGACGAGCTTTACAAACAAAATACTCCTTATCTGGTCCACTTAATAATACATGGTTTCTTGTACTCCGCCTCAGTGGCAATCTGTCGATTTTAAGTTTCTCCTTGTTTTGATGTCTAGTGGAAGAAGATGACCCAGTTGATTTTCTTTTAATAGTATGCAGTTCGAAACGAGTACTTTCATCAAAACTCTCCATGCACATAGTTTGATTTCTATCTTCTTCAGTGACTGTTTGCTTGGTTGCTATTTCAGTAAGGTTACCAACAACGCTTGTCTCAGAGGCAACAGTATGATTAACCGACGTATCTGAGGCTCCAGAATCTTCAATGACTGGTTTGGAAGTGAGCATTCTTTTTTTGCCGCGTTTCTTACTTTTTCTGCCTTTCTTTTTAAGTCTTCCCGCTACAGATGATGGCTTCTTGTTTTCAGCAGAAGGGATATCTTGTCCTGAACTATCTCCTGTAGCTCCGTTTTCACCTCGCTTATCACCCATATCCCCAATTTGGGGCTTCACAGAGGAATTCCCGTTAATAAGGGACTCAGATCTCCTTCCAAATCCTTGCTTTTTCTCTTGAAAGTCTTGCTTACCGGCACTGGTTGCAAAAGTCTTTCTTTTCTCTTTCTTAGATTTGCAATGGACTGCCTTTTTAGTAGCTTCATTCTTTGCTGTTGGCAATTTCAACTGTCTTGAAAACTTTTTAGAAGCATGAGTTTCCTTTGTTTTGATATTTCTCCGCGTGCAACCTTTCTTCCTGCTCTTAGCTTTAGTCCCTTCGTTGCTCTTCTTGCTTTTCCGCTCTGGGGTCTGTGTTTGTTTATTTTTCAAAATCTTCTTTGGAACTATTTCAAAATATGGCGCTTTACTTGGCAGAAATTCAAGTTTGATTTTCTTGGGCTTTTTGAGTAACTCATCTTTCTCAACATCGCGATATCTTTTGTTTGAACTTGCCAATTCCCCTTCTTTAAGTTTGCTATTCAGCCTTGAAACCTTAAATTTGTCAAATTTTTCATCAATCAGAGCTGGATCTTTTACTTCCATTCTAGCAATCAGATCACAGCTATCTACACATGGCTCATTTACTGTCATTACTGAAACGGTATTTGCAAGACTATTCGGCGTTGAAGGGACTGCATTTATCAGGAGACCTTGTATTACAGCAGCTGATCGTCCTCTTCTTTTCCAGGTTGACTTATTTTTTAACCCTCTATCACAATCAACAATATTGGATTTTTTATCTTGAGACTGCTTTAAGCTAACGTTCTTACTTTCCGATGAGCTAATACAAACATCTAAATGATCTAAATTATTTTCGGTATCGATTTCTTTATCATAAAAATCGTCAGAACTACCACCGCCAGGATCCTCGTGCTGGACATCAGGTTTACCTAGCAAACATGAACGGCGTGTAACCCTGGGTTTTACTTTTACTCCTTTCTTTGGCAGCTTCTCCTTCTTCTTTGTTGGAGAGTCCGGGGATTTACTAGGCTTTGTTATTTTCTGGCTGAGATGGTCGTCATTGTATTTGAAGACATAACACAGTTTTCTCTGCTGTCGATTTAAAGGGAGTGCTTTTTGTGCTTGTTCCAGTGCCCTTTCCCAAGCCTTTGCTTGTTTTGAATGTGCAAGCTTGTCACGTTTAGGAGTAACAGTGGTTGGTAGCTCCATGGCCGGATCTTTGCCTACAATAGTAAGGTAGAAAATAATACATGATACCAAAACCAATGACCTGGAGCAGTTCAGCAAGGTCGAATATAATTATACTTCGGTTGCCAAATTGGCACGCTCTGGATTCTTGAGTAAAAGTTTCCACCCCGACACCACTAAACTTTTGACCTTCAACTGGATTAAATAATATAATTCTATCTTGCATCTTTCTACAACTTGTAATTTAAATGCAATAAAAAATGTTAAGGGTTATGACCTTGAAACGGTCACCAGAAACAATTTACGAGGTATAATCCGTTATAAGTTCTCAAATTTGATATCATCTCAAAATCTATAATAAGCACAAACAATGTGGAAAGTTATATCTAGGCTAAGTCTGTTGTGCCAAATACCAAACTGGGCCTAAAAAAATTAAAAATATTTCAATGAAATCTGGGGTAATTCGCATAGTTCGCATTTTTTTCGCTTAGTTCCAAAACGGGAGCGTAAATCTAATTGGTGGTTGGGAGTTTTGATTTTCGCTTAGTTCCAAAACGGGGCCGTAAATCTAATTGGTGGTTGGGAGTTTTGATTTTCGCTTAGTTCCAAAACGGGGCCGTAAATCTAATTGGTGGTTGGGAGTTTTGATTTTCGCTTAGTTCCAAAACGGGGCCGTAAATCTAATTGGTGGTTGGGAGTTTTGATTTTCGCTTAGTTCCAAAACGGGGCCGTAAATCTAATTGGTGGTTGGGAGTTTTCGCAAATATCACGTGGCGTAATGACGACAATGGTTAAAATCGTAGAGAAAGCATTTTAGAAACTGACTACAACAAAACAAACTATCATGTCTTGAGTGAACAGTTCCTTAACTCTGATGAGCCCTTCAACCATGTAAGGGGTTAGCGCTTGCTGATTATTCCATTCCAATACAACAATCACGCAACATTTTTTACCTCGTATGTTTTGCGGTTTTTTATTACTTGCACTGAAAAGGAAAGGTACTTCACAGAATGAGTCACTTGGTATAAAATGTAAGGGGTCATGTTTCCAGCACGACTTTCTATTTGGCAATCTACCTTATGAAAGGAAAATTTTATGACTTTCACCTTGCCAGTTCTACCATCATAGTTTTGTTTTAAATTCTTTGTCATTCAGATCAAATGATGTCAAAAATTACAACAACAACAAAACGCAACTGAAATGTTTAAGGTTAACACGAAGCCATTCTCACTATGCGCTTTTAAACCAAAACCGGATTTTCGATTTAATCTATGTTGAACAAGAAAAAGAAAATGGTGTCAGAAAAAAACAGTTTGGCCGTTTATCTTGCGAAGACGAACAAATTAGACTAAAAAGACTTGTGCGAACAAAGAGCATTGTTAAAAAATCTTGATAAAATATGTTCATTCCAACTTAAATGATGATGATAGAGAGAAGAAAAATATAGCCAAATGTGGATAAATATTGTTTTTTCAATGACTTTGTCTCCGTTTTTCAATTAAAATGTTGAAAAACAGACCTGCTGTCTGATGGTATCTAATTCTAAATAACCCTTCAAAAAGCATGAAAAATTGATCAATGCTCATGTCTTTTGGCTACTGATAAAAAGTCAAATCAGTTGAATTAAATTTTAATACTGCTTAAACATGGTTGGTAGGAAGTATTTCAAAATGAATGATTCTGATTTGTTCCTGTTTTAAAAGAAAAAACTTGCTCAAAATTACCCTGTTGTTTAAATAACCATCAAAGCAATTGCAAATAATTAAATACTTGAGTTGTTACAATACTAAGAAAATATGCAAAGAGGAACATCTTAGATAATTGCTCTAAAACCACTCTTTTAACATATTGGTATAATGTGAACAGAAGCAGAGAAAAAAATACATTGGAAGAAGTTATCAGGACCAATCAACAAAGTAAAATTCCAATTTCAATCCATCTGGACCAATCAACAAAGAACAAAATCAGGAAATATACAACAGCCAACATCAAAGTTGTGAAAATAAGTTATACCAGAAAATGAAAATGTTCTGCCAAATTGGGCTTAATGATGGATAGGCAAAGATGTACATGCTATGGTATGTAGAAAAGAATGGTTCTAAGTTGCAAGGATGAGTTTCATACTTAATGCAACCATCAGGCAACTTTTGATAAATTCAAGATTTGAGAGAATGAAAACATAAAACGATGTATTCTCAAATAATTGTACTCTATTTGATTTATTAAACCCCAGGCATACATCAAATGGTTGGCTTTTAGGTGACTATTGGAGAGAGATGTTTAAGGAAAAAGTGGTTTTGCAAGATATAATCATTTTTCAAATCAACCAACACTAAATCCTTTAAGCACAAAATCAAACCAGTTGTTAAAAACTCAGCCTCCATTTCATCTGAATCAAAATCAGTTGATAGATTCTTCTCAATGTCAGAAACTGTTATTTCAAATGGATCCACTTTCTCATCATCTCAAGATGTGAAAGCTTGCAGTTTTTTTATTAACTGCATAGCAGGACTGATGTCCCTCTTTGAAACATGATATTTTTTGTCATCTGAATCATTAATTGAGAAGAGCAATGAGCAACATCAATTTATAATTTTATGGTGAGGTCTTTTTGAATTTGGTTATCAAAAGGGCATCCATGAAATTGCCCTGGGTATTTATTAAAGAAAACTTTGTTTCAACAGATGTGGGATGTTTATTGGGAGTGAGGCATTTGATAGAGACTGGATGCTTAAAAGATCAAACAGGGCAATCAATAAAAAGGTTGCATTCTAGAGAGGTTTTGAAACTCCTAAATTAACAATCACTAATTCATCATTGTTGTAAAGAAGCAAACATTGAGAACTGATTATGCTTTAGCTCAAACATTCAAAATATGGCCTGTTTGTTTCTCAGGTAATTAAAATCAAATTCTATTATGCCCTGATTTTGTAATTAGTTTTAAAGGCTCTTGCCCAACCAGCATGCTTTGCGACTATAATTAAAAGAACAGGCCTTATATCATAATGCATGAAAATACAAAACACAGTCAACTTCTTGAGACAACTAGCCCTAAACATGCCGATTGTGCAAAAGCCTTTAAGGAGGATTTTAGAAAATCAGTGTAATAAATCATTCAGAAGGTAAAACATGACATATTTAATAGATGAAAATTAATTGCACCCATCACAACAGCATTCAATATACAGTGCCAACAAAACATATTTGAAAGTGGAGGGGTCAAAGTCCTGTAAGGACTTAGGAAAGGCCATCATTGTGGTTGGCTGCAAGAAACATTTTGGAACAATAGTTTCTTAGAGGTGGCCAGAAACTGTATCTAAAATGGATTTTAACTGTAAGAAAATCTGAGGCAATATATTTAAGCATTGTTTAAGCATATGTCCCATAGTCGTGTCTATTGTAATGTTAACTTGAAATAGGTAGGGTCTTGCGAAGTTTTATAATAATCTTTATAAGGCAGCTCATGATGAAGCCTTTTTTCAGCTTGTTTTAGTATCCGAAATAACGTGGGGGAGAAAAATAAATGAAACATGGTTTATCAAAAATAAATTATCATTGAAATAAAAACAGAAAAACTATCAGCTAAAAAATAGAAATTAAAATTTTTTGAACAGTTAGGATTTTACTTTTTAACATCTTATCTTTCAGAAATAAAGTGTTTTTAACAGACTCTAGAATTAAAAGACTTTCAAAGTGGGCTGGTCAAAACGAGTTTCAATAGAACTTACAATTTCGTCTATATTGTTTCTTTCTCAACAGATTATTGATACAATCAAACTTTGAAGTTTTCTTGATGATACATTTTAAGAACAAATCTGCCGGTTCTTTGTTTCTCATATCCTCAAAAATATTCTTATCAGCTGTTTCCTTTTCTTCAACAGCTGATTTCTCTTCTTTTGTTATGTTTTTGAGAAAGTTTTCATTACCAAATAGACCTTGTTTGCCAAGTGTAGGCCAAAGAAAAACCGAAACTCTGTCAATTTATGCTGGCACCAAGTTATTCTGGATTGGTTTTCTCTATCTATTTCCAAAGCCAAGCTGTTACTCCTGTACAACTTGAACAATGACTGAAATCTTTCATCAAAGTCTGATCTTTAAATTTTTACATGTCTTCTATGGTAGCAACACAGCAACCAAGCTAAAGCTAAGGGCATATTTAAGGGTAACCCCTCAAATACAGTTAAATACAAGCAGTTACTTGTAGAATGATATAGTACATTTCATTCATTTTTGCCTCCCTCTAGCTATGAGTGAAGAAAGCTCAGCTTAGAAAAGCTAAGAAAAGTGATGTCAAGCTTAGGGGGTAGTAATGGGGCATACTTACTTCATTTTCAATTTTTATTAACCAAATGAAAAAGCTTGTTGACCAATATTATTAGTTGAAATATATTGGAAAATGTATTTTTGGCCCAAAATGCCCAAATAAGGAAATTTGTGGCCAGGACCCCAAAATTACAAAAAATAAAACGCTTACTAATTTCAAATTGTTTCTCTCACTTATACGCTTCTAATGAGGTATCATTCACTTTCTAGAAAAAATTGTTTCTTGACTTATGACCCTATTTCCAAAAATACGTGATCTGGGCCCACTGTTCATACTTACCTCATTTTTAATTTTTAATAATCAAATGAAAAAGCTTTTTTCCTTAAATAAAGTAGACTGAATTGTCCAATTAACAAGATCCAGTATCAACATAATGACATATCAGTAGATACTCATTTTCATTCCAATTGCCTATATCATTTTTGATAAACATGAAGAGATAAGCAATGATTCAGGAATTAGTAAGCAAATTAAGTTATCTGAGGTCAAAAGGTTAATCAACAAGAAATACCTTACATGCCTGACTCGATCAGATAAGGGAAACTCTCATGGTTTTTTACAAAAATGATATTTGGAATGTAAAGAAAACATGTCCTGCTTCTAATACAATACTTGTTAGAAGTCAAGCTTCTTTTAAAAAAATGTATATAACTATTTGTGGATGACTCTTTATGCCTTGCGAGGTTCAAAACAGAGGTGTCAAGTACCTTTTAAGACTACGGATATCCTAAAGTTTGAAGTGACCGAGAGGTGTTGCTTGATTTTTTATTTAACTTCACAGGGGAACAGAATGCCCTAGATACTGTAATCAATGAACATGGCTGGAGAGTTTAGCAGAAAGAAGAGTGAAAGCAAAGATCCTTAATTTCTATGTAGACATTGCAAAAGAAAAAATTCACTCATATAAGATTAAATCATATCAAAAGTCCACAAACTCTTTCAACATCATATTCTAGAGCTGACACACAAGTTTTCATTTTTCAAAGTGCAGCTTGATTACAGATCATTGGTATGTCTTCAGCAATTTTTGTAACCACAATGCAACCTTTAATCAAATCATGGGGTAATTATGGCCAGCATCATGTGTGAAAAAATTCCAACCATCAAAGCAAATTCCCTCCCACTTTTCTGTAGGCTCAAACAGGGACTATACCTCTTCAAAAAAAGGAAGTATTTTTGAGCCTCATAATTTCTGAACAAATAGTTTCTACCTTCTGATTTGCTCAAAACAGCAGTTCACTTTACAAAGATGCACCAAAATAAGCTTTGATACATCTAAATTTTCTGAATACAAACCCTGGCCCTTCAAAATTTTAATTTTTTTACTTTTGGAGAGAAATTTTTAACAATTTTAGGCTGCCATTATAGGCCAAATATTGAAGAACTTTTTTTGTAATTTGTCCTTATAATGCTCCCAAAAAGTTCGAGGGTATAAGCTTTGAAGAGGCTACCAAAATCAGATCTAGAGATATAGGAGCTTAAAGTTTGCAAAAAATTTGTTTCCACCTCCCAAAATTCTTCATTAGAGCAAAAGATGGAAAGGTTGAAGAACCAAATCTTTGGGATGATTTCTTATCCTATGTATATGAACATTGACACAACTTTCATGAAAAATCTGAGATGGTGGATGTGGGACATCTTCAAAATTTGGTCTTTTTAGATACAGTTTCCCTAAATTCAATAGGATTAGTGATCATTTTAACTTTAGAAAAGACAATAGAAATCATTCATGCCATTATCAATCACTTGTTACCTGTGTTTTTTCACTGCATTGCCACAGAATAACTGTATATACCAAGATAGAATAAGAGAACTAAGATAGTCTAACTAAAACCCCTTGATTTACCTCCCTTTTCGCATCCCAATTTTCAGTGGAACAAGCTCTGTTGTCCGAAACAAAACCACCATTGACAATGGCTCATTCGCCTTGTCAAGGCTTGCTCTTGTCAAAGGTGGTTTTGTTTCGGACAACAGAGCCCGTTCCACTGAAAATTGGGATGAGAAAAGGGAGGTAAATCGAGGGGTTTTAGTTAGACTATATTAGTTCCTTATTTTATCTTGTATATATATATTTCTATAAAAATCATGAACAGAAACATTGAAAATCAAGCAGATTTGTTTGAAAAAGACATCCCTAGATTCTTTCGAAACTCTTGCCTGGGAACTTGTATTAAATCTGTGTGTCTTTCAATATTCTGGTTCATTTTCTCTTTTTAAACACTGTAATAATGTGACAGTGAAACGAGAAACAGGGTGAAGACAGTGGTTAAGAACAGCAGGACTTATTACAACTACCAGAATGCATTGGGTTTAGCTACACATGTGATGTTGCAATAATGGTATCTGTCTTTAGCAGGTGTGAGGCTTACTGCTTACAAAATTAGAATAATATAGTTAAAAAAACAAAAGGTATATATCAGGCCTGGCCGTTTGAGGCGAGCGATAGCTCGCGCTCGCCTCCACGCTCCCCTCGCAACCTGAGGCGAGCTATGAATTGCTCTTCTAAACAGAACATGAAGGAAGAATCGCTCCCCTAAAATTTCCTATTCAGAGAATTATGAAAACGCACAAGGGTTAATTGGTTTATTTTTGTAACAGCGATTTCTTCCGTCATTGCATTTTTTGCAATTAACTTTTTGCTTGTTGGGCGGTTTTTGTTATGATAGGCATAAACTTCGATCTATTTGGAAAACGATAGTTAACCGAAAGGTACATTTGTAGCAATAGAAACAAAACTATGCCTCAAAGAGAACAAGGTACTCTGTCTTGCAGATCAAAAACGACAACCAAAGCATGGAATTCCACTATCCAGCGGCATTTACTGAAAAACCCAGATTGGGTGAAAACTATAACGGCAACATGTTTGGCATTATTGGCAAAGCCTGATCATCGTTCCATCTAGCAGTTTGTGAATCTATCTACTATATAAACATGACCAACCGCTTTTGTGTAGACATAAGTGAGTTCGTTTTCACCTTAGGACTCCGTTGGTAACATTTTCAATAGGAAAGCGGCACTGATTGGACAACCTCAACAGTCATGTGCTCGCGCTTTCTGATTGGCCTATTTCGATCCAAAACTGGGTATTTTAGCGTAAAGTTTTCCATCTTTGTTCTGACGTTTTATTCTCTGAAGAGTGCTAGACGTATAACTTCAGCTTGTTTTAAAAATTGTTTTCAAATTCTGTATAACAAAAAGATTGTTTTGCAAGAGAATGGTTGTTTTTGTGTTGTGCCAGCTTTACATGAAACTGAAAAAGTCTGTTCTTTTAAATACTTAAAGTAAAGGGGGTGCCTAAGTCACGGTTAAAGCAAATACAAATTGAAAGAAGTAAAACCGCACACTCCTGACTGAGGCAATTACATTAAGGCAACCGACAGATACTAAAGGGGCTTATTAAGTCATCTGTCGATTGTCTTTAAAGTACATTCCATGTGTTACTGATTTAGCTCGCCTCAGCAAATGAGGGGAGCGATTCACAGCTCGCCTATAAAAATACAAACGGCCAGGCCTGTATATATCGTTGCAAAAAATAAAACATAATGTAGATATTATTTCATAAATAGACTGTTTTAAATTCTTAATATGGTTAAAGATGACAACCTATCATAGTACCTAAATTTAGTTTCTATGCTAGCAGTTGAATTCTGGAATATATAAATTAGCATTAGGAATGCAATTTGTAATGCAAAAAATTAAGATGGAGATGTCTTATCATTATATAACTAAACATCAATTGCATATTGCATTTTGTACTATGATAAAACCATATATATCCTATTTTGTTCAATATAAATATAAACTATAAAAATTGTCCACCTTTGATTTTCTTAAAAAAAATTATTTTGAGCCTGAATATATTTTTAAAGTATTCTTTTTTCCAAATCTGATATGTCTTAGAGGAACAACAGCTGCTCTTGAATAAAAACTACAGTTTTTGAAAACAAAATACCTCAGCTCTAAAAATCTCTTAACATCCCAAAACAGGCAACAGCTGATAAATGTGACACAAATTTGCAAGCTGAGGCTGAGCAATATTCTTATAATATTCTTAAAAATTAGATGATACTGAGCCTAAGTCATCTTATAAATAATATTCTCAGAAAAAAAGAGCGTTCATTCTAATCAGAATGACCTGCATCGTTTAAAGTGTCCTTAAGGCCATATGACTCAGTACCTAATGCCAGAATTTAGATTTATTTTTGTGCTAATTTAGTTAAGTAAAAACTACAAATTTTCTTGTAATTTAACAAAGTGAAAACTGAACTCAAAAAGGCTTATGTCAGCATGGTGACCTATTTTTGGTATCCATGGTAACTTGCAAGGAATTTATTCCAACTAACCTATAATTAAATTAATGACATCATCTGCACTACTTTTGATTATTAAAAAAGAATTCAGTCTTTTAACTTTGATTAGCAAGTTGAGAAAAATCACAGCATTTCTTTTTCACCCTTAAATGATTAAACGGTCATCCTCAAATTTTCCTATTTACCCCTGAAGTGATCAATAGATAAGAAAGAAACAATTTGAATAAAAAATTTGGGATGATTAAACTTCACACGAGAAGCAATTACACATTGAAACAGTTTGATTTTCAAAGCAAAATGAAACAAATGAACCAACTTGATGTTGGGTGCATTTTCCGTCATCACGTAAGACGGCCGTCACGTCACTAAACACATAGGGAAAGATATTTACCAAATAAAATAAAAATCGCAAGGTCTAAAAGAGACCTCGTATAATGACCTTGTGCAGATTTACCTGTGAATTTTATCATATTCTTGTCTGAAACCCATCCACGTTGAGGCTCGTCACCAAAAAACTGGACATGGTATTTAAAACATGTCTTCCCTTTGCCCGAACTCTGGAAATAAACAGCCTTATTTGGCTCGTAAGATACCATCGATGGCCACCAAGCATGCCCTGGGATCTTGGACCACACCAAATCACCAACAAGTAGTTCGGGTTTGGGTACTTTGGTGGGCGATTGACTGCCTCCAGGTCCGCTCGCAATATCATCCATTGAATCATCAGCGCCTGCGTAGGGCCTAGGCATCTTGTTTGAGGAACTAGACTCTGCACTAGCACCAGCCGACCCGTCATTCTCTGTTTCGGAAGGACCCAGCAGTTCTCCGTGTTCGTTTATCATGCTGTTATCCAGCTCATGGCATGCTTAAGTGGAAAGTCGCTGTCCTCGAAGTTAAATCACATTGTAATTTGCGTAACTATTTCGGTCATACCCTTCTCTTTCCCAGGCCTAAGTTAACCTTGTAAATGGAGAGCATGGGGCGATAATTGCTATTTTACAATTTGATTGGCCGCTTTTGATCACATGCACGCGAATACATCCAAAAAGCGCGCCATTTGGATGCAACAAAACAAGATCACGTGGCCCTTCAATTGCTGCCATGCTGCCATCAAAACATTCCAACGTCCACGTTATTTGCGAAAAGGAGAAGAGAACTTCTTAGCTTTTTCTTTGCCAAAACTTGCAAATGTGCTTCAATTGAATCGAAGTTAGTAAACACTTTTATGGGGATGTGAAATTTTATACGCACGATAGATAAAAACGTTTTTTATTTTATCCGAAACTTGGATCAGCGAAGTACTAAAAGTTTCTTTATTTGGCATCCATATTTTGGCGTTTTAGTACTAATAGGCTCTTAGTCACGAAAAAACTATGCAAATAAATATTCAAAGTATCTTTTTCAAAGAAAAATGAACAAAACAAAAACTTTTTGACTCTCTTTCAAAAATTAAAATCTTTCTAAAAGTTTCTTAAAAATAAAACATGTATATACACAAAAATAGCTACTTATGTACTTATGCCGAAAATAAAAACTAACTTTTAAGCCTTAAAGTAACTCAAAATCAAACAAAGCGAGATAAAATTTCAAGGGCCTAGAGGAATGCACAAATCTGTCCTGGTAAAGAGATATTAAAAAGTGACTTTCTTTTCGTAATACTTCTTATTTTGCCATATTCATAGTTGTGCTTACTTGGATTTACATGATGATAAAGTGATGGTTTTTCTTCTCACGTGTTATTCTCGCCAGTTTATGGATTCTTAGGATTTATTATTTGATCCCAAAATACTTCAAGAAAAACAAGAACTAACAGTTTCGGGGAAGAAAACCTGCTTTGCTACGGTTTTCACCAACTAAAAAAAGTGGTTGCCAATTGGTAGTGACTGCATTTAGTTCCGCTTTCGCAAGAAATAGCAACAACAACAACAATACATAAGTACTTTCACATCGCTAGCAGGAAAGGAAGGCCTCTGCAAATAGTTCGATTTACTCAGACCCAGAACATGTTGACTGCCGTTGCAAGACGAATGCTTTCGACTGGCAGGAGCCTTTCTACCATAGCTGTGGTAAATCTTCAATTCATCTCGTTATTTCTAGAAACTTGGCACGTTTCAGGTCAAGGCATCTATGGCACCTGTTTTTTAAATGTTCCTTAGATGCTACAATTATTTTGAAAACATGTTCGACAAGGAAAAGAAATATTATGATGTTTCGATGGCAGTTAATTTCCTCATTTTCTTACCGATAATCCACCACTCTTAAACAATTTTGCATCCAGAGCACAAAATCTGCTTTGTGAAATTTCATGTTCACATATGTGTGAAAATGTGTAGATATGGGCAAATCTGACCATATCAAAATCATCAGAACAAGGCCAATAAAAGAAATAGCCACTTAATTTTTTTAACGAGCATTAGGTAGAATGAATTGCGAGCTGAATTTTTATTGGATTTTAGGGCATTGTTTAGAATGCCAGTATGAAACTGACTTTTTTGTTTAAGATGCAGAAAATTTTCATTTGGTTCTTGACTTCCATTTACCCTTCACAAGGGTCGCCTTCTTGCATTAGAATAGTAAAAGATTGAAGATATTAAAGGCAATCAGCAGTTACTCAAATATTGGCCAATCAGTAAACATGATACAACTAACAGGCTTATTGATTGGCTACTTTTGATTGACAGGTGGCTTAAAATACTTTTGCAACTGCTGATTGCCTTTAAACTCTCTTTTGCATCATAGGTATTATCTGGATGTGGTGTTTATGATGGCAGCGAGGTTCATGAAGCCTCTGCGTAAGTTAAGATTTAATATTTTCAAGGTATATCACAAACAACTAACTAATCAATGAACAAACCAACTGACTAGCAAGAAAACAATATTAGCAAACAATAATAAGGCTATTGGCTTGAACTCAAGTGCATATTGGCCATGCACTTTATATTTTGTTGTTGGTTGTTTGCAGCTCACATGGAAAGAAGCAAAAAAATTTTGTTTATGCATACTTTAGTCCAACATATCAGGAATATATTTATTTATTGCAGAAAGGGCTATTAATGTTTTTCATGACTTGTTGTGCATATTTTTGCTTTTTTGAAGTAAAGCTTTTGGAAATTTTCCACAGGCAAGATGGATATCATTGTTGCATTAAAATTTATGGTGAAATATTGATATCATTTTATCGCTAAATAAAAGAGTTTAAAAAGAATTTGATAGATAATTATTAATCAAAGCTTTAAGTTTAAAATATACGAAGATTGCCATTGAAAAACCAACACCTTTTTCAGGGTTTTGGTCAGTCTAAGCAGGGAGTCTGCGGATTACAAAGTTTATGCACCAGATAAACCACAAATGCACACAGTGAATCACATGACAGGTGAAGAAATAAAAGGAGACAACAGGTTAACAAACATCAAAATATATCATGCATTGCAATACCTTAAATGATTAATGCTTTTTTATTTGATGTAAAAGGTATGTAAACTTGTTTCAATGTTGATGTATTTGGTGCTTTTCTCACCTTAACCTTGTTCTGTTAGTGTTCTGTTAAAATCAGATCAGAAATTTCATTAGCAGAAAAATCAAATAATTGTAGATCAAATATAAATCTGGCTGAGACATAAAGATTTTTTTCATGAGAGTTTTGATGTTAACTGCTGGTTTAGAAATGTATCTCTGTAATATTTGTATGTTTAATCTCTTCAAATTTAAAAAAATATTGTCCTAATATGTTTAGCTGACATATTCTTTTGATGCATTTGTCAAGTAAACAATCATATGTCTAAAAAGTGTATTTATTTATTTTTAAGGAATGTTCTTATAGAGTCAGCAAGGATTGCAAGAGGGAAAATAGAAAAGCTCTCAGAGCTTGATGTTTCTAAGCATGATGCTGTGATTTTCCCTGGTGGATTTGGTGCAGCTAAAAACTGGTAAAATCATTTAAGTTGGTTTCAGAGACAAAGAATCTTGACATGTAAATATTATGCACAAAATGGTGCTACTCCTGAAGTAGGTCAAAGAATCTTTATAACTGTGAAAAGTTTAAGTTAAAATTGGTCTGTTGTAGAGTGTGTAAAGGCAACTTTGCATGGTGCCTTTTTTGCTTATGTCTGACCCATGAGTCTAAATGTCATGGTGTAAACAGAACTTGCAGCTTAATTAATGGATCTTGCAACAGCTCAAGAAAATTATCCCTTCAACATCGTATTAACACTTTAGCCCAATCAACTGACAAGAATGAGTCACATGCTTCATATGTTTTGCGTCTTAAGTTGATAGTTTGACTGAAAGCAGTTTCATTTTTACTTTTCTTGTGAAAGTTGAATTTGCAAGACAAAGAAGAAATTTTAAAACTCAAAGAACTTGCAGGAAGAAAGAAGCTGCTCCATCTAATCCAATTACATCTAATTTTTCTAAGAATATCAATTTAATGAACTGGAACTACAGCATTTTTGTCATGGAGTCTGCTTTTTAGTGCCTTGATTTGCCTTAGGTTTGTTTTGGTGTGAAACTGACTCCTGATTCAAAAATTAATCGTCTTAATGTTGACTGATGAGTCAAAAAGTCAAAGTTGACTCATGGGTCTGAAGCATAAAAATGAATGATTGAAACCTGGCCTTTACATCATGTAGATTGAGCAGTGAATATTCTAGTTTTAAGAAATGCATAGTTCTTAGCTCCAAGTCCAGCTTTTGTGTATAATTGGATTATCAGGCAAAACTACACTGTGGGTTGTTGAATTGTTTCAATAATTGTGATAAATTAATCATATATGTTAATTTGAATGATTTTGTTTTGTATTGTTTTTTTTTCTATCCCAAAAAAAATTTACAATAACAAATTTCTAACTAACGAGTTACTTTACAACCCTACATGACAATACCAGAAGGAGCAAAATATAATGACTACCCCCTGGCTTTTAACATCGATCTAAAACACAACTACAAATTATACATTATTATATATTATGTATTATTTACTATGCATAAATTTTGTATTATTATATATTATGCTGCTTATCTTGTGTTTTTAATTTTTCATTGTCTTTAGATTTTGCTATTATTTTCATTTAATTGTGTAGCCTGGTTTTTAATATTGATAACCATTGTTTGGCTGGTGTAGATATCTGTCCAGAAAAGTAGATTAAAGTAAATAATTCACATCAACAAATAATTATAAGATCAAGATGTTGTATTAAAGAACTGCATTTCTTGTGTCAAGTAGATTTAATGCACCTTTGTATATAGGGACTGCTTGTTTATAATTCTTTGATTTTCTGACATATCATGTCTCATGTCTCTAGATAAGTCAAACAATTGAAACAACTATGCAACATGCTTTTAGGTGCGATTTTGCTGTCAAACAAGCTGATTGTACAGTAGATGAGGAGGTGTCAACAGTTCTAAAAAACTTCCATGCAGCTAAAAAACCAATTGGGTAAGTATATGACAAGTTTTTCTTTCAATAATTTTGATGGACCTGGATGCCTGTGTTCACTTTTGGTATTTTCTGCAAATTCACTCTCACCTTGTTTCAGATAAGACCAGAATGTATTCACATTTTCAGTAAGTATGGAATACCTTTGAGTGATTTATTTAATTAGACAATATTCTTTTCTAGACTTTGCTGCATTGCACCAGTTCTTGCTGCCAAGGTAGCATGGTTTGAATATACAACATTGAATTACTTTATTGAAAAAAATTATTTTTTAACATCCATTGTTCAAAGGCATGACACATGATAGGGTATAACATCATTATTAAGTGGTTGTGGCATTACAATTGAATTGGTAAGTCGAAAGAGTGTATCTGCTATCTTTGAGCAGGGTCAGTCCTGGCTATGGGAGCATCCCCAAGTAATTTTTAAGGCAAAGTGTACATTTTCAAAATAATCTGTGCACTTTGTGACATAATATCATCACACTTCTGCACTATTTCGATGTGAACTGAAGAATCTAAAATCATCCAGATGTGATGGTCTACAAACAAATTTTCTGGAGAATTATACCCTGATCCCTACTTTCAATCTCCTCCAATAGTTTTCCTTTTGCTTCATCCCTGTAAATGGAGCATGAAATGTTGACATATACCCATCATATCACTAGTTCCATTTACAATGTGACAGTGAGACTTTAATCTTGGGTATGTTAATGCATTGGGAGGGCTGTAAACTTTGTAGCCATTTATTTTTAACTGGAGGAAACTTATTTCCTGTTCCTCTTCCTAAAGTATCATGTATTGGATTATATTCTTAAACTACAATTTATTATCAAAATAAGATAAATTTCAAAAAGCAACACTACAAGTACAAATAAATTTTAAACACCCCACATATTTCCAACTGTGCTAAAGGCTGTATGATAAAGCCATGTATATGTGGAAATTTTGATAGAAATTAAACTTGTAAACCCACCTAGCTATTGAAAATTCCAAAAGCACAGTTTATTTTGATCAAATTTTTTTTGGAAGGTCATTCCTGGTTGTGAAGTAACAATGGGTCAAGAATCTGAGGATGGTGGGCGTTGGCCATTTGCAGGAGCCTGTGGTGCAGTCAAGGCCATGGGATCAACACATGTGCCAAAAAATGTTGATGTATCCTTCTGAAAGCTATTACTGACTGACTATTAAAGTATTTAATAGACCAAACACACATCAAAAGGTAGACCAAATGTACCTTTTTGAACATCAAAATTCTAGTGTAGTGATTTTTCCTCTTTGTTGATTTAAATATGATTAACTTCTAATAATAAGTGTTTATTGATTTCAGTCATTAAGATGTTCCGCTAGATTCCTGTGGAAAATAATTTCATAATTTCAAAAAGAAAAATAAGATACTTTTACATTCGTAGCATTCAGATGAATTATGGAATTTTTAACTGAAGAGTATTTATGAAAAGCAGACATTTTTTGTTGCTCCTTGACCATTTGTCTCAGGAAATCCACATTGACCAGGCAAACAAAGTTGTGACAACACCTGCATTCATGTGTGACACAAAGTTTCATGAAATTCATGATGGAGTAGCAAAAATGGTTAAGGGAGTTCTGGGCTTGGTGGAGAAGTAAGAGCTTGTGAAACGTGTGGAAAGATTGATGGATTGCATCAAGTTCCTGTTTCGTTGATGGGCTGTTATTAACTGATGATCAATCTGATGAAAACTGATTTGTCATTCTTCTTTGTCTTAGAGAAGATTTTCTGTAGTGTAATTGATTATCTATGAATTAGGCTGTGTATATTGTCACTTAATCCATGTCTTTTTCATCTCACTAAATTATTAAGCTTATAGTGTATAAAACAGGGTGGTTCTAAGTTGCTACTCCAATTTTCACCCTTAATGCAAGCATCACACAACTTTTGATCAATCTCTAAATTATTAAGTTTATTAAAAAGAAAATACAAGAACACCCTCAACAATTTATGTTAAACAACTTATTACTGGAATTTCTTCGATGCATGGTTGTCTTTATTTCTTTCATCAACATAAATTAAACAAGATTGGCCTTAGACAACACCTATGTGTGATCCCAATTAAGTAGACTATTTCTAACAATCTCTTGTTTCCATTAGCAACATTTAAACAGTGACCTCAAAATTTTCACAGATTTAAACTGAAGTACTTTTAGAAAACGTTTTTTTTACTCCTCGACGAAAACGTTTCATCATTTTTGACCGTACTGCAAATTCTACAGTTAAATCACATTCATCACATTTTGGTAAGGCTATGAATATGGATAGCTGTTTCATTAATACCCTGGGTACCAGACTCACTATATATAAAATATATCTAATCTGGTACCCAGGGTATTTAATTAACTAGGTCATTCTCAAGTGGCAACGAAGAAAAGCCGTTCTAAACGGTTTAAAGGACAGAAGTGACCGATTGTAAAACAAGTTTGCATGAGAAACTTAACTTATCGAGCTTATCAAAAAACAATTTGTTGGCTAATAGTTTATCGAGAGTTTTACATAACGAGAATTCGACAACACGTGTCTGCGATCTTATAAATTGGGAGCTTTTTAAACAAAATGCTCCATGTGCGGTGGCCAATATATGACAATCTAGTCATTGGTGGCAAAAATGGAAAAAAACAAAGTGTCATTCGTGGCATTTTGCGAAACAAATTGCCCTCCTTTGTGCCCGCACTTTAAGTAACCAACAAAGGGAACATATCCAATTTGGTTTTTCGTTTTTAACACGTGGCGCCTTGTTCATAACTTTACAACATGTTGTTATTGAAGTTTATAAGCAAAGAGACCAGAAAAGAAATGTCCGTATCTTTCTTTCCGAATACAAGATTGAAACATAAGACTCTGTAAGAAGATATGCTGATATGGGTCGTGGCAGCTGTCTTTGTATTCTTTTACGAGCTACGCGCCAACTATCGCTTGGATTATAGGTCGCATGTTAATAAAGACAGCTGGTGATAACGAGCTTATGTTACAAGCCAAATAAATTCTGTTAATCTCAAAATGTTTTATTTTCATGCAGTATAACTTATTCATTGTATTGTATCTGCTTCACAGTAGTTAGAAAAATTAATCAAAACCCATGTCTTGTCAAATTAATTGCAACTTTCAAAATGCCTTTCCCGAAGACACTCTTAAGCTCTATTAGAAGAATCAAAATTAATTTTCATCAAATTTACCAATGTTTTATCTAGATAAATTTATAGCTGCAATAATTTTTGAAGCTGAGCCCCTCGGCAAACTGAAAGTTGAAAAGATTAGAGAAAAAAATGGAAATTCCTACAAGTCAACGATGTGACGTCACAAATTTAAAAATGTTTCTTCAAACAATTTTGAAAGCTATGACATTGATAAAAGGTTTTAATAATATGCATCCAATGTAACCCAGTAACCTCGTTCCTTTAGATTGGTTTTATGGAAACACGGTCAACAGTATTCGTTAGTCTCTGATGTACTTGGCACGTACTAACCTGATAGTACGTAAGGTGCCGTGGAGGGCTAGAGACTATTAGACAAATTGAAAGAATGGAAAAATATTAATACAAGATGGTTCTCTACGATGGACTGAAGAAGTTAATGTAACATAAACTTCACCTAATGATTTCAGCATGAAGATAGAATGAGTTGGACATTTTTGCAACCAAAAACAACTGCAGGTTTCTTTGAGAACTAGCTTCAACCCCATTGAAAATGGTATAAGTACTGAAATAGTTATGGTTATCTAAATAAAAAAATATTCAGAAAAATAACTCATTTGCATATTCTATTGTGAGAGCGACTGCAATATAGGAGGGGTTTATAAAATTAAAGCTAACGTAGGATACTACAGAATTATTTCATGAAACCTGAGGCGCCGAAGCTTAGTGATGCAGCGGGGGCAGGAACTGCAGAAAGGGCACCTTGGGGTATCAAAGTTTGCTGCTGAAACAGATCGGGAATCGTCGTTTAGCCAAAGACAAAGCCTGGTTGTAGGTGAAGGCGCTGTCAAGAGGCAAAGGGTCGGTGGTCTGGGAGTGTAGCCCCCAGGGAAATTTTGCGTTGTTACGCCCTAAAGACTTTCAGAAATGGGGGCAACACCCACAAAAATACATTTGAATCAGGACTGCAGTCAAACTTCATTCTCGAATTTCTTTCACCCCAACATCGACCATCAAGGGAGGTTAGATCCAATCCTGAATAACGATAATATAGTTAGCAAATAAATTTAGTACCAGAATGAAAATATAATAGTTTGATTGTTAAAAATACAATAGTTTGATTTTTAACAATCACACTATTATATTTTCATTCTGGTACTAAATTTTTTTGCTAACTATATTATCGTTATTCTGGATGAAGTACCACACGCAATGTACATATTTAATTAGGCCCAATCCTACCTTCCATAAAAATTTGTTCTGATGACCATCTACATGGTTTGATATAACTTTTGGATATACCCCTCTAAACAGACTGTTTTTTCTATCTTTTTCTGCAGTTGCTACAATCTGTAGCTATATTGAAGCTTAATAAAGCCAACTAATTCATAATACCAACGCTAAGTCATGTTAGAGTACATATTCCTTGCAAAAATAACAAGTACAATTGAAAGATGTAAATTCTGAGATTTTTGCTTGAATATTTGTAAAGTTGGAAAGTACTTATTTCGTTTAAAATTGAGATTCGAAAGAAATCATATTATTCTATTATTATTCCTTCTGAAGAGAGACAATTCGGCTTCAAAAAGGCTTCAAAAACTTGCGTTTGAAATTTCAGATTGCACCAGGGTTCCCATAAGGATCTCATAAGAAACTCAAATCGCTCAAAATCTTTTAGCATTGGCCCATAAACATTCATGTGCATTCTAGCACTGCTCACCAAATTCAAGCCAAGTTTTTAGGATATTTTTTAAGGGCTCCAACTAGGTGGGGTTCAAAAAAGCCCACTAGGACAAGCAAAAGGGCCCACTGGGACAAACTTCCAACCAGTACGTTAAAAACGTCGAATAGGAATACCGTGCTCCATGAAAACTTCTTGATTCAAAAAACGTCTTGAATTCAAGGACGTAGGAAGCATTATGAAAGTGCGGGACACCTGTTTAAAGGGACACCCTAACAAACATTCTAAAAGGTTTAAAAGCCTATTTAAGAGGCACCTAAGTAAAGTTTTCAGAAAGGTTAAAATCACAGGCCCCTGGCTGTGATTTTGCTTTTTGTGTCTTTCTAAAGCAGATCGAATAGAAATATTTTAGATCTTGGCCCTTGAAAGTCACCCCTTTGCTCATTTCGTATGGCACCTTAGCAATGCAAGGGCACTTCTTGATTATGCAGTTGGCAAAAACAGCAACTCGGTCACAGAATAAGAATGTTCTTATTCGGTGGGCTGAAAAGGGGCAGGTAACCTGAATTTTTGAAAAAAGGGGGCACGTACCCACTGTGTCCCCGGTCCCTACGCCTTTTTTGAATTCAAGACATCATTAATGCCTTGAATGAAATATCGAGCATTTGCGAACCAAATTGGTAGCAATCTGAAATATCTTGATCATGAAAGTTAAAGAGAACTCATCAACAAAAAGTTTATGTGGTCAAATTGCTTTACAAATCGATTTTCAGTTCTCATCAAAACGGAAAATATTGACTTTTTCTTGCATGTAGGTATCAAGAGATACTTGAAACCTAGATTTCATTAGCATTCAAAATATTGATACAAATTTATATTGCTTGGAAATCAATTTCATGAAAAGGGCACTTTGCTGCCTCCGTGCTGTCCCCGCAGTTTCCCCGCAGTTCCCCCGCTGCCCCCGTGGCTCCGGCGCCCTTGCATGAAACCCAACGTTATTAATGTAGATACTAGAGCGAATAAAACAACTTGTGTTTGCTAGTTGCTGGCTAACAAAAGCCATGTAATTATTGGATATTAATAAGTTTTGGACATTAGGCTGGTACCTTGATTTTCAACAAATTAATGTTAGTAGTTTGCGGGTATAGAGAAGATACCTAAAAAGACTGACAAAAATGATGGCATCAGAAAGATCTTTTTAGAATTTTTGAAATTTGACAACATATTAAAAAAGAACACGATGGAGTACTTCTAAATAAGTTAAATCTGTTAAAAATTACCTGATAGATGGTCAGTGAAAGAGCCAGATTTAGCTAAGAGATTAATGCTGTTTGAGCTTGCTTTACAAGTTTAACAAGAAAGGTCAAATTAGAGTGGTTTGATGGGAAAAGAGCCTTTGCTTATTCTGCAATACTGCGGGTATGTGCACTAAGCGGCTTTTCATGATGCTATTTCAGGTTATGTTGTTGAAATTCGGTTTATGACATCAATAAATTAGGTTTATGACGTCATCACTTTGTCATTAATTTATGGACAAACTTATTTGATAAGTTTTGGCCTTTCACTTCTCGTTGGAAAAAAACATTTCTTTATCCTACTAATAATCGTGGAAATTATACAGTAGACAGAAAACATGAAAGCAAAGAGCGAAAGGACGTCATGTAAATCACAATAAGGTTCTTTTCAAGTACGGTAGGAACAAAATACAGACATCTCTACATATACCTCAATCAAAAGCGACTCACTCAGAAGTAAACACGAACCAAAACTGCAAAAAGAACAAAATATCCCAGACGTATCGTATTTTTGAATTTTGAAGAGGAATACTGCAACATATAATTTGAACATCTATTACAAAAAATTCGGAAAAAATTTACAGTCGCCCTTGAATGACCAATCCACTAGTCCAATTCTATCCCTCTTCAAAAAGGCCAGTAGATGCTTCTTGTCGAAGATCACTGTATATTAATATTACCTTCACGTGTACAAAATGACAGAGCACCACAAATAACAAGGTAAGTCCTTGTCTTGGTCGGTCTTTAGCCTGAAAAGTCCGGCCTGAATTCACGGGCATGTTGAAGGAGGGGAACGCACCATCTTCATGAACGCTGGATCCTCCGTTCTCAGGCAAGAGCTGAAATCGATAACAAACATCTCAGCTGATATCTTTGAAAAATATGGTTTGAAAAATTATATATAATTCTTCACAGCAGAACAGATACAAGTAAAAGAAAACACTTAAGAAAAAGAAATTACTTTGCTCGCGATAATGCATTTGATAGAATTTAGAAAAGGGCAAAACTGTCCAGGCAAAAAATGATGGTTCAGAAAGTTTTGATTTGATCTGTGTCGAATATAATATCATTTGCACGCGTTTGATAGTAAGAGCACTTGCCTGGATGTACATACAATGCCTGCTAAAATAACTTTGAACACCCCGCAATACTTCCGCCCCCTTCCCCCCAAAAAATGGAGCACCGACGTAAGGACTGCATTACAAAAGATGCTTCAATCACAAAACCTATTCTTTGTGTAACACTTTCATGGCAAAGATTGATTACATCCTACGAATAAAGTGTGGGTCTTTGTTGGCTTTGAACCTAACAAGCAACATACCTTATAGTTTTCTAAGAAAAAGAAGTATGAAAAATTCCTCTTATGAAAGGTTGTGAATAATAAGAAAGTACGTTACCTAATACTTGGTTTACATGTCATATCCCATCATTTCAATGGCGGAGGACGAGCTTGACGCCGGGGCGCTTGAGGTAATGCTCTTGACACAACTTCTGAAGGTCGACAAGTTCTGCGTAAATCTGTGAATTCAAAAAAGTCTCTTTAACATTCAAGCTTTAATCTTTTAGCAGCTAGCAAGTTTTCATAGGCTGCATGTTATCTTATCTACTCCCCTAGTAAAGAAAGCATATTAAACAAATGTAATCTGATAATTTTTTTAAAATGGAAGTACATGATCAAGAAGTGGCACTATTTATACATTGACAGGCCACTTCTTTACAACAACAAGAAAAGCTAGGAATTTATCACTGCTAAATTCTGCCGATGGCATATATTAATATCATCTACGTCTGGGCACATTTGTCTAAGATTGAAATGATCAAAATATATATTTCAGACGTACATTGCAGAATTACCTTAAAAATTTTACGATCTACCCTTGCTTAACGGCTCGAAATTCGCAACCAAAAGATGAATTTGATTAAAAGTAATATCTGTTTTAGAGGTCTTGAATTTAAACCCAGAACAAATTAGTCGTCTTTGCCGGAAAAGAAAAAAAGCTGCTCTTTTTTAGCCTTCTTGATAAAAAGTCAAGAGAGTTTTTGCTTTTTGTAATCCTCAATCTTTGTATCTTTATACTGTTTAATAAAATCAAAAACTTAGTTTCCGTAGCTTTAAATCGATTTGGCCAATCAGATACCACTTACTCCTACCGCAGATGAAGAATCCTAGTCTATTATCTGACAAGGCAACTTGTTCTAAATGTCTTCACGACAAATATATCTTCTTTTATGCAAGACATATACTCAAAGAACTTTTCTAGCAATTCTACATATCAAATATTGTACAAAACACATTTACGCATACTTTTGTCAAGCAAATAATAGCTATGTAATGATCATTGTTTTGTAAAACTAACCTATCCCGGTTCTTCGTTGTCATGGATCTCTCGACGTTTTCCATTAAATCTTGAAAACATTCTGCCATTCTTGGTTGCTTATCCGGAGTCTGCATTTGAGTTATATTCCTTTCCAGTTCAGTAAAAAACTAGACATTGAAGTAAAATTTGGTTGTTAGTATATCGATGTGAAAAGATTGATTCACAGACCAGTTGACTGATTGACTGTCCAAAAAGGCAAGAGTTCAGTAAAGAGGGGACGGACAGGAGTGGAGTGATTGATTGACTGATTAAGGTGACTGATTGTCCGGAATGCAAGAGTTCAGTAAAGAGGGGACGGACAGGAGTGGAGTGATTGATTGACTGATTGAGGTGACTGATTGTCCGGAATGCAAGAGTGCAGTAAAGAGGGGACGGACAGGAGTGGAGTGATTGATTGACTGATTGAGGTGACTGATTGTCCGGAATGCAAGAGTGCAGTAAAGAGGGGACGGACAGGAGTGGAGTGATTGATTGACTGATTGAGGTGACTGATTGTCCGGAATGCAAGAGTGCAGTAAAGGGGGGGGGGGGGAGGGCAGGAGTGGAGTCATTGTTTGACTGATTGAGGTGACTGACTTAGATGACTGATTGTCCGGAATGCAAGAGTGCAGAAAAGAGGGGACGGACAGAAGTGGAGTGATTGATTGACTGATTGAGGTGACTGATTGTCCGGAATGCAAGAGTTCAGTAAAGAGGGGACGGACAGGAGTGGAGTGATTGATTGACTGATTGAGTTGACTGATTGTCCGGAGTTGCAAGAGTGCAGTTGAGTGGTTGTAGTGACAGGAGCTGAGTGACTGATTGACTAATTCCAGGTGATTGGTTGTCCGGAAAGGCAAGAGTGCAGTGAAGAGATCGGAGCGACTGGAGTGCAGCAACTGATTAACTGATCGAGGCGACTGATTGGTTGGAATAGCAAGAGTGCAGTAGAATGATTAGAGTGAATGGGGTGATTGATAATCCGGAGTGGCACGGGTGCAGTGGAGAGATTAGAGCGACTGGAGTGCAGCGATTGATTGACTGATTAGAGACATATGATAACTTTTGTCAAATGTCTTTAGACTACAAAAAGTGACTTAAAGTCAATTAGATGACGCTTTCGTGAGAACTTGTAGGTTGAGGTGCTTGCAGTTTGTAGTATATATTTTTCCATTGACCATAGAGTAAATCATATTGACTGATGCTTACTAACAAACAATTTCTACCAAGAATAAGAAATGAACTCGATCCTTTAGAATCCAAAGTAGCATGGCTTTCAAAAGAGAAAGATTCTGGCAACATACTACAAGTTCTGTGTAATGCTTTTCCTTTGTTGAAAGTTGAAAGTATCATCAGTAATTCTTGAACAAAAAGCTTCCTGTTGCACCCTGGTACAACGTTTTGCTACATTCCTAGTCAAACTTAAAAATTACAACGTCAAACTTAAAAATTATAATTGGTAATAGAGCTGTTTCAAATCTAGGGCTTCCTTCAAATCAAATGCAGATAAAAAACTACCATGTACAAAACTGGTACCTACTTCTTCGTTTAGCAATATCAGTCCAAGAAGAGGCCTTGACATTGACCACTGTGGAGAAGATAAGACAATAAGAAGCTTACTATAATTCCAAATGGGATTGATACTAGTTTATGTCATTTCAAGCCTGTCAAGAAAATGGAGAACTTAATAAGCCTTTGAAAGCAAAATGTCGAGTGAACGGCTAAGATGGAAGCAAAACTAAAATTTAATTCTACTAAAAACTTTTATAAATACCACATGCATGAAACAAAGAGTGTATTAATAGGAAATGTAGCTAGGCCAAAACAGAAAAAGCAATTAAGTTTTGCAAAGTGTATTTCTTACATTTGATTCTCAGTTACCCATAGACTACATGATGATTTAAGTGAACAAACCCGAAATAATATATAATCGATCTGTTAAAATTTCGACTTCTTGATGTACGCATCAAAAGGGTTGTAAAAATGTAAGCGAAAAACCCGAAAATAAAAACATATTAAATGAAAAATAATTTACAAGGTTCTGTTTGTGGAACAAAATCACAAAAGAGCAGAATCTACAAACCATATTTTTACAATCCTCAAACATAACTGTGTTTAAAATTGTAGACAGCATCTGGAATTCAAAGAAAAGTTTTCTATAATCTTGGCATATATATTTCAGTTATATAACACAAAAATTTCGGTTGAGGCTTGAAACACAAATATGAACGAAGAAAAACAGTAATGAAAAACATTTAATAAGATTTGTCTCCCTTATACGAAAAATGTCAAGGCAGAAACTAGTATGACAAAGTGAAATTTAAAAAAAACCAAAAGCCTAAAAAAACCATCATCCATAAAATTTCGTGTTGTGAGAAGAACTAGAACTTGCTTTCTTTGTGGATCAGTCACTTTTACAAAAGCGTAGTGTGACGGTGTGAGAGCGCCTAAGACTAATCCATGCATAAGTATCCTTCAGAAAATTACTTTGAAAACGTAACAGCCCCTTGTCATTAGTAACTACAACAAAGTAAAATGAATTTGATTAGAAATTCGTGATCACCTGTTTTAAAATATTCGGTTGCATTTCAATGACCTTCAAAGCTGGGTGCTTTTCAACTTCTTTTTGTGCATCGCTACTTTTCGAAGCTTTTTGCAATTGTTGGAACAAATAGGTGACAATATGGTCCAACGTGGCACAGCAACCAGTAGAGATAGATGGGTCTGTGAAGAGTCAAAGTCTACCTTAGATGAAAGAGAAACATCGGCCTTGACATGTTAAAAATATAATTTTGAGGATTTTTTCGAAGTGGTTAACATCCTATCTCTTCAGCTTATCAAATTGTGTATTTCTACTAAGTTTCGTGCCTTTAAATTCACAACAGAGTTATTCTAATAACCATTTTAATGGCTTGGGATGAAGTACCTCAATCTAGAAATAACATTCGGGGGCACTTTTTGGAGGGGTCTGCATCCTTTTTCAGCGTATCAAATTGTGTATCTCTGCCGAGTTTCATGCTTCTATCACAATTTGAACGAATCACCAATATGTTTTATTCTAACAGCCCTGACTACAGTGAGCCTCCACAAAGAAAAACCTACTTTTTCAAGAGTCGGACTATTTTCTTGTACATTTGGTTTTTTAGCTGAAAATAGTGGTATTTTTTCGTTAAATTGAATATTGCAAGGGACAATGTCCCTTAGAAATAAAACTTTAAGGTTTATCAGGAAAATATAGGTTCTTTTAAAGACAAGGTGCTGCACCGTTGCCTCGATTTACTGTTCTACTGTGGTTCTATTGCCAAAACATATGCTAACAAAGTGATACAAGAAACGAAGAAGTATTTTATCAGTGTGAATAAAGAAAAGGTCACGATAGCAGTCTGCTCGACGGACTTTTAAGGAATTCTTGCGGCGAAAAATGTAGCAAATAAGAAACACCGCAGTGCGAAGAGAATGAACAACAACAATTACACGTAAATCAGTGAAAGCAAATACTTAACTGATTTACGTATATTTGTTGTTGTTCATTCTCGTCGCATTGCAGCGTTTCTTATTTCATCAGTGTTGCTTTTCGACGCCATGCGGCATTGGGCTCGGATAATGCCCCTTGAGGCATTTTCCTTTGAAACACCCAATGCCTCTTAACCCATCTACCGTCAATTAGTCCTTTTCCTCTGCTCAACTGCAGTCTTCCAGGCAGACAACAAGGTTAACTAGCAGGCTGCAATTTTTAAGCTGGTACGAATCTTTATGAAAAGATTCATTGTCTGCATTAGAATGTGTATGAAATGCTGTATCATCAGCATTGGCGGAAAGTTCAAGAACCTGTCTTTAAACTCGCGACCTAATGAAATACTTTGCTTTCACCTCTCAGACTTTAGCCAATGCCCTGGGAATAATTAGTAGGGTAAACTGCGGACCGCTAACTGCCTCAAATTATCCGATTATGATTTTTTCTCAAAGCATCTTTTGATGAATCGTAAGTAGAAATCAACTTATTTCGTGATCTTTCCCTAAATTTTGTTTCCTTTTTCGCTTTATTTTTCTATTTTTGCCACTCTTATTTTTCTTTCCGCGCGCAATAATTTTACAAAACGTAACAATGAAACCTGAAAACGTTGTTATAAAACCCCACATTTGAATCTGCAGCATATCTCAGCATATCCCGAATTCTTAAACAAATTGCAAGTTTTGAATAGAAATTTGTGTATCAAAATCACCTCTAAAATTCCAGGGATTGTAGAACCCGAAGGCTATATCAGGAGAAGGACAATACTTACCAAGAGCATCCAATCCTTGCGATACTGATGACAGAACATACAAAAATACCTTGAAAAAGATCAACAGTCATAAACATCGATGCATAAAGTTTCCAGTTAAATTGGGGACAGGAAAATTCGTAACAATATTGAATGGTTCTCAGTAGCTGATATCCTAAGCAACACACAGTAGAGAAGACTTGTGACGTCATGTCGAATGGAAATGATAGCTAACAAACCTGTGGATCTATTTCGCATAAATGATCTATATGATTTTCAGTGATAATTTCCAGTAGCCCGTAGAATGATTGGCTAAGTTTCGGGTACTCCTAAAATAAAAGCAGCAGGGATTGTAATCAACAAAAGAATCTTCAAAGATTTCACAGACTTTTCATTCTAGCGTTTTAGGTTGTTGAGACACTGCTCGTGAGCCGTAAAATGGCACCGTCGAAGACAACATAGACTGCAACTGCTTCACTTGAAATTAAAATGCACAGAAATGTACCAAATTTTGAAATGCTTAGAGAAAGTAGAGAAGTGATCGTGTCTCTTTAGGCTAATCTCGTAAAAAAGAGGGTAAACATTTATATGATGGATAAATAATACCACATTGTGTAAAAATTGGTTTGATTTTAAGTCCTCTATGACGTCAATACAAGAACCTGGTTGCCATTTGACAACCATAGTCTAATCAATAAGTAAGACGCATAATTTTGCGGTTGCCAAGAAAAAGTACATTCGACACCAAAAGATACACTTATAAGTAAAACGTTCGTCATAGAATTACACTTTGAATCGAAATAAGTGGGAAAGACTCCTGGTGTTAGTGGTTTAGTTTTGACAAACTATGTTCTATAACCCGATCAAGGACCCTCTGGCCCCGGTATAAAGACTTCCCGACTTCAAAGACTTTCGTAAAAAAAGAAGAGAGGATGACGTGACCGATTCCCGACTAATGCTATCTGGATATTACACAACTATTACGCGGTCAACAATGCCATCCTGGTCATCATAACCTTTTGTGAAAATCTTCAAGTCTCTCACGCCTGATTTCGAACGGTTACGGTGAATGTAGGGATCTGCGAATGCTATTCACTGATCCCTACATTCACCGCCTCCAACTCATTAGAGAATTAACTGAGAAGCTTGTTTCAGATTGTATTGGTCACTAGGGGCACCATTCAGATGAATTTACGTAAAAAATCTTTTGAAATTTGTCTGTTATTCAAACTAGCCCACAGCCCCCCTCCCCCCTCCTCAGGAAAAACCAAACTTGTGTCAAAAGACTTAGCTAGATTTGCAAAAGGAAGAAGAATTCTTGAAAATAAACGATAGCTTAACGTCATAACGATCCCAAATAATCGCACTACATATTTCTCATTGGTGTTGATAAATATTGTCATAGCCCCAAGAACTGAATTTTAAATGCTAACGTCTCAGTCCAAGCGAAAACGAAACAAAGAAGCATAACGGAATAAGGATAGATAAGTTAAAACAAAGGTCAGACTTTTGCATGAAAGAAAATCGAAAACAAAATTTGGTTAACGGAAAAAATACTTTATATGCAAGCATTAGTATCTTACCAGCAGATCTTGTTGTGGAATTGACATAACAATTTTGACGAACATCGCGAGAGCGTCATTCAAGGCATCATCACCGTATAGTTGCATCACTCCAAAGTTGATGTAATTTCCCGCAAGAGCAGCTTTTAGCATATCAAAGCTTATCGCTATACCTTTGTATCTTTGTAAACAATTAAGGAAATTGGCTTATTTAACGCTACACGCATAGCATGACCATAGGGCCAGGCCCTCAGTAAAAATTTCTTCAGAAGGAGCTGTTCCCTTTAATGGGGTTCGTTTCCTTGTAGAGACTCATTTTTTAGTAAAATGGAAGTTTGAGCCAATGGACAGTATGAATGATATTTACCTATATAATATACTCGGGAGTTTAGTCTAAAGAGGAGCGGACCATCCGCATACAATGATTCCCTGAGAATATGTACACGATAACAAAAACATGGAACGTTCACAAAGTCTGAAACACACGTAGCTGTTGGCCTAGTCAGTGAACTCCATAAAACTGATATCAGCTATTGCTATAGGTCGACAGCATTTTAGGACTTTTTCTGAAAAAATAGCAATAAAAGATCCTTTAACTTTATGAAGCTTTTAGTGGCTCTGAAATAAAATGCTTTTATAAAGAGGACAACTATTCTGCAAGGTACCGTTTCATAACTCTCTTTTAAGTGTTAACAGAAAGAAGGCTTTAAGAGAATCCGTCATTCTCTTCAAAAAAGAAATTCCACGTTATTTGGGACAGTCCTGCAACACCACTGCCTTGAACTAACTGGTGAAAAGATCAACCCGCGAACTTTCGCTAACGGCGGGCACATTTCAAGTTTATTTTTGTTGATTAGACCCTTATTTCTATCCAAAAAAGTTGATTAGCTGATGCCAGGAATCTGTATCGTGTAAGTAGAAGCCGAGTGACTATAACCATGGGATATGTTAGGCCCTAAACTCTGACAATGATAACTTGCATAGCAATAGAATTCAATCTCACACACGGGGCATATAAAAACTATACTAAATGGAATTGACATTACTTTATGGAAAATCAACGAGTGAAGGAAGGATGAAATGATGTATCATTATGCTAAAAACATATTTTAAGGATACTTCAGTGTATAAATCTGATCTTCTGGCACTGCATTTAGATTCAGAATGCTTCTTCCTGGAAAAAAATAAAACAAAAACCTTAAGAAGCAAAAAATATCTTGAGTTTGTGGTGATGTACATTGATCTATTAAAATGAAAGACACAATCTTCATGGCGTTTTATAGAGAGATGAATAACTCGTTACATTGAGGATTCATGATGAAATTTTTGCGTTAAAAATAAATGACAAAATAATCCATCAAGTTACAGACAGGTAATTGAGAGGCAACGTTAATGCTTGTTTAAGAGATAAGTAATAGTGAGTAACATTGAGTTCTGGGAATATGAAAGAGGGCCGTCAGAAGCGAGGGGGCAGGGGGACTGGGGCCCCCAATTATTGTCAAACTGTACTATAACAGTGAAGCGACTATAACATTTCCTTTATAACAGTGTAAAGAATGTGAAGCAATAAAATGAGCAGCCCCCCCCCCAACCCAATATAAATTTTGCTGCATAGTGAAGCGACTACAGATGATATGCATAGACTTTGGAAACAAAGTAGATAGGTCATTTAGAAATTGAGAATAGATGTACAAGAAAAGAAACGTTTTGGAATGATCCCTTTTCAGCAAATGTTGAGAAAGCAACCTTACCATATATCATAATAGTTTTGCTAATTTCCCGGAATAAAAGGACTCCATTAGGGGACATGACATCAAATAAGAGTCTTTGAGATCTGTTCTGTGTCAGTTCAGTCATCAACTTTAACAAAGTGGTACTTATAACTGGCTCATGGGGCCATAGCTCCAACGATCTCTGAAAAACTGCAGCGAATTTCGGGTATCTTTATCTAGTTAAGGTCGAATGATAAATGATTAAATATGAGTTAATAAATAAAAGAAAACATTTTAATGGTTTTAGAGGAATGAATAAATGAAACATTGTTAAGTAGTAGATATTTATGCGAAAGTGTCAATTTGAAGACAGTGGAGTTTTAAGGGTTAAAATCATTTACCCATGATCAACGGATGTAAACAGTGAGTCTATCTCAAATAGAGCAACTCCTTTCTCTTAAGGGAAACTTCATGCAACTATGTCAGTAGCTACACCCCAGTTTAGCTCAAATGAAATAGAGTTTTCTGTTTTAATAACCGATAAGTATACTCCTTTATTCACTTAAACAACATGCGAAGAATATAAAAAGACAAAAATGAAATATTTCTGTCTGTAAAAAATGCAAAATGAGTCTATGCACACCAATCAAAATTGTTCGGAAATTCGAAATTTTCTATCAAACTTCTTTAATAAAACCCCAGCATTAATCGTTGAAGCAAAATGCTCAATGCCTGGTGAATATGACAAGAAATAAAGTCCTGAGCTGTGGGAGGAACACACAGACAAAACCTTTCAATTTCTTAAGATTTCCTGTTTGCAACTGTGCACTGAACATGTATTCTTGAGGAACAAGGTCCTAAATATGGATGTTAGTGAAAGACTCATCAGCTTGTCGTTTGTGCAAGTTTACATTCTCTTAAAAAACATCTTAATTCAACAAGCTGATATCAAACCAACCAAATGAACATGTTCAAGCAAGAAAATATGTTTAAAAAAGCAAGTTTCAAATCATTACTGGGAAATATTTTTCAGCAGACAAAACTCAAAAAAGTTTATCTAAAAGAGAAATTTTGAAAGGGATACAGCCAGTTGAAGAAATGCAAATAGCTAGATTTTGTATTGAATGAAAAAGCCAGGCCACGAAGGTCTCGAGACAAACCAACCACATATTGCTGAAATGGAAAAGAAGGCGTTTCAAGGGTGTCATAAATAGAGCCTTTGATAAAATTCAGTTAAAATAAAAAGTAACGAAACAAAACCTTTGTTTCCTCCATCTGATATGAATTAGCTCCAGCGGTTGCAATTCTGTTTGCTAAATCATCTAAGGCCGCTAGAAGAAAATGATATTATTTAAAGAATATTCTTCAATATTGATGAAAATCTGATTCAACATAAGCTTTTTGTCTTAAGGCTTTGACTATACTTCCCATAAAAAAGCACTAAAGTTTTTGCTAACAATGATTAAACATTAAAATTACACTCACCACCCCCCCCCCCCCCCCCCCCGCTTAAAAAACGTTTTAAAGACAAAGAGCATTGATTAACCGTTGACGTTATCAAGAGGCTTAGAGTAGTAAGTTATTCTATTATTGAAGACATTGAGGTTACGCGGAAGGTTGACGTTATGTGGAGGATCATTGACAAACCTATTTTAAGATACAACACAAAATACACGCCTTGTCTTCGCAAGTACGATTTAATCAGACAAAAATCTTAATCTTAAGTGTCTTTACAAACACCACTTATTTTTAATACCCAAAGGTTCATTCTTGATTATCAATTTATTATCTCACATACCTGTTAAAGGTCTTGCGAATGAAAGAAATCGCTCTTCTTCGTCGCCAAGGTCGACCAAAAGCAATCGACCGATAGCAGTATAAAACAAAGTCCGGCATTTGAAATTGCAATCAGCTTGAAATCCCAGAAATGGGAAATGCTCTGGCTGAAATAAAGATTGATTTATTATTGTAAAATATGTCAATTTAATCGGAAAGTTTAGGCGTAGACAAGAAGTCATTTGCAGCAAGATATCGTCCATGCTAATTCTTATAAAAATGTCTGAATCTCTTCAGCTTTATCAAAATATTTTAACTTCTGTAAAAAAAGTTGGCTTTAATTCCTATGATCGCCCGATAAAAAAGTTCAAGTTTTGAAATACCCTTTCTTAAAAAAAATTGCATATACAAGTGTTCATTAAAGTTTTCATTCCATAATTAAAGTTTAACAACAGTGTTTTGATAAATATCACTTCATATACATAAATATATATAAATATTAACCTATTCGGGAACGTTAACAAGATATTTGAATATCGCAATATCAAGCGGTTAATGAATATCACAGCTTGCAATGAGTTTAGTTACGAAATTCTTGCTTTTTAAATATTTTTGCCAACATTAAACAATCACAGACTGACAACCAAAGCGTAAACAGGTATGACTGGTAAGATAAAGAAGCCTAATGGGCCTTTCATAAATTACAATACGGTAACTATCAATGAATCTAATGGCACTACTTACATCAAGGCTATTACAATTGAATTGGATGTCATTACTTACGGTATGGTTATTGAGAATGAATTGGATGGGAGCCAGTTTTACCAGTTTTCGTGCGCTGCTGTACCTATGGACACAACATATAACACCTATCCGTTGATACATGTTGAAAGTAGATAAATAATCGATTTCCTTTTTTGTTCTAAACTGACTATGATGTTTGGACGGGGGGCTAGGATTCTGACGGGAAATTACGACTGATCAAGGCAGGAAATTACAACATTCCAAATTTGGAAAGGTCTAAAACTGTCAAGATCTGTATACGACATACAGTAGACAAAAAGAAACCTGGTGAACTATTATACTATACAGGAAAAACTCTTGTCTAGAAAAAATTATTAAAATCTTTTTAGTCGGATTCAGATGATTTTAGAGAAGGTCAGCTGTGCCTTTAATAAGAAACGTTTCCCTTTGATGATGGGGACAACTGCATCTTTTAGAACCATTAAAAGCAATTGGGATTAAACCATTTATACTTTTGAACAAAGTTAGGAGTTTGTTATTGAATTGAAAGAGATTTGCCATTTGTCCTACCCGATCGATAAGTCACTCAGCAACTGCAAAGTTGAGTTGATAATTCGCTCATTTCGTGCCCAGTATTTCATATTCGTTATTCTAAAAAGAGAAAAAGTAGATAACAAATATTTGTTTGTAAGAAATGTTACAATTTCAAGATATCGAGTTCAATGAAGTTTTATCTGTTTTAAAGATAGTCTCAATTTTTTTATTAAAATGAATTTTTTAAATATTTCAAATAATATCAAATGTGACCACTTGATCAAACAAAAACTATCATAATTACTAATTGCTCACATTTTTCCGACAAAAACTCCCAGCATTGCAGTTTCATCTGCAATTCCAAGGCGTTCGGATAAAATCTGGTATACCTAGAGTAAAAAGCAAATCCATGAAAAGCAAGTAGCCTACAAAACAGGATGAAATAAAAAAACATATACTTTTGCAATATCAAATTATTCTGTTCAAGCCCACAACTAGCCCACTATTGTGTGCAATAAACTTTCGTACAAGAAGTCCATGATTAAAGCAGTTGAGCGTTTAAACACAATTCTTATATCGAGAAGAGAAGAATTAAGACAATTTCAATATACTTTACACGATTTTCAGCCATTTAGTACAGTAGAAATCCTCATAAAAGAACCTGTTTTTATAAGAACATTGAGGCTGAAATTTAATCTTTAAAACCCCATAATTAAGAACCCCCAGGAGGCTGAAATTTGGAAAGGTTCTTATATAAATGTAAGAAAAGGGGCTTTTAGAGTAAATCAGGTTATGGTATGTTGCATTCTAATTGGACAATCTAACAACATCAATTCATTAGATTGGCTGAAATCTAACATAAAAAAGGCTGGTTCAAGTGTGTCCATTAGAATTCTTGCGGTGGAAAACATTGTTAATGTATGCAAAGCCTGTACGTATATAAGAGCCTTGTTAAGAACCTTTTAGACTGGAATTTATAATAGCAGTCTGTTAATTAAGAACCTATTCAGGCTGTCAGAAAAAACCTAGGTCCTTTTATGCGGGTTTCTACTGTACTTGTGTTGTGACGATCCACGACGTTTCATGATGTTTCATGGCGGTTCGTGATGTTTTGTAATGTTCCGTGACTCGACTTATACCATCAGCTCCCAGCATTTAACAATGATTTTATTCAATAGCAAATATAGCTCCAGTAAAATTCCGATAACTCAAACCTCTTGAAGGAACAATTGAAAGTGTTCGAGTTTATGAAAGTTCGAGCTATTGGGGGCTGCAATGCATTTGGAAAGGTTCAAGGGGAAGAGGAAACAGTTCGATATATCGGGGGATCGAGTAATTGGGGGTTCGAGTAATTGGGGGTTCGAGTAATTGGGGGTTCGAGTAATCGGGATTCGAGTTATCTTTTTTCTATTATTATTACTATTATAAGGCATAAATGAGCATATCTACTTTAGGTGTAGCTCTTCTGCTCTAAAAATCAAATCTATTTTACAACGTAAAGCAAATACATGAAACAATAAGAATAATACAAAGTCAATCCAATAAATTAAAAAGATTATAGTTCTATGACTCCTTCGCTTTCTTAATCAAGAAAGTTTTAACATCAGCGCAAAACTTATTGAATTTAGTCGGTTGTTTGTTATCAATAGGAAGAGCATTGTAGTTACTTGCAACGGCATCTTGAAAAGTATTTTGGATAAGTAAAGGTCTTGTACGGATCTCACTACAACTACGCAATGTTCTTATATAGGTTTGGATCTCAAGTTTATTGATTTCGGCCCAGTTTCTATTATTGATCGATTTGAAGTCCAGTGCAACACGTGGGGGTTTCAGTTATCGCAGGTCCGAGTCATCGGGGGTTCGTGGGTACCGGAAAAGGTTAAAAGGTAGTGCAAAAACAGTTCGATGTATGAGAATTTTACTCTATGTATCTGAAGTAATAGCTAGCCGCCTTGCCTTGGATGACTTGTTCACTTGATCGCCAATATATATCTTCTTGAACTGCTCGAAGAATGAGAGCAATCCAAACTCAAACCGTGCCGATATACGACCCTGTGTAGAATAGATGAACATAGTGTCAGTTACAAGGAACAAAGCAGCAAATATGAGAAAAAAGATTCTACTTACTTTTTACAAACTGATGTTGGATCGTATTGTTAAATTAGGCCATAATTTTTTTACCTAGCAATAATAGCTCCAAAATAACAAAAAATGACTGAGTACGCAGTAAGAAGCAAAAAACAAAACTAACATAAAGAAGGGATGTTTACCCAATGAGCTACATTGAATAAAATAAAAAAATGATATGAAATTCTAAGATCTTAAGTTGAAGATTTACGTTCATGAAGAATATGATACCCTTTACTTCAAACATTTCGTTACTACATATCTTACTGTAATTAAGAGAAAATGCAGGCAAGCGATGCAGCCAGAACAGGTCTCAGACCTGCGACCAATGACTTCACATTTTCTCTCAGTTTTTCCTCAAATCCTGTTCTTGTTCTGAGCAATTCCTTGATCGAAATCACATATCCGAAACAGGTTAAAATATAATCCAGATTTGATGTGTTTTGAAAATACAGAAATTTCTTGGCAGGTGTTGCACCAATACACAGTCAATGCAAGGGGAAGACTAATGTAGTAAGAAAAACATGTTTTGAGAAGCTTTTAGCAATAAAGATCGAAAAACAATCTAAAAATTACTTGCCTGACTTAGTTTCGAGTCCGTGAGGTTCATCAACGTTAATACCCTGCAAAAGGAATGACGTAGCAATGACGCAGCAATGACGTAACAATGACGTAGCAATGACATAACAATTCGTTAGAACAAACTCGATAACTGCGAATTCATACATATGTATATATAACTTTTAAATGTACAAATTCGTTATTTGGATATTGTATTACTTTTTGGTCATCATTAATTGACGTACAATACGCTAAACTGCATTAAATGCAAAATCAGCACTGCTTTAAATACAATACTTTTTTATTGAAATATTAATATTTTTTGTAATTGAGGGCGTAGCCGGTCCAAATATGATTGCTCAAAAAGATGTTAAAAATAAACAGAGATGCAAAACAGAATTTCAAGCCCATTAAATTCTTGGTGGATCGAATACAAAATGAAGATACTTTTATGTGACTTGCTTTCTATTTTTAAGGCGCGAAATAAAGAGCACGCGAAATATTCTAGGAATTACATTGAAATTCAATACAGAAATCAAAACAAACGATAAAAAGTTAAACATAGATAAGCTAAACAAAATAAAGCGGTCAGACATCATCAAATATACAACAGAGGTTCAAATGGTAGTTTACCTTGTGCATAGTTCAGCGTCAAATGCGTCGTGCTCTTCTGTTGCTGAGAAGGATATTCGACCTCCGATTGAGTAGCCAATCATGAACACCAACCATGTTAATCGGCCTAAATTATCAAAGATTAAAGAAATCGGCCTACATCAAAGAAAACATGGGAGAAACCAACAGCACTGTCATTCTTAACTTTATAGCACATTACGCAGTGCACTAATTTAACAATATAGGCTCACTATAGATTATTACCATCTCAAAAAAGGCCACTACATAACAAACATGTTTTCAGTAAAGCATCTAAGTTTTGTGCTTTCGTCGCTTTTGAGCAACTGACATATAATACCGTAATACAGGGGCTATTATGAAATTCAATATCCGTGACGGACGGACAAACGATACTTTCATAAGGTCTCAAAAATTAACGGATGATTTCTTAATTTTCTCCTTTCGTGTAATGAAACAACCCAAAAGAAGGTGTGGATGAGTTAAAGCAATCACTTCTGGAATAAACACATCGCCTCAGAAGGATATAAAATGTTCCATCAAATAAGCTATGAAACTCTGGCACAAGTTAAAACTTTCCATAATGTCAAGGATCTCGAACTTTTTTAAAAATGCATCGAATTTCGTAATAGCCGCTACACGAAGTAACCATATATGTAAACTAAAACAACGTAAATCATCTTTTCTTCATGCTTTCACAAAAAGCGAAGGTTTTTTGCAACAAATGAAAGACACTATGTCCCGACACATTTGTCAACCTTCAAATAGATTACTTACCTTCTTGTATTGTGATGTCATTTGTCATGGATCCATTTGATTGTAGAAGAGCTTGGTATGACTGGGCAGTTTGATCGAACAGTGAAATCAGAAGTGAACAGGTTTTAGAATATTCACACCGGCCTATTGTTGATATCTAAGAAAAGAAAACGTGAGTTGTCAGAAAACGCCATTGAGTTAACACTAGATGTTTAGATCTACATAGCTAAATCAGTAACCTCAATGCTGAGGGTTACGCTGGTGAAATATCGTTGGTCACTGCATGTACAGCTATTTGATAAAACTTGGTACAAGCATGAAAATACAAGCATGGAAGCAAGAGGTTGGTGGATAAACTGAGCTTACATGCAGGGACAAAAAATATTCGAAAACAAAGACGAAGATGATTAACTAATATATTAATTAGTTAATATATTGATATATATAGTTTAGAAAATTATCATACAGTTAATAAGAATGTCTTTATAACCTTATGCCTTCTAACCTACATGGCGTTATGATTAGAAAAACTTAAAAAAATTGTGCGCAATAGACGGCGATGCACAATTTGCTGCAGGGAAGAAAACATAACCATATTAAAAGAATGCCTAAACGATGCTTTTATTATTGAATATTTAATTCAAAAGAGCATTCGGGACATATCTTTGGGGTAGGAAGATCAGGCAACAAACGACACAGTAATTGCCACTGGCATTTAAAAAGCGGCCCTTCAAACCAACAGGTATAGGAAGTTAAGATGACTTGAACGAGATTTTACTGAAAGAACATCCTATCACCAAATCACTTCACTCATAGAAAGCAGTCTAACATTGAAAGAATGGCATGGCAAAATGGAGAGAGAGACCACACAATAAAGTTAAGATAAAGCGGACAGGATTTGAGTGCAACAAAGCATCAGTCAGGTCTTTACGAGATGAGGAATAGCGTTTAAAAAAATCATGGAAAAAAAGAGAGGTCTGCTCAGAGAAAGTAGCAGGATAGCACAGAAGCAAAGTGAAAACACAAGACCAAAGAAAACTTGTTTCGAAAGTACGATCCAATGAGAAAAGCACCAAAAACGATAAGAATTATTACTTCTTAATGATTTAAAGATGAGAAGTTAGGCCACAAAGAGAGAAGTGAGAAGCCAACGTACATGATCACATCAAATAGCGAAGCATCCTAGTGAGTAGGTTAAACTAGCGTAATTAGCTTAAACAAAAGCACCTTGTCATGTAACACTTGTCATCGTTTTAAAGTTTAGGTTGAAGGCAAATAAGCGACAAAGTCCACTCTTAAATGTGAATGATGAAAGAAATAAGAAAATCAGAAACCAAGACTGCTTCTATTTTAACAGTCTGCTTCGATTACCGCCAAAATACAACTATTCCAAAAAAACACGCACAGTAGCTTCAAAAGTGCAATGAAAAAGTCTAGTTCCTGTTAACAATAGTTTCTATTAGCTTAACTTGCCTGATCCAATTGCTGATGCAACGTAGACTTGTCTTCAAGAGGATCATCCAAATTATCCCTGTAAAACGAGATAAAAATTATCCCTTTAAAACGAGATAAAAATTATCCCTTTAAAACGAGATAAAAATTATCCCTTTAAAACGAGATAAAAATTATCCCTTTAAAACGAGATAAAAATTATCCCTTTAAAACGAGATAAAAATTATCCCTTCAAAACGAGATAAAAATTATCCCTTCAAAACGAGATAAAAATTATCCCTTCAAAACGAGATAAAAATTATCCCTTTAAAACGAGATAAAGATTATCCCTTCAAAACGAGATAAAAATTATCCCTTTAAAACGAGATAAAAATTATCCCTTTAAAACGAGATAAAAATTACCCCTTTAAAACGAGATAAAAAATATCCCTTCAAAACGAGATAAAAATTATCCCTTTAAAACGAGATAAAAATTATCCCTTCAAAACGAGATAAAAATTATCCCTTCAAAACGAGATAAAAATTATCCCTGTAAAATGAGATAAAAATTATCCCTTCAAAACGATATAAAAATTATCCTTTAAAACTTAATAAAACTATCAAAAATGAAAGGATATCTCAACACTACAAAAACACATATTGATTCCGTCCAATCCGATTGCTGCATTACTGCAGAGATTGTTAAGACCTGTTGACGGTATGGGGCAATTTGATTGGGTATGGAATTCATCCAAACTCTGAAATAACCAATCAAAATCCAAGAACTCCTGTCAAGCCAGCCAATCAGATAAAAAACATGACAATTTTAGCAGGTGAATATATCAGCAAAATGCCTGGCAAAATCTATAGAATAAAAATTCAAAAAAAATTTAAATTCATTATAAAAACACCTAATAAAAGAATGGCAAAAAAGCTTACCTTAAAACATCGGCAACTGATTGTAACTTCGCGGTAACAAATGCCTCTGTTATCTAAAAATAACCAAAATGATTTTTACAAGCTAGGTAAGCACTTTCCGTTGTACCGTCCAGCAAATATGAAGTTCCTTTTAACATCGCTTTTAAGTTTGGAGAGAAAATATTTTTTTTGACAGTAAGCGTATACACCAATTCAACTTACGCCCTCGTTTTTAAAATTTCTCCAAACTTCATTGTACCAAATTTTTCAAGCTCAGATTTGGTTTTAACGCCATAATTTTAGGCCAGATACAATTTTTCATGTCGTTTTTGCTTGTATTTTAGATTTTACGGAGAAATGAAATTTGAAAACTTGCAAGGGATTTGACCGCAAAAATCGTTCCGGGTGAAACTGTACCCCTTTAGTCGCAAATCTTTAGCAATAACATAACGAAAGCTTCCAAGTAGATCAAAATTCCTGCTCTCAGTCCAAATCTGAAGTCAAAAACGTTGTGAAAAAGAATTTAAAGAATTTTTCAAAATGAGGCTGTACGTTGAATTGGTGTATTGATACACTGTTTCGAATCATGCATTGAATCTCAATGTAAAGTTGAAAAACATAAAAAAAATACTTTTCGCGACATCTCTATGCCTACATCACCCAAAAATGAATATACAGAAACATACATCAAAGGGCAAGAAATACCTGTGGTGTGAATCGGTCAAGATAATGGGGCTCATTTGCCTTTACAAAAGGACAGGAAGCAACCATCTTTTGCCACATATTCATAAGATAGTACACACTGTTGGGGGCAAATTGCCACATCTGCAAAAGAAAACATCTCATCTTCAACATAAACTAGCAGTACAGTACATGACAAGATTCAAAGATGTTAAAAATATAGTACAATAGACTATAATTGATATTAATTGCATACAAATGATATGAATGATTGTAAACCAAAGATAAAGAAAGCCGTTTGATGAATATTTTTGTGCTTTTTCCTGCAACCTTGAAAATTTGCAGTAGGACAAGCTTGTTGATGCTTTCTGATTTCTGAATTTGAAATGTATAGTTTTTAAGATGTCTGTTTGAGATATCTGTTTTTAAATGGTTGCATTAAGCCTGAAAAATGGAATAGTAACTTTGAGCCCCTGTCTAAACACCAAAGCAAGATATTATAGGTCAATGGCGGACACCTAGGGTGTGAGGGGGGCGGCTGCCCCAAAATACTTAAAGGACAATGGTCTTTTGTTCCAAAACAAAGGGAAATGTGACCTCCGAAAAAATTGATCAAGTGTCCGTCCCTGTTATAGATCTTTGTCGATTACATGTGGCAAACTCTTGACACAATACACAAAGAAACGGTAAATATAATAGGAGGATGAATGTTATCCTCAACAGGTCTCAAAGGATACAAAGGGGCCAAGAGATATATCGTATAGGAAAATAAACGCCCCCTTCCCTGTGAAACAACTATTTTGTACCATATGGCTTTTCCTAACATTTGTATTTTAATATACAAAAGAAATTGAATAAAAAAAATAGATAAAAACCAACCTGAAGGCTTGTAACAGTGAATTTCGCAATCATTTCAATGAATTCTCTATAGTTCTCCGTCTTTATGATTTCTCCAAGTTGATAATTCGATTTCACTCGCGCAAGAAAGCGACAAAATTCATGATAATTGTCAAGATCTTCAAGGGACTAAAGGAGGTAATATTTAACAAAAAGATTAAAATAATTCACATTTTAATTTTAATACCTTTATTTAGCAGTTTTGTAAAGCACAAAACAAAAGGAGTTAAAAAGATAATGAATTTGGAAGTCTGTTAGCTATTTTTAAAAACTGGACAAAAGACGAAAATTCAAAAGATATGCATAAGAGTCTGGAAATAGACTTTAACGTTTCAAGTGTCCAAACATTAACAAAATTTAGAATCTATTTCTCAAATTTTAAAACACCGTTTTCAAAATTTCAAAAACTATTCTAAAAGTAGAAAAACACTCAACTGTAAATATCATCTCAAAAATCAATTTAAAACCTACTTTTCTAAAACAAGTGCACATGAAAACATACTTGGGGTGATTCTAAAATTCGTTTGGCACCATTAAGGAGTTCCTGAAGATACTTTGCTCTCTCTGTTGGGTCGAAGAGTGACCTTCTTACGGACGCCAATTGCACATAGCATACCATGGCCTAAAGGGAAAAACGAGTATACAATAATATTGTAACTGACTTTACAAGGAACGCTGTTAATAAAATTATCTGGTTGAAATGTCATATTCGTGTTGGCGTTGAAGCAATCTAGAGTGAGAGGTCACATCTTGGAGTCAGTAAATTGCAAGGTTGACTGCCATCGTGTTTCAATACTGGTACAACAAAATTGCAGAATCAGAGAAGATCTCAAGATGGCCAGGAAAGTTAAAAGTATGTGAAATTCTGTGATTTATTTTTTTCACAGAAACGGAAGAAAACTAACACAGCTGTAACATGAGCAAATGTAAGGCATCAAAGGTAAGTTCTAAATCTGATTTCTGGTGACCTGAAATTCTAAAACAAGAAGAGGTGACAAAAGCACATTTAATTCATTGGTTCACATGACTTTACAAAAAATGTTCTTGCATAGAGTCTTCGCAATAGATCAAGTGACTTCCTAGCGTCTCTTAGATACTAGCCCAACCTTGGCATAAAAGCTGCTTTGTGCTTACAGAAGATGGCATAAAATAGTTCATCCTTGTTTCAAAGATTTAGGGGTAACTTGGATATTATCTAATTTTGTACTGACATTTCGACCCTTTACTGAAAAAATTTCAACAAAAGTACTTAGATAAAAGTACCTGAAAGCTCAATGAGAAAGGCTGCAAACAAACTGCAGTATATCAAAGTATAAAAAAGAGTATTCTTAAAAAAGTCTAAAACCAGATAGAAGAAGCTTTATATCTTGCTGGCAGAAACTCTCACACTCTGTCTTTCAACAAATGTATTTCACAAGAAACAACAAATATAATCTATGCCTCTCACAATTAAGAACTGAATACACAAGGAAAGGCTTCTTCTACATGGGTGCAAAGATTTTTAATGAACTGCCACTTGCTGCAAATATGTCTGACAATGCAGCTGCTTACAGGAAGAATATAAAATTTTTTATGCATAACATAACAACTTACAAACAACTATATTCCTAAAGATTCAATTATCATCTAATTTTTATTCTCTTTCTAAGCATCATTTATTTCTACAGGACAAACAATGATAACAGCAATCAATTGGTGAAGTTTTTTATCCTGTATGAGAACTCATTTTATTATTATTATTATTATATATCATATATATTATGTAAATAGCGAGGCTTGTAGAATAGCGCATACTAACCATTGATGAAATACTTTGGGGAACAGCCTGGTACAAATCCAAGAATAGGTGAATATTGCTGAAGTCTAAAAACACTGTGAAACGAAAAATGAATACCTTAAGTTGACTTCAGACATAACTACAAAGACTATGAGGAAAATGCAGCAAAATTCTAGGACCTTAATCCAATCTCTCGTATAATCAACAATTGCATTGAACCTACAAACCATTATTTTTCAATGCAACAAATCTATGATGAAAACTCTTATGCATTATTAGCTAAAACCTCAGAAAATGTGGATAGAAAAAAATCAACAAAATATAAGTCGTGGCTAAGCTCTTTCAAATGTTAAAACTTCTTCCACAAAGATAGATGATGGAATGATATTTGTCGCGGTACTTTCCTTAAGGAAACCTATACTCAATTTGTCACCTTTAAAGCAGGGGTTACGATAATAAGATTTACAGTGAATTTTAAGTGGTCTAACGAAATAGTACCACAGTTCAGGGATATTTGCTCGAATGAAGTTCCATATGCCGGGGTAAAATAATAGTTAATTTTTCTTTACTTTAAAGGTTCGTTTATCAAACTGGATTTATTGATAGATCTTTGCTCCTCGTCGTTTTGAGTTGTTCCTGCTTATTATCTATTATCAAATTTTTCATCGCAAGATTCTAGAAATGTTGCGGATGGCCTCGTCCAGCGTCTTTTCCGGCTGATAATATGCCGGCATTTTTTCGAGAATTTAATTGACAGTCCATTTTTTCCCTGCTTTATCCTGCACAAGAGTAAGACAGGAGGGGCAGTGTTGGTGCTGAGGGAAAATTGTAGAATTTTTCTGTTGATATGATCGAGCATTCGTGGGGGGGGGGGGAAGCAACATAATAAAATATCAATGGATATGTGCCACCCATACTGCTGGGTTTTCTTACCACCAAAGATTCTAAACGTAGAGAAAAAGTTGATGAAAAGACCCTTGTTTGTCTACTTTTATCTTTACCGCTTTCCTTTTGTGGCCCACCTTATCACAAACTTTCAACCTTTGCCTTTTTGTGCTGGTGTTATCATCTATTTTATATTTTCTGATGGGAATTAACGAGAGTGACGTAACGAGAGTGGTCACAGTGGACATCAATTAATGATAAGATCCTTTGAATTATTTAGAAGTCGTATATTTCAGGGCACTTATTGTCCCCTCTGCAGCTGCTCTTCCCGCCCCCCCCCCCCTAGTGCGACGCCTCGAAACCACCAGGTAAATAAGGGACATGAAACTAAAAGTATTTAATTATTGACATTCTTTACGATGGTTTAAAGAAATCATAGATTCACATAAGTTTCAACGATAAAATTTTGCAAAGCATTTTGCAATTCAAAATTAGCTGGAATTGTACATTATTTTATTAAATATGAAATTGCATCAAATTCTCATAAGCACTGAATCTAAAGTTTTAAATTAAAACGTTCGCCTTAGAACCAGACTATGTATTTAACTATGCTGCCTTTATCGCGCCACGAGGAATACAGACAGAAACCTAAAAAAGAATATGGCGTCAATAAGTTGAAATGTTTATCGAAATGAACACATACACTGTTTCCACTGAGTAGGTATGTGCACTGTGCCCATATCATCGGTCGACTCATCAAATGAGGTTCCAATAAAATCGTAGGCGAGACAGTTTTTCACTAACTGCAGCAGCTCTTTGATAAGGGAGATCTAGCAAACAAACAAAAACAATTTCATAGATATACTTAAAGACAAAAAACATACATATATAACAGCGAGATAACTTACGAAGAGCTGACCGGTGGAGACTGATAACATTCAACTTAGGCATCTATAAATGCGGAAGGCTTGGCAACCATGCGCTTAGTTCTTAGCACAGTAAATACTTGCAAGTCACACACCTTGGTTGTTTCATACTGTGCTGCTGCAAAATATTCATGCCTTTTCAAACAACATAAGAAAGGCGATTTTTAAGTGCATATAGTGTATTAATGCGATATAAACACGACTTACACAACGTAAAAGGATAGGACTTCAGCAAATTCGACTTTACTGAGGTTATCGATACCAAGATCCCTCTACAACAATGATCTGGAAGTCTCAAAAGAGATTGTTGGAAAAATATTGATGAACTTACTTGCTGCTGATTTTGAAAATCGATCCTCTTATTTGAAATCTATAAGATGTAAAATAATCACACTATCTAGCATGAAACGGAAGAAATGATTCAACGTTTCACGAGGATAGAAGAATAAACGCTCGATCTTTTAATAGAAAAATAGCCAAGGAAAATGAACTTGAATTGATTAAAGACTCATTGCTAACAATGGGCCTTTGCGAGCGTGGCGACGGTCCAAACAATGGCAGTAAATTTCTACGGATTAACCAAAATTGATTTCAGACAGTCTAAAAATGCATTATGGGATGCTTAGGTAGCGCAATGGCTCATTGTTAGCAATGAGTCTTTAAGAATTGATTACTTCCAAAGCAGTCTTGTAAGAAGTCGAATAGGACCTCTAAAACAATATCTTGTATTTGTTGCTAACTAGTAGAAGCTATGCTTATCGAGCAGTTTCCTGGTCCTTGCCCTCGATGTGACCTTCCCTCATGATTTATACGCCTGGAATTACAGACAGCTGGCGACTCTTCTTATTCTGGGTGAAAGTTTGGTTATGCCAAGGATTCGAACCACGGACCCTAATGTATCTGTAGGGCACGCCCTAACCACTGAGCCATCCTCACATCATATATGTGACTTTGACAATGGATAGTTGTGTTTGTGCAATTGGCTTATGAAGATAGAAAGGGGGTACCAGGGGTTGGAAAAAACAACTCTTTGCTAGCATAAGAATCCTTGACAGTATATTACAACAGTACTTTCCTGTTCTTGTGTATATAAATAAGAGTTAAATTTTCGCCAAATAAATCATAACGAAAATGGTTGGCCAAACGACACTTTTGATTGTTTTCAACTTGATGCCAGATGTAGGAAATTTAATTGGGCAACATAAAGCGATGTTGTAGTGACAAGTAAAATTTACAGCCTTGAAGTTTTATAGAAAAATATTTAAATTATCTTAGATTCGCAGCATTCACTAGAATATATACACTGGTTTAAGAAGAACAGGAAAACCATATTATTGAGTCGAGAGTTGCTAGTTGTAACATAAAATGAGATACCTGTTTAAGCATCGTTAGACACATGGTAAAAATATCATACAGAGCTGCATCTCGAAATGATGCTGAAATCTAGAATATGAATACAAAAGGTGATTGGTGTCAGCTGCCATCAGCATTGGAGAAAGCAGGGTCTGATTATGCAACAGGAAGATTGGGGAAATGAAAGAAAGCTTGCTGACATGATCTAAGATGCAGCTACCTCGAATTGGGCAAACAATCTGCCTTAATGAAAATACCTTAAGGCATGATATCTGAATACAAACAGTTTGGTTGCAGTATGTTAATGGAAAAGAGTTTTGGAGAGATACCAGCAAGTAGCAGATTAGGAAAAAAAAGATGTTTCTTTTTAAAACAGTAACCTTTGGTTGACAAAAAGTTCATTGACAATAAAAATCCCATTCTTCAAGGGTGAATAGCAACCCGTGTAAGTCAATATTACAATTACGACGAATCTCACAATTTTTTGCCATAATTAATTCAATTAATATGCTCTAAAATCGAATAATTTTGAAGAAAAAATTCAATACTTTAATCAAGATAAAATATTGAATCAAGAAAACTTCTGTTTTGTATATCTTTATTCTGAAAATAAAAAATCATAGAAAAGCACATCTCCTTTACATTTTTATCATAATGGAAATGATGAAAATGTAATAAGATATTAGAACAAAACATTATTGTAGAAAGAAAGGTATGCTGTATTTTCCTACAGTCTATTAAAGGTAAATTATTGATATCTTGTCTGTTTTATCCTTTCTATTTATGTATACAAAAAAACAGATAAAAAATCTGGGATACAAACCTTGCGATATTTTGAAATTGACAGGGTGGATTCTGTCTACAAGAAAGCAGTGTCAACATTTGTTAATCATAACAGCATACAAGAAAAATGAAGAAAATTAAACATTAGAACAGAATAGCTTTTCATGAAAAGAACAGACTAGATTGCATCCATAATTACTGAACCTCCACACTGTTTTTTAAACCAATATAGAGTAAATTGTTATTAGATGCAAAATGGTTCATAGAACTCCTATCCCATTCTCTAGATCTGATAAGAAAGTATACCGATATTTATATTGAAAAAGCTTATGTTGAGTATATGATTAAAATTGAAAAGTGATAGCTGTGTTTTTGAGAATAATAAAAGATGGAAAAAATACCTGATTGATTAAGGAAACAATTTCAGCAAGAATCTTTATGCCAATAATACAGTGCTCGATAGATCCTTGTAGAAACTGACCAATATCATCAGTGATACTTCGAAACACATATGTGTCATCTTGGGTATCAAACCAACCAAATTTTGTAAGTTTTGCAAGAAGCTATTAAAAAAAAGATAGTATGTTATTTTACTAAAAATGATAGAATTGTCTTTAATAAAATACTTAAATCCAGTGGAAGTGAAAGTGGGTGCAATAATATTGACAGAAATGTCTTGATTTGCTTATGCTTTTGTCTGTGGGTGTGCGTGTGGATCCAAAATAAACATAAGTTTGTTCGTGACATGTTGGAATTTTAACTCCAAAAGGTATCTTTGACAATTATAGCATGATTCTTTTGTATTGCAGTCTGGGAGGTTATTGGCTATTTGCCATTGTAAAAAATATAAAGCTAATAGCAAAAGGTAAAATTTCAAGTAATATCTTTATTCACAACAATAATTTGCTTCAAGCCCTATTATTGATTTTGAACTTTATCTTATGTGTCCAGCCAAAGATAAAATGCCTAACAAATATTTGGGCACTATCTCATTATGAACAAATGCTTAACTCTATTATTACTTAATCCTTCGTAACTAATGATATTGAAAAAGTTGATGAAAGCAAGGTAAATATTTATTTTCTTGGTGTTGCCATGGTGATGAAAAAACAAACTAATTCTGGTTAATTCTGATCATAAAAACCTGTTTAAAGAATAAAATGTACAAAATGTAATGAAGACAAATTCATGAATTTCAATTGAGTCAATGACTCTTGTAATTCAAAAGACATTGATCTTTTTTGTAAAATAATTAATATATTCATATAAGGAAAACAGTTTCATATAAAACATTCATATAAGGAAAACAGTTAAAGTTCTATAAACTTCCAACATAAAGGATTCACTGTGAAAAGTAATTTTACCTGAGCCAATGCTTGGACAACAAAGGGTGCTAATTTTGGTCTGGTAATGAAATAGTTCAAGATGTAATTCCCTGCAATGAAAACATCCACATATGGTTATGTACATGCAATAAAGTATATACCTGAATAAAAATTTCTAAACCTGCATTCTGATAATAGCTGCTTGTTTCAAATTGATCTAGATGTCAAAAACAAACCATGTAAGACATCTATCAGGACATATTTGCTCCAATACTCTGATAAAACATATTTGCTTAAAACTGTTGTCAAGAATTTATAGGACAAAGAAAACATTTCACACAACTATCTGACTTAAACAACTATGCAACAAATATAGTGTCAAAGGTTTCCCTTATTCATCAAACTAGCACTTTATGTTACTTATGTATTGAACTCTTGGCAAACAAACTCACAAAATAATAGCAGAGACAACCTTTACACAGTAATTATTTGGCCCTATTGTTTCATCTAGCTCTTTTCCCTTCCTTTTGTATTAAATTGAATAACTCTCTATTATCAATTTTTGAGTTTGTACAAAGCTTTTTTTGAGGTTAGTTGGTTATAAAGTTTCACAGAGAACACGTGGGGAGTTTCTATTTGGTTTTTCACTTTACTTTAGACAAATTAGTCGAGTTAGCTTATTAAGATTCATTTATATTAGTAAATACAACTAAGCAGCAACATTTACTAAACTTATATGCTGACTTACTGATGTTAATCCTCTCTGCAACTGGTAAAACTGATGTTGCCTTTATGATCAGCTTTGATAGAGTGGAGGCAGCAAGAAGTTGTGAGTAGGAAGACTAAAAAAAGACAAAGTGTCATAAACCTGTGGAAAATAAAAAATGTACAAAAGTACAAATACACAACATTACACAATGTTTCTTAAAAAAGGCAAAAAAAAGAGAAGTCGCACATTCAAAGACTATGCGGAAAGGGCAAGTAAATCTTCTCCCATAGGAAATATACTCTAAAGTCCCATTTCATGTATTTAACAGGCCTTCTGAGGAGCAAATAGCAGGTGCTTAGCAAACTAAGCACTGTGGTGGACACCTGGGGGCTAGGAGGGCAAGCCAATTTTGGAGTACAATGGTCTTTTGTTCTAAAACAATGGAAAATGTGATGTCATCTCATCAAAACAATAGGCTTTCCTCCAAATATTTGACCAAGTGACCAGCCCTGGCTCATCAAAGTACATCAATAACATAATTTGATTCTTTTATTTAATTTTTAGACAGCATAAACATGCTAGGTGCTCAATCAATCAAGCCCCTAGAATTTTCTAGGTGTGTGCAGAGGTGCTTGGTTGAGCTTGAGTACCTCTCCTTGCAAGGCCTGGTATTCATTATGCAAAATTCAGAAAATCACATTTTCCAAAGTTGTTTTGGATAAACATGAGACTTATTTACTCAGAAACACAGTTTATTCCATTTCATCAAATTACTTTTGCTCAAAAAGAGTTTACTTCTGGCGCTTAAATAAGTTAGCACCATACAACAAATTAAAACAAAAAGCAAATTCTTTATCAAAATTGCCTCAATCCGGTAGATTATTTAGTATGAGAAGACCTTCAGAATCCTATCCCAATTATGTTACTACAGACTTAATCATGATGAAAATGGAAATGTTACATTAAATGTAAAAGTAAATCCACGAGAGAACCACAAGTGTTCAAATAAATATATATCATCAAGGTCCCATGTCCAATTTACATTTAAAGCTTTTAATGAGAATTTACATGATATCACTGCATTGAAAATTAGAATTCAATAAGGCAGATAATTTGTAAAAAGCTTCCAGAATACTCAAAGACATCAAGTCACAACAAAAAGAGTTGGTATACCAAAATATGCTGAGTCATGAATTTTGCGCTGCAATATTATTTGTGAACCTGAAACTTTTCTCGTGAAGTAGGTTTTCTGTTAATTTTGAAAGGAGATTCTGTCAATGACTTTGTGTACACAATGGCTGTCAAGATCAAATGTCACTATTGTGATCCAGCTCAAAAAAGATGACCTGCTGAGGAGAATGTTTTTACCATGACCTAAGAGGTCTTTTAAGTTTTTGATGCCATCCTTTAAAAATGCAAATTTATTGATGCTCTTCATCAATGCTAAGTATGACAGATGCAGGTGAAAGGTCGTTGTAGTGCTCCACACTGGTATTTTGAATTGCTCCATAGTGGAACGTCTGTTTGCATGCAATATAAACTGATCAAATAGGTTGTATGCAGAAAATGTAACGTTCTAATGCTGCATTAGAACTTCCAGGAAATATAATAAATTGCATTGTTAAACTGGGCATACTTCCTTAGGTGGCGTTTTATCTGAAATTTTCACCTCTATTCACGACAGCTATGCAATTTGTATTTTACTCTTATGACGCATTAGGAAAACAAGAAGGAAGAAATTCCCACCCTCGCTTATAAATATGGGTAATGGTTCCTAAAATTGTGTCCTCCTAGCCATTAGCTGCAATACAGAATGACTGAAAAAAAGAACCGTGCTTACTGCTGCTCTTTCCAGCAAATACTGACACTTCCTCAAACAGTCCGGCGAATTTGAAAATAAGATTAACGCCTTTTCTGCTGCCCCCCTAGCTGAAGGATCGGGGGATTCATATAGCTGCTTGCAGTAAAGTTCCAACTGGGATAACTCCTAGAATAAATAAAAACAAACTGTAAGTATTAAAACTGAATATAAACTGTAATGCGTTGAATAAATTAAGAGTTAAATTAATTTTAAAGAGAAATAAAATCTACCTGATCGTCCATTTTCACCCATGAGTGTGGCTTTCTGCCTCCTTTTCAGAGTTCCAGCGCGCGCTGCCCCTGCCTCTTATTAAATTGATCCCTCCTCCACAACTACTTTTAGCAGCTGGCCAAGCAAAGACTTCAGGTGCTTGTCAACAGGGATGAGGATTACGACACAAGTTGCAAATTTTGGAACCAAGGGCTAAAAAGATTTTAGAAAATTACTTCTTTTTTGCAAAAAATAGGAGTAATTTTACAAAATAATGAAATTTTTTAATTTTTTTGGGTACACAAAAATGTTGTTAGAGAAAGTGCCCTTTGTAAGAGGGAATGAAAGTCCTTTGTAAGAGGGGATGCCTTTATTCTGTAGCCTGTTTCCCAGACCCCTAACTTGAAAGTAGGGGTCTGGAGCACAGGCTATTATTCTGGAGTAAGTGCCATCTCTTCATGAATTGATGCATTTGCAAGAAAGAGACAAGTTCCTGCTTCAAGATTGTTTGGAATAAAGTAAATCAAACAATGCATAGTTACAGAGAAAAGATGCAATAACCTCTTGTTGTTAAATCCCGAAGATTTAAGTATGAATAAAGAGAGCTTAATCCTTTTCAGCAATATAAGTTTCAGGAACAACAGGAAACACAGAAAACGTTCTATTGCAAAATTTGAATAGTTGATGCTAACAAACAAACTTACGATAAAAACGAACAAATGCATTTTTATCCTTATTTTACTCAGATTATGAATATGATTAGTTAGCTCTGGTTGATAACAGATACATGAACTTATCAAGTTGTGACACTTAACGAAGAGTATGCCTAAGTGCCCTTTTTCTTGTCATCGACCTTCATTTTTCGAAAATCATGTTTTTTGATACTAAATGTTTTTACCAAATGTAGAATTTCAATATAAACTGCCAGTTAAGGCTCAATGAAAGCTTCGTTCAAAGACAGCTCCTGTAAAATTGTGAAGCACAGTCATTCATTGATTGGTGCACACCTGCTGCAAGAACGTTCCAATCTTACCGCCTGCTTTCGAATTCTCTGACGTTAATAGGGCTAGAAAATGCGACTTCTAACATATCTGTGAATTCACTATGACACAGTTGAAAGGTGCTAGAAATGATTATAAGACTATGTCATTTGATACAAAATCAAGTAAATATTTTATCAAAATTTAAAGAAATATTATAATAGACCAAAAAATGCAACTGTTAAGAAAATTAGGTCTTACCTTTGAAAAGAAACCTGGAGTACCTACTAAAAATATCAGTGACGCTGGAACGACCAAGGGGCAAGGGGACAGGCTTGAATACAAGGGCATTCGTAAGATGATTCCCAGCATCTACTAATTCCTTCGAATGTGCGTTTTTATTTCGATCCTCTGAACGCATCTTGAACATTGGCTATCTTTTGGCATAAGGAATGTACGCATCATTGGCTATCTTCTGGCATAAGGAACAAGTGTCGTCATGAATTAGGCACTAAAATCAGAATTTAAAATGAATCTATCTGATTACTATAAATGACCGGTTTCAAGAGCACTCAAATGAAAAGGCACTCGAGTCTGGAGGAGCACAGACAATTTCTTGGAATGTGTGAATGAAGAAAAGGTCACTGTAGCAGGCTGCTCGACGGGCTCCAAGGAGTTCTTGCGGCGAAAATTCGATAAAAATCTAGCAAATAAGAAACACCGCAAAACGCCAAGAATAAACAACAATAAATACACGTAAATCAGTGAAGGCTATTATTTCGCCCCGGCATGCGGGGCTTTTGCCCTGATGAAGCCCCGTATGCCGGGGCGAAATACAATTTCTTGGAAAACCGACACCCGCGGGTAACCTCGCTAAACCGCACAATACCTGCTAGTTTACATGCAGTTGTTATGGCGGCAAAAAAAATTCCCATTCTGCAGCATGAGCTGAAATGAAGCCAGGATATCTCTCAAAGTCAAGTATTACACTCCAAGCATCAGTATGTTCAGTGATGAAACCCATGATGTAATATCACTTCCATCTTCATGGAAAGTAGAGAGGTAGGCCTGCATTGTATGCAGTATAGATATTCTGTGGAGCAAACTGTTATAATAATTTTAGGCCTAGGGTTATCGCTTGAATTTTTTAATAGATTGTATAAACTCAGCTCAACTCAGACTTTCATTTTGAATATTAATATATTTAGTTTTTATTTTAAATTTCAGTAAGCTACTCTTGTCTTTCCACGAATGATTTGATGTTTATAATGATTTTGATGATATTATTTATATTTATAATTGAGTTGAATAACAGATACAGTTATTATACAACCTAAGTCTCTGAAGCATTGAATTTTGATTATTATCAAGTCTTGAAAAACGTGGGAAACACTGCATTCTTTCCTCAAGATAGGTAGTTACAAAATTGAAAGTAATTGTGATGCACATGTCCTCCATTATGCTAATATTTATCTCCTGTAGATCACTAAATGATGCATCCTGCCAAACAAAAGATATCACATTCAGCATTGCTTCCACCCAGAGTTCTTATAAGAACGAAATTGAGGTACAACTCTTAACAAGCCATTAGCAAATTTATTCAATTTTTAGAAAAAAATATAATGCAAAAACACACAAACATAGACAGTCTTTGATGATATATCATTGAATCATTGAGGTTCTTTTAAGGTTAGCATACTGCTGGCCAGCCAGCATATAAAGAGTAGCTAAAAGAGCAGCTAGCTAAAGTAAAAGTCTATCCTTCTATTGTCAAAGTTGGCAAACTGCATTTCTTATTAAACATTGCCTTTCAAAAGGTCTGTGATCAGTTACTCTTGCATTACTGCTTCAGTTTCTTGTAATATTAAAGATATGTTCAAATGTATCAGCCTCCACAGTTGGATTCCCTAGGCATGTCTTTTTTGCACAAACAGTGTGAGGTTTTGAGCAGCTATTCTTGTTTCAATCTTTTTTCTTTAAATTTCTTACTAATTTTCTGTTAATAAGTGCAGTTTGCTATTCATGTGCCAGGGACATAAAAACAGGCCCCAATAAGATTCAAAATCCTGATGATAAGGATTAATAAAATTATGTTATAGATCCAAACAGAAACAGATGAGGATGAGTCATTGACCAAATCCAAGCAGCTAGATGTCAATACACAGGTGATGAAAGCATCATAATGATGTACTAAGTGTTTTTTTGTTGAACAATAGTCTATCATAAATGAAACTTTGCAGATTGTACAAAAGCCATAAAAATCCGTAAAGAACATACAGTTAAAATCCAAACAATTGATGTAGTGGATGATTGCGAAGGTATCTGAGGAAATAGTTTGCAACTATGATCCTACCTTATAAGGCTTATCAAATGTTGTCTCTGAAATAATAAGAAAACTACCCATAAATGCGGAGAAAAGAAATAGGCTTGTGATATTTGCTGGATCCTAGGTTGTAAGAAGACATTTCATAGAGATCAAACAGAATTTGCTCAAGGTCATATTATTTTGGCTTTTAAATAAGCAAACATTTGAGATTTAGAATGTTAACACAACTAGGTATATATATTTCCTAACATAGAGTTTTCGATCTATGTTCTGACATTTTATACTCTAAAGAGTGTCAGATGAAAAGCGTTAGTATACTCAAATGTTTGCTTTTCTCAAAGCCATTGTTAAGTTGTATACCACCAAAAGACTGTTCAGCTAATATTTTACTCTTTTTAAATGTTAATTTTCTTTCCAGGCTCTGTCAAATTTCCTTTTGAGGGTTTATCCTGACATTTGTGAGCAGCTTATTGCAAATGAAAAGAGTCATGCATTTGATGGTAAAGGCTTCACTTTCTTCACTTCTCTAAAAATTACCTTTTTTATCATATAAGAAGTGCTCCAATAGGGTTATTGTTTGTTCCAATCTTGTAATTTTTTAAAATAACAGAATTCCAAGGCATGCTCATTTATATTTTGTTTTGCAAATGACCCTGATATTTGGAATGGTAAAGGCAAAATGCTTTAACAAATTATGCAGATAATGAAATTTTATTCAGTCAGCTAATCTTGAGAAACTTTCAGCCTTTATGGATGAAGCATCTGCTGCATATGCAGTAAAGGGAATTGTTTATTTCGTTTTTTCTATAATTGAACAATATTTTAGAGTAAAATTTTCATTCAAGAATAAATTTTAGCCCCTATCTCTTGTTTGTCTAATTTTTCTTGGGAAGACTCCACACCCAAATTAAAATATGAATTCCACCTCTTTTTTGTTTTCTTATCATTAAGAGTTGGTTACCTATGCAGAGTTTGATATTTTTTGCGAAAAGGTACACTTTTTATGTTCAGGGTATGACGTTAATTGGGAAGATGAAACAGATACAATTTCATGTTTGTACAAATTATCTCATAAAGCTGCAAGTGAGGATGTAAGTGGGAATTTAATTTCATATATACTTGAAGGTGTTTTCTATATTGAGCATTTAATAATATTCTAATATGAGCAAAGCTGTTCCTTAATGGCCATAAAATACATTCAATGGTGACTAAAGTAGATTCTTATTATACACTTTGAACTTAACAAATATGTAGATTTTTTATTTTTTCATTCAAGGACTAGCAAAAAATGAACAATGTTTGTTAGAAAGCTGCGTATCAGGCCTTGCAAGGAGAGGCGCTCAAGCTCTATCAAGCACCTCCACACATGCCTAGAAAGTTCAAGGAGCTTGAGTAATGGAGCACCTAGCATGGTTATGCTGTCTAAGAACTTAATGTGATAAACCAGATTTTGCTATTAATGATATTTGATGATGCTCAATTGAGCTTCTAGAAAGTTGAAGGTGCCCAGTTTGTCAAGCGTCTGCTTTTTGCTCCTCACAAGGCCTGCTGAGTATGATAAATTATATCCAATAAGATCAATGCAATACAAATTTTGTGATAATAATTTTAAAATCTTGACATATGACAGAAGTATATCATAACCCTTAGATGAATTATGAAGTTGTTTGTTTCAGCTGGAAGTAACAAGCGTGTCATGGAACAGTAGAGGGTCTGTAATTGCTGCAGCGTATCCTTTTATTTTATGCAAGCATTGAATTGACATTATGTCTTAAGGGCAAAGGGTATGGTCAACTTTAAGAAACTGCAAACATTTAGCTAATTTCAAGTCATCTTATAGTATGACAATGAGTCTCTTTTTTTCCCTGTCTAGGTGGACAAAATCAACCTAAGTTGAACCCTCACATTTAAGATTTAAATTAACTTTAATAATGTTAGACCATTATTTTTTGGAGTAATTTAGTTGTACATTGATTTCCTAAATTAATCAGCTAGTAATTCTTTATCATACTTTCTTAACAAAATAAGATATGGCAGGCATGATCATGAGAGTTGGTGCACTCATAAGGTAAAATGTGCCTTTTTGTATAGCTAATGTTGATAACCTTCTCTGAATCATTTGGTTTTGTAGCTTGATATGCTAAGTCAGCTGAAATCCTGCAAATTTGAAAGGCAGTCCATCTCCCATTGTTCTCAAAATCTCTTTTCATTGCCATGATATGCATGCATTGTTAGTTTGATGCACAAATAACTAATCAAAATGAATTGCTGTGAATTTTGCTTTGGTATTGAACGTCTAAGTCAGTTTTCATGATATAAAGATTAGGCAATGTTTGCCATTTTCACCCACAATAGCTAATTTCAGATGCATGCAAGCATGTTGTTGACAAGAAAGAAAATTTTTTGCCACAAAAATATTTCGAATATACTATATGCTTTATAGTTTAGATGCTTGCGTCTTTGCTATTATGAAAAAAGAGGGACCAGAGTTGCTTTTGAAACTGAGAGGAGCTATGACACTGAGAAAACTTTGACCTCTCAAGTGTTTTTCTTGGATTTTGCCTATCAACTTTCCCATTTGTATCCAGAAATATTCTAAATTTTGTTAAAATTCGTTTCAGTCACTGCTTTGCACCTGGAACATTGACATGAGAAATATTGACACTGAGAAAGGAGACAAAGCATTAGAAGTTGATGTAAGCTGCACAGTTGTTATTCAGCTTCTATATCTTCTGGAAACAATGAATAAAAATGATTTAAAGCATCACAGATCAAGCATGCCCCTGTTCGTAATGATTGCATTTTAAACGCTACAAAGACTTTGAAATACTTTTTGTACACTGCAAATGGCATTTGTACTATGAATGGCTAAATAGGCTCGATTTGTCCCTAGTAGTCATAGTTTCTTATTATTTTTTTGTCAAGTGTTTTGTGAAGTGTAAAGTGTGAAGTGTTTCTGTTAAGCAAAAACAAAGAAGAGTTTGCAAAGATGACATTTCGATTGTTATAGGAAGAAACATTCAGGAGAGACCTTCAATTATTTTAATATTCCTATGGTAATGAAAAAAACATGTTTTGATGGTTCTGTATTTCGGTTTAGAGTTGCGAGAACAGTTCTGTGTTTCTAATATTTTCGGTGATTATAGTTTGGGTAGCAGTATAACAAGTAAGAACAATATTTTAAAATACTCAGTTGAAAAGCTTTGGAAACTGTCTACAAAACTGTCGAATATCATATGTTATCTGCTTTTTGATATTCAGTATTTTCAGTTTTGCCTTGTTTTTTTTAAACTGCCTAGCGTTTTTCTTCTTGTAAATTTATTCTTTGATTTTTTCCAGGGATGTTTGATGAGCATTGCATTTCATCCTACCAACCCTCCGTTGATTGCAGGCGGCACCTTCAACGGTATTTGTTTTATATGAGATAAGTTTTAAATTATCATAAAAAATATTGTTTATTTCACGCCTGAGATCGTTAAATGATTCTGAAATTCTAAAATACGACTGTTTGGTATATATGTCAATGGCTGTCTACACCATGCTATTAAATATACAGGAAAACACCTTTCCAAGGAACAGATTTTGCCACTAAACGAGGAGGAATTTTAAGCAATCAAGGGAATTGTAAATGAGCAGTAGGCTGTGAAGCTATATTGTCACATATTTTTTCAAACAGTGTTTGATTATAGCTGGTTAGAGCGCAATGTAGTTCCTTCTTGCACGTCAAGACAGCTTCGTTATAGCTATTCGTTATCTCTTATAATGAAACATTGCCACAAGATCCTTCTTCCCTTCAATGGTTTAAAGAAAAAAGCATGGCTCTGAATTTGTAGCACGTGAGAAAGAATCTTCAGGAAAGCTAATAAAAATGTACAAGCTTCAAGTCATTCTTTTACTACCCATTTTCTGGTATGGCAGTGATACTGCACCCCCCATTCAAAAGCTTCTTGGCTCAATACTTTTTGCTGTATATGTCTGTAGTCATTGACTTAAAGTAACTTTAAGAAGTAATACCATTTGAAAAGTTTCCCGCCTTCTTGGAAGTCCTCACCTGCCATTGGCTTGTATGTTTTAGTAGATCCTGCGTTATTTTCTAGCTTTTTTAAGACACCCGATTTCCCAATTCTTTACACCCTTGTACCCCATGCCATCAGGTCAAGAATCCTGCTTCCCACTCTTCAAGACAGGTATGGTGCTGAAACTAACGTGTACCACTGAACTAATCTTTGTGCTCGGTATTGCAGGAGAAGTTGTGGTCTGGGACTTGAGTCAAGATGACGATAACGCTCTTGTGGCTTCTTCGCGACAGATTGAATTGCACCAAGAACCTGTTACAAAGGTATTTTGATGCCGAATCCTTCGTCAATTTATTAGATATCACCCTTTTATCGTAAAAGAGAACTGCATTTATTTGCGACCTGACGAAATTTGAAAACATTGTTTGAGAAGATGCTATGATTATCGTTTTAGACGTTCACTGCTTGTATTTAGATCCCTAAGCTTAAAGGCAATCTGTCACGACGTTGATTGGTTATAAGAACAAAGAGATTTTTATTGTTTCCAGTCCCCCTTTAATTTATCGCATTGTAAAAAATATGGCGGAGCGCTGGAATCATGTTTAGGCCATTGTTCCAGCTATTGTTCTCTTCAACCAATCCACAACGAGACAGATTGCCTTTAACCTGAACCTTCAAAAACTATGTGGTGCTCTCTGCTGATAATTTTGGCCTACTGTCTCTAACCCTTTTGTTGCAACCAATTTTTTTGTCACGCCGTTTTACCGATGATAGCATTCCTCTTACCAATTTTGGACAGGGTTGATATTAATTCACCATGGCCCGTTTCCAGCCATTCAAGTGAATAAAATCAGGCCCCGTGGTCTTCATTATTGATAAATCCAAAACATTGACCCGACAAATGTTAGATGAAATGTTTCGGTTGCAACTTGTTTGTCAGCGCTTGTTTGGTCATGTCCCACCCCCCCACCCCATGTCAAATAATGCCCAGCAAGACATCCAACAATGTTGGAATTTGCTGGAACAGATGTTGCACAGGTTTGACCAGGGCTTCAAGCCTAAATTCACATTGCCTTTCTTTTCATTGTAATCTGAGGCGGAAAATTTGCAAAATAATTTCAATTATTTATTAACTGGGATTTTTGGAACATTCAATGTTGTAAATACTTTAACCAGTAGCTATCGCAAACAAGCTTACTGCTATTTCTGCAGCCGGAGCCTACTCACCATGCAATAAAATTTTCAATTCCTTTGTCCTCGTATTCTTTTATAAAGGCGAAGGTTTTTTAAAGATTGAAGTAACATTGCAAGATCATTAAATCACCCGACGAAAAGTTGACAGAATTCGTTGAATAAGAAGCCTTAAATTCCTTCCTACTTTCTCATTTTTTCTAACCCAGCCTTCAGTTCAAACCCCACTTCTTCTGTTAACAGAACCCATCCCCTGATTGAAATATCACAAATCCCTTCCTGTGTTTTGATTCATCTTTTCTTGTCACCCTTGTTCCTTCATTTGGTCTCCCCTTCTTACCTATACCCAAGAGTGTGCTTTTCCTCCTACTACGTCACGCATACAAACGCGAATTCTTCATTTCTTGTTTTTGGCGGTAGTAGCTGCTTTGTACATGCACCTACCCGTTCTAATTAATGATTAGAGATTCTTATCAAATAATATATTTTTCTGCAAAAGCTTTAGCAAGAGACTTTATTCCTTCCTTTGATGTGATCAAAAATCATGATATCAGTTGGAATTATGGCTGATTTACATTTTCACGTGTCTTTTCGTTGTCTGTTATCAGCGCTTCTTCAGTTTTACGCATCTTGATTTCCTATTGATAAGCCCACACACACACGCCTTCAAGCGTTTGCGGATGGCTGAAAGATTTTACCTAATAATAAACATCTGTTTCTGCATCCCACATATGTCAGCCAGCTATATTCGCTAAGGTGTCTATAAAACAGAACACTCCCAAAAACTAGGTACCTGATGATCGCATAAAGTGTAAAACTTGATGTAGAAACATTTAAGCTGTCCTATTCTACACGACATACCGTTTTCAGCTATATTTTCTACATAACATACGTCGTCCAGCACTCTGCCTGCAACATCCTAGTTAACCTTCATAATTGCTTTGAAAAAAGCAAGCATTTTCCAACATAATTAAAGCTTTTTCGTCTGACACTCCTCAGAGTATCAAGCGTCAGATTCAAATTTTGTACCCCTAAAAAAGAGTTTCTTAAATTCTCAACGAAAATTTTGCATAACAAACAACGCACGTGACGCCTTCCCATTTCCAAATCATCAAATTGGCCTAAAGTGATTTTCCTTAGAATTTCATGATATTGATGCTTTCCTGCTTTAAATGTGATGATATTTTCTTTTTTAGCTTTAATGTCTCTTTATTTTCTACTTGTTTTTATATTTGGACTCCCTTTTGCATTCTTTGTCTAAAATTCTATATATTTAAATAAAGTGATGTAAATACAATTCGGCAGCACCCTTCTTACATTCTTGGCCTAATGAATGTACATAAATATGTATTTGTTTCTTTAGTTTTTTACATTAACATCGAATCTTTTTCTAGGTGACGTGGATGAAAGCAAAAGGACGACTAAAAAGTTGGACATATGAGGTTACTGCAATGAATTTTCTTGTTTTTTCTGCTTTGTGTTTTGATTAGTTTTATCATTTCTATTTGCGTGGCAAGAATGTCTTTGTTTTGAATAGCCTTATATGAGTAGAGTATTTTAGCATAAGAAGACCAAAGCATGATCAAATGCTATCGAATCCCATTCCGATATTTTTTGCATCTACAAGTTCTTGTTTTTCATTTAAAAGACGCCATCTATCATTTATCAATTCAAAGCTATCTTTTCCGCTGGGCGGAATATTCGCTCCCTGCTGGGATTTATTTCTGTCACTCTGTTTTCTTCAACTTTCAAGGTTGCTGCCAGCGAAGGATTTAATTCTTTTCTTATTCACTTAAATATTTCATTTTCTTTTTTCAAGCTTTCAGTTAGGTTCGTGCTGCCTAAGTTTTTAAAAGGATGACCCTTTTAGTAGGGAGTTTTTAGTCAGTATTTGATTAGAAGAGGAAGAGAATGGACTTTTTAATATTAAAAGGCCTAAGGAAGCCCAATCAACTTGAAGGGGCCAGAGGTATTCGCTTCACCGAGATGACATGATAGTGTGTTTGTGTTATCTTTGCTTTATGGATGCTTATTGTAATACTTTGTTTTGAAAATTTAACACTCAGGGACCACGCCACGAATTTCAAGGTGGAGGGGCCAAATTCCATAAATCGAAATTGAATTTAGTGCTTCAAAACAGGACCTCTCTGGAAATATTTTTGCTTACCAAAAAATGGGGGCCATTTCTCCCCCGGCTCCCCTCCGATGGCGTGGGCCCTGACACTGTTGATTTTCTTAAGCAATATTTTTTGTTCTATATCAGTATGTATTTATGTTGCCTTAATTGAGTTGAATGACAAGAGCTTATTTCTTCTCTGTTTACTGAACAATGCAGCAAGAAGCTCCTTTAGTGCTCGCAGACGTAATGTTTCCTTGTTTTACGTTAGGATTTGGATAATATTTTGATGACAGGCCCAGGCCAGGGCTTCGATAGTTTGGCTCAGCAGAGAAGTAGTAACCCTGTATACGGTGTAAGTTTTCTTATAATCCCGCTCGCCCTTTATCTACAACACATCATGCGTTTGTTGTTCAAGGCATTTACCCAACTCTTTGTTGCATTTCATCATTCACGTGGGCCATTTCGGTAGTCTTAGAGGGCAGAGTCTAGAAAGTGTTAATAGTTTTTTTAGGCCATGTTGCTCATTTTCTTGCCATATCAACTGGTTCTCTAAAGTATTCAATTACCTGACTATCGACTGTCGCGCTTTCTTGACTCTGCTCTAAGTTGATTCTGATTGACCTATTTAGCAGATAGGCAATATTCAGTTAGGAATGCTCTTGTTTTGAAGGACAAATAGCTGAGATCTCTGTGGCAAAGGGCAGTTCTTGACCTCTTGTTATGTACCCAAGCCCGCATGCACAATCAATACCCCTGTAAAGGATGGTTCACGGTGTAACTGACAGAAGAAATGAGATTTTTAGAAGCTAAGATGGTTTATTTGTGTCGTATGTGGTGGGCAGAAGTGCTATGTGGTAGATGTAGATGTGAAATTGCTGGATTTTTATTTATGTATTGTATTGTATTGCATTATATTGTATTGTATAGATTGTTTAATGTTAGTTTTTACAATAGTGAAAACACATTTATTAAGATTAACATAAAGCAATTTCAAGGAATTGCATAAGACAGGTTACTTACTGCAAAACGAGCACGCGCACTTGTCTTCAAGGAACTAAGTTTTGATCAAATTCTTGAATTGTCGAGTATTTTGTGCTGTCTTTAATGATTCTGGGGGTGAATTCTAGATTTTAGGCCCTTGAAAACCTAATGATCTGATACCATTACTGGTAGTTCTGGCTTTTGGAATGTCAAGGGGGTTTTTGAGTCGAAGGTTATGACCTGTTGTTTTGGGTACAAAATAGTCTTTCATGAAAACAGGATTAAGGTTGTTAAGTGTTTTATAAACTTCGAGCGCTAAAATCTAACTTTTTGGATATTTATGGTAGTTTCTTTTGAGTTAGCAAGTAATTCTTTGTACGAAGATGAATAGTCCGAATAGGCTAGTCTTAATGCCCTCTCGTTAATTTTCTCTAGTTTATCTTGACTTCCTTTACCACATAGCATCCATATCAACGGACACTTATTGAAGTGACATAGTATAAATGAATTCATAGTTATCTTTTTTTCTCTGTCGCCTATAAATCTTGCCAATCTTTATAAAGAATTTACTTGTTTAGCTGCTTTGTTACAGATCTTATCGATTTGAGCATCAAACTTTAAATTTTCGATCTGAATTCTGAGGAGTTCTGAGGAGTGTCAGACGAAAAAGCTTTTAGCCAAAATGTTGTAAAATGTTTGCCTTTTTCAAAGCCATTATCGAACAATTTTTTTTTTAAATTGTTTGTTTATAAACAAACGTAGGTGCGATCCTGGACATGGTTAAACATAATGAATTTTTTACATAACCTTCTTTATGTTGCCCGTGTTAATTCAAGACCCCTTCTTTCCCCAAATAAATGTTGGATTAGTAGTTCTAAATTTTTTGCTTAAAAACGTGCCTTCAAAATTGGATCAGGAGACAGTGGAAAGTTTATATGGAAAGAAAAAAGATCAAAAGTATTTTAGTCTGGGATTGTAGGCTGCTGATCAGTAAAAGACAACCAATCAAATGCAATGATTCACGTTCTGTCACTTCCTCTCGTGTTACTCTCGATCTGCACTTGAACGCCCTTGAATGTATATTTCCATTCAGTTTTTACCCATTTTCTGAAGTGTTGTAAACTAAGAAGTGCCAGGCAAAAAGTAGCGATACGCTTCGGTTTTCGCTATCTCGTGCCAACTTGAAATGATTGTATGGCAGATACCGAATTTCCATCACTTTGTACCAGTTTGTTTCTCATTTATTATGCTGTTGTTGATTCTTGGTGCCATATAATGGCACTTCTATATTTGCTTCACCTCTTTACTGGCAACGAAATAGTGACACATCTTTATTAGATCCAATGGGAAGAGCAGATATGCACGTGACAAAAGAATTCCATTCTATATCCAGTGCCCCTTCAAACCTGCTTATTTTTCATATTTCTAGAATATCATTTTACTTGAATACTACAGGTCTTAAGATTTATCGTTTATTTGTAAATTCTGTTTGCTTTATGTAATTCTGTCTTAAGAAAGTACCTAAATTTGACTATTACACTACAAAATGTCAGGTTGACACGAACAACAAACAAATCATACAACATACTTCGAATTATTTTTGCTATGATGTTCCCGCTTTTTATGCCGTTCTGAAATATAACCAAGAAAAGCCAGGCTTTTATGTCTGTTCAAGATTTATTGAAGTGTTTCTGAAAAAGAACATCTTGCATTTTTATATTTTGGATAGATCATGAGCATCAGTTCCGATGGGAAAGCATTTCTCTGGCGATACGACCAATATGGCAAGAAACTAAAGCTTGAACGAGGGTAAAATTCTTTCTTGTTTGACGTAGTACGAATCATTGTGGTATTTCATGTAGACTGATGTTTTGCATTGCAATTTTAATCTTCCTTTCCTTAAACTGAATTTGATAGAATTTTTTCACTACATTGTCAACATATAGTTTACGATTACCGCCGGTAGTCACCCACGCTTTCCTGTCTTAATTGCTTCCGTCATCTTATTTTGCAGATTTCTGGTTCTGGCTGAAAAGATCCCAAAGAGTTTGGTGCCCTCAAAAATCCGAAGTGACGCAGAAATGGGAGGTGAGATAAATATGCTTGTTGCTATAGAGTACCGAAGTGATGACGTCATGAAAATCTATTTTTTAAATTTTTGAAATTTGTTTTCATATCCTGAAAGAGTATCACGAAATACCTCTAAATCTGCAAAATCAGTTAAAGGAATTACGAAAAGGCTGAGATATGGCCACACGAACACAGAACCTTGCCTCATCAAACCTCTATAATTTGTTCTTTGTTCATAACTTTATGAACCAGGCCAGAAAAACAGTAATCCTTTAGCAAACTTTAAACCTTCCATTGGCCATATCTCGCCCTATTCTGAGCATAACTAACTGATTTTGCATTTTAAGGGGTATTTTATGCTGTTCTTTCAGATTATGTGGTCAAATTTAAGAAATTCTAAAAAACGTTTTTGATTACGTAACACTTCGGTACTCTATAGGTTCACGAGTCAAAGAGACCAGTCTTCCAGGGTATGATAAATTTCGACATTCCTCCGTAAACTCTCATCAGAAAGAAGCTCGATGGGGTACTGTCTATAAGAATCTCTTTTTTGTCTTCATCAGCGTTTCCAGCTGGACCTTGTCGATGTTCTTTCGTAAGAACTGCCCTAATTAGTCCATAAGAATATTTCTGTTCTCGCAATTAAGATTCTCTCATTCAATCGACAGACATCGACAGCCTTTCTTTTACGCAAAAGATCAAATGTATATACTTAAGAAGAATCGCGATTTTTTTTCTGTTTTGAGGGAATATGCCACTCTCAATTGTCATTTGTACAAAGCTTACGCAATACAAAGCTTTTTTCATTCCAAACCTTTTTTATTTTGTGAATTTCATGTCATTCAAAGGGAATTTTTCTCCAAATCGAGGAAAAGATGTTTTCTTACTGCGAAAAATCAGTGAAAGGTTACAAGAAGACAAAATATGATTAAATGTGTACAGACGCGAGCAACTTTATTTGTAGGTTCTCGACTAAACCTAAGAAAGCTTGCTAATAATTAAAAATAATCCATATCATTTGCTTGTGGTAGAACCTAAATGACATTTTTGAACATGTGAAGTATTTAAAAGTCCAATTCAATGACAACCTTGCTCGGGATCAGCATACGAAATTGTAATTCGGTCTTTTTCTAGGTATTTTTACTTTATTTTTATCGTGTTTCGATATTTTAAACATCATTAGATTGATTAATGTTAGATGATAATAATTTTTATACAAGGTAACCTATTTAATACACCAAGATTCTTTTATCAAGGAGGAAACTGTAGCTTTTTGCCTATTTATTTCAAATTTACTTTTATTGTATAGTTTGACGCGTCCCCTTGTAAAGCAGCCCTCTCAAGATGCTGTGACGTCATGACATACAACTCTGTGTCATCAGTTTGGTTTCTTGATACTATGTTCTCTAAAAAAATAGTTTTTGCAAGACTGCTAGTTAATTCATTGCTGTTTAATATGTCTCTCATTATTTACTGTACGAAACCGTCACATCGCACTTTCTTTTCACGTGTTTTGCTTCTTTAGTCACCTGCATGTCATTTGCCAAAGACGATCCGGACATTTTTGTTATCGGGTCAGAAGGAGGAGGCCTTTTCAAATGCTATTTGGACTCCGAGGATGTTACATCCAAAGGTGATTCACTTCATGTTTTCCAGAATTTCGTCATCAATAAAGAAACCCGGAGTTGCAGCATAGAACTTTCTTGTTGTACACGCTTAAAGTCCTTCTAGAACGAAGCTCTTTTTCCCCTGTAGCTCAATGGTTGCTTCGACAGCAGTTAAGAGGAGCTCCACTTGTGTCTGTTGGATTAAATCGTTATACCCTCAGGTTCGGCTGAAGTGGTCTTATGTCCCTAGGTCTCCAAATTAGATTGTCTTGCTAAAACTTCTAAGCGACCGCTTAGATATTTCAAGCGCTTTATTAAACAGTGGGACCGTCTTAACTGTAAATACTATACCTACAAAAACAAATAAAATCAACTTCTACTTCTATTATAAATTTATTTAAAATGGCAATTTCCTTTTTCAATCGATGTGGATTTGTTATTTATTTATAGGTATGTATTGGGCTAGACTCAAAATCAAGATAAAACATACGTTGAGGTTAAAAATGCTTCGAGTTTTTCTACCAAACTACAAAATAGTTAGCCAAATCAATTTTTTCGTAACATAAAAGCTACGTGGATTTAGTCTTTTGCTTCAAGTGTGGAAATAGTGATAGAAAATTTCATTTTTACTGAAAAAATGTTTTATATCCCTTCTTCTTTTAGGGACTGCTGGCACACGTGTCTACCTTCGTTCGCCAGTGACACTTGCATATGCACCACATATAGGACCAGTTTACAGCGTGGATTGTTCTCCTTTTCATCGTAACGTTTTCATTTCGTGCAGCATGGATACAACTGTAAACATCTTCAGTATGCTACAGGTAAGTCTCAAGTACGTCTGTTTTTTTGGAGGGGGGAGGGAGGTGTCCATTGCAAGGGGAGGTTTCCATTGAAGCAAGGCTTTCTTTGAAGGAAGGTGCTTGTTGTCGGGAGGTATCCGTTGTAGCGAAGTATTTGTTGTAGTGAGATGTCCGTTGTACGAAGATGACTACTGTATTTGTTGTAGAATGCAGTAACCGTGGTCGGAATGTACCCGTTATTTTTAGGCTACTTGTAAACTTTGGCACGTGGAAAGAAAATACTGTGCGGAATTTGTTATTTTCGTTTGGAGATGTCTGTTGTTGCGAGTTTTCGTTTTTAGCAAATGTCCACTAATGCATAGTCAATCGACAAAGCTCCTTTTTCTATTTCCTCTAGTGATGATAGTTAATGCAATGTATTTGGGTAATGCTTTGAGGTAATAATGAAATCTATGTGTGAAATGGTCTGACCGCCATTTAGAGGTGTATCTTATATTTATAAAGGTTTCACTGTAGGGACTGACTTTCGATTTGCTGGCAAAACTCGAGTAAACATCGTTTCTAAACTCCACCTAATGATTAAGTGCAAAGCTTTTATAAATGGCTCTAGTGCATCTCCTAGTAAAGTCTGCAAATCTATATTTCAGGTGAAGTTGACTTTATGAAATGAACAATGTAAAAGGAAAGTTCAAAGTTATTTGAATGCATCGATAATTGTTTGGATTGACGAGATTCATTACTGTAAAAATTTTTTACAAACATATTCGTCCAATATGATCGACATCACTGGAAGCTAGATTTTCGGTCCAGACGTTTCATGCTAGGTCGAAAGTCTTTGATCTAGAATTCTTGATAAAGCATTTTGATTATTCATAAAGTGAGGCCTCCAGTTGGCTTGGTTTTTTTGCTATGAGGAACCTCTACGTGGATCATTGCCCTAGAACATCTCATAGGATTTTCATATGCAGAAACTAGTGATTAGAATTCCAGCTTGTACGATTTCGCATTATCATTTTTGTTGCGGTTCCAGTTCATCTAAGAGCTCCCAAATCATCTAAGAGATCCCATCCAGCAAGGCTATTTTTCACGGAGCTCGCTTAAAAAACCTAATGAATGGGAAACTTTTACTTGAACTGATCTAATTTGTCATCAAACACGAGATAATTATCATCATGGTCACAGTTATATTTTATAATGTCACAATTCAGCTACTGCCCATTAATCTGGATGTTCCATGACAAAAATATTAATAACAAGATAAACAGGAAACAGGAATAGACCCTTTGAATCGCATACAAAGACAACACTTCTCCTTACGAGAAATTGTTAGGAAATGATATTTCGGTATCTATACATCAGAAGAACCTACAGTTGCTCATGGTTACAAAACAAGGAATCATTTGAATCCCTCGTTTATGATGAAAATTTTTGAGGAAAAGGCAATGCCGTATCAACTAAGAAGCTCGAGCAATTAAAACCTACCAAAAGTGAGAACCTATAGTACAGATACATGCTATAGTACAGATACACGTACAGATACAGTACCTACATGCTATAGTACAGATACAGATACTTAATACTGCCTGAGAGTAATACAAAAGAACCATCAATCGCAAATGTAAGGGGAGCTACAGTTTTTCACTGATCTTTTGAAGATTTGGTCTAGTTCCGATGACTACTGGCTGAATCTTGATAAGATCCAAAGACGGTTTTATTGACACCGAAGCTATACTTCTATTTAAAGAAGAAAGTTTTATGATATTTTTGGTTGAGATGTCTTCAAGAAAGTAACGTTTTCATCCTCATTTGTTAACGAAAAGATTTTCCAAATTAACCATTTTCAATATGTTATCTGACACAGTGCTATAGTCTGTTACAGAACTCTCTTTTTCTGCTTTTCAACGGTATTGTGAAATCTGATTTGACTTGATTATCTCCATATCTTGACTGTCCAACATCCATTTGAGCTTTTCACTTAGCAGTCCATCTCAGCTGCATTGATAGCGATTGGTCGCTTTTAGCAATTCTCTGATTTACTGATTAGGTCTCGCTGTTTTTCACACAGACAGGGGTAGACGCTCTTGCTATTGACCCTTGGTAGAATGGTGTCACCAAGTCTACTTTAGTCTTTACTAAACCTGCTTTATCTCGCTCCAATTACCTGTATTCGGGTGTCCGGTTATTCCTCAAGGAAGCAGACAGTATTCTGATTGCGGCGGCTCTTTGAAGTGCCATTACATAACATTACTTGCTCTACATTTCCACCGAATAGTTTTTAACAAAATAAAGCATCACTAGTTTGTCATAATCGAAGTAAGACATTTTGTGAATTTGTTTCTTTTTGTCTGTTGCTAGTTTTTGGCACATGTTTGCTATGTTTAAACCTGTTTGGCCGTTTGTTCATGATGCTTTACTTTTTGTCACTCGCTGCATGATAGAAGATATACGGGCAATGCGTTTTTGGTTTTCGTTGGGTATTATAAATATCTCAATAAAAAAGAAATCTAAGATAAACTCCCTAGTAAACCGTTTGCAATGTTTCAGATGTTCGCAATTGTTTCTTCGTATGAAACAGCTTTCCTAAGATAAATAGCGTTAAGTTATTCCAGTAATGTAACGCATTTAGAGTACCTGCATCCCTGTTATATCTTGCTTTTATAGGGTTATGGGTCTATGTTTTTTTGGAGGTTCGGTTGATGAAATGTAATGTCATGGAAAAACTAATTAATAGTTTGTTTTTAAAAAGGATAAGGAACAAGATTGAAATCAAGCAGAAAGTGAGTGGGCCCAGCCTAGAAGTTTTGTTATTGATAGAGGATCTTGAATTATTCATCCATCTTACAGACAACCAAGTCTGTATCTAGTTAACTCAAGTGTACATTCCCAAGTTCTAGTGTCCGTCACCAAACATTTTACTGCAGATGATATTTTTTCAGTGAACCCTACGCTAATGTTTCATGCTGCTTTGCTTAACTTTTCATTTTTTCTTGCATGAGTCGATAATGATTTCAAAGGAACAGGCAAGAGTCTTCCCAGCAGTCACTATTTGAAAATTTATGTTAGACAATTGAAGATTTTGATGCTTTGGTGCTTCATCGTTCTTGTTGCTTCACACAGACTCCATTGCTTATCCTTTGCCCCTTCTCATTCGAAGCCTTCTTTGCCTCTACTCCAAACATAGTGTGATTATGTCAAATTTATTTAAAAATATGTGCAAATGGGCGTCTCCTTGCCTACATGACCGCAATAACTTAATAAGCAGAAGGATGTTTGCTAGAAAAGGCGCTGTTGACTTCCATCTAATCGATCTAATAGAGCCTAAAACGCCAATTTGACCCTTTTGTATTGTGTTTATTCCATTAGGATCATCCAATCTGAAAGTCATGCAGGATTTTTACCGGTAATTGATGTTGAAGTTGCAGCTTTTGCTGAATTTTTTTTCAGATTTCTTTGAAGTGGGTTTTTAAACGTTTCCAGTAATGCAATTTGATTCATTGGCAGATATGGCTTTATACTAAAGACAATCGAACGGCAAATTCAATACGAACTGCACAAGCCATTATTTTTTCTGCAGATCTCACGAAGCTATTCAATTTTTGCGAGCTCAAAAACTGTCACACTAATTTTTACATTTCTTTCATGTCGGGAAGTTGAGCATTAAAAGCTACTTAGAATGGCTGGTACGATGACAAGCTACTTTGCTTTCTTTTAAGGAATTCGCTGACAGCCTCTTCTACATAATAGTCTCATTCCTGCCTTACCTAGACAACACCTTCATTCCTAACCTCTGTTGACCCTTCCTACCTAGCAACCACTAATCGATCTTTCCTTCATAACAGCCTTACGCTCAACCCTAACCTCTTCTTCAAGGCAGCATTATCTTCTCCTTTAAAGAGAGAGTCGCCATTCCACAGAATATGTCATCCATCTTCCTCTCTTTGACTACCATTTAGTTTTTCTTTGATTCTCTTTAAGCAGAAGAAAGATAGCTGCTAGGACCAGTTTTTGTCAAAGGAAATATTGCTATAGGAAAAATAATTTTTTTAGTAGTTTTTCAGCTTTTTGTGTAGGCAATTGCTTTAAGTTTATTGCATCTCACTATCCACGCTCATTCTATGAGTCTCTGCTCTTGACCAAATAACGTCATCATCTCGAAAGTGAAATCCCATGTACAGATTTCGAAACCAGTTTTTTCCTTACGCTGGTGGGTCTTACATTTAATGAAATAAAAAATTTCAGTTCATTGCTTCTGGTCCTAATAGTTTTCTGATTCAATAGAGATACCGTTTTAGAGAGTTCAAAGAAGTTTAGAATAGCTAAAAGCTAAAAATAGCATACTTGAGTACTTTTTGTCCAATACTCCTCAGTTGATAAGCCCTGGGTAATTATTTAGTAACACAAGAGGAAAAACGACGCGTTCTTGTTTTTTGTTTTGAACAACTAGCGACTCCTAACCTCTCACTTAGTTAAAGAGTCGAAGAAGGAAAAAATAACGAAATTTTCTAAACATTTTTCCAAGCCGAGTTTTTACTTGAATTGTACTATTATGCTTCTTTCGTTTCCTTTTTTTAAGTATAGCCCTAGCACTCAGAGTGCGGATCGTGGAGCACAGTTTTATCTTTGTTTTTCTCCCTTCGCGGTTGGTACTAATAGCATAAGAGGATAAGCATTGCTAGATTTCTTACCACCTCTCATTATAGTTCAACAATAAGGCAACTTAGTTACGAAAATATCCCTGTTTTGAAAGACTATTTAATTTATGTCAGTGAATGGTTGTATTGCTACTTCAAGGCATCAATATCGTTTTAATTCCATCAAACCTCATAGCCCTTCCGCTTCAACTATTTCATGAAAACAGTTTTTATCATGTCTGTATCGTTACTGGCGGTGTGTCTGTTTGTTTTGATTTGTTTCAAATTTAGAATGTTCAATTTCTTTGTACTTTACTTGCATATCCTGTAGATATTTTCCCTGTTACCCTTCTGCGTTAAAATAAGTCATGCCTCTATTTATTTCTTTTTTGCCTAATGAGTATAAACTGAAAAAAGTTTGTGTTCTCAACTCAAAAGTCTGAAATTATTTTTTATGTTGTGTCACCCTCCTTTTACTTGCTATAAAAAGAGAAATCCAAAAACAATGTAGAGTAAAAATCGTAGTTTTAATCCACTTACCTATTCATAAATTTCTGATAAATCATTCATCGCCATTTCGTTTTATGATTCAATTCTGTAATGTGGAATTTCAAAATTGAAGCACGCAAAAAATTTACCACCCTTTTTGCAAAATCAAATGTACCCAAATTATAAGGGATCTATAGAAGAAATTGTCAGTAGGACGAGCACTTTTTTAAGAATTTTTCTTTATTGATTAAAGCTATAAAGACTGATTGCTCTTTCCAAAGGAAGCAATAATTTAACAAGAAGGCTATTTTATACCATCAGCTGATTTAAAACTGTGCTTTTAAAAAATTGTGTTGTACCTCAATAACTTTTCAAAACAACTGCTAATTAATTGGCATGATTGGATTAGCAAGTTATATTGGGAAAAGTCAAGTTGATTTTAGATGCATGGAAATTTCTAGGCTGTATGGTTGATTCATTTAATCTAGTTTCCTGAACAGGAAATTATTTTTCATATCATATTTATCGGTATAATAATGAGGTTTTTCCTTACGGTTGAATGCCGATTTTAATCTGGAGTAAGTGCAATTTTATGTTTTCGACGTCTATTGGCATTTAAAGATGCGCTAGGTTACAGAAACACTGACATATTTTTTGCTATTGCATTCAATATGGTTAAAGTTATCAGAAGATCTATATTTGAAATCTAAAAGCCGCGATCCTAGGTTCGTAATTGATTAACAAGTCATTGTTTTATTGACGAATATCCATAGTTGAGCTAAAGCACGGAAATATCAATCTAAGATTGCAATCAAAGAGATACAAGCTTATAATTACGGTCATTTGATAAATATGGAATTTTCTAATCCATGAACGCAATTATTCGTTTGCAAAAGGAACTGCTGGTGTAAGAAAGAAATCAAAGATTGTAGATAATTGTAATCCATCAGAGCTGTTCTTGATTTGATTACACACGTCAACATAATGATTTAATATATATATAGATTTTAAGAGAAGCTTTTCGTTTCAAAGTATGCAAATAACCTTGATAAATCTTGAACACTAACAAAGTTGTCAGATCCTTAATTGATAAATAACCATACGATATGCTTTTGCAAGAGTTTGAACAGTATTTCTCTCGTAGAAATTCATTTCTTTTTCAATTCATGTCACATTCGTATTAAAATTGTGTTTGGGTTAGGAAGCAAACAGTTTACATGTGAAAGACATAATCTAATGAGAGAAATGTCATGACAAGTGCTATGGATTTCTAATTAGCAAAAATGTTAATGTCCATTTTATGTTCTTGCCAATTGATTAGATCTTTTTCGCTCCCACATCCCTTGTTCTCTGCCCCATAGACCAACATTTGAATCCCCATTTGGTTTGCTAGCTTCTCCGTTTCCATGAAAGCCCCTCTTTCCTTTCCAAAGCCCGATATTGCCAGGCTGGCCTTGTCGTTTTAAATGATTCCCTCGGTTCTCCTCGTCACTGTGCCTACTCGTCCTCTTGGATTTCGTTGAGCGTTTTCCCCACAATCCCAAATCCTCCGGTTGTTGTCTATTTTCAATTTCAGTGTCTGCAATTGTTCTTCTAGCGTTGGCTTTCCTTTCTTCATTATTCAATGCATTCAAAAATAGTGCTAGATCTTTCTCAGATAGAGTTGGTTTCGCACCTCTCTTTCCCCACAAGCCAGCGGTTCCATGCTGCTCCGCTTCTCTTGATATCTTCTCTGCCACTTCCCTTGCCCAGAGCTTCACATCATCCAACGCTGACCTTCTCTGCGTATCAATCGCTGTCTTTTTAAAGGAATCATATCCAGCATCGTGGTTGTTGTTCCACAGGTCTGATTCATCAATGCCAGCATCCATTCTTCCAAGAAGCAAATGTGGCCTTTTCACTTTCTGATCCTGTAAATTTCTCTTTTCGTTGTCACTAAGATCTTCAGCATTCAGTTCTTGAACAAGCCTCTTTTCGCGATGCATTGCTCTTGCATCTTCGTCCAGGTCATTTAAACTTCGTTGTACCTCGATTGACAAACTTTTGCAAATAATCAACGCAAAGCAACAAATTGCAACCAGCTGAAGCTGCATCATCATTCTGTTTGCCTGTCAACAATGAAAGAACAATCAATTTATTACCATCAGATATCAACCATTTGTCGCTAGCCCTTGCGATCGCATATAGATCGAGATCGCTCGTTCGTGCTTAAATATCAGCACAATGAGGGCACTTGTTAATAATTGATGGCTTCTTGCTGAAAATTTTCATACATTTGTGAATTTTGGGAGCTTGCCAATTAGACGCTTTGACCGGGGGTCTCAGTGTTTATCCCTGGTCAATTCACAGCGCTGCCGAAAATTCATCTTTGGTCAAACGCTACATTCTTAAAAATTGGATTAAGAGACTGAATTACATGTTGGTAGTTGGCTTTCAAAAGCGATCTGCAAGGTATTCTAAGATACACAAAGCTGTATAAACACTTTCTTTAAACAGAGCAATATAAATATCTATATAAATATATTTGTATATATATTTATAGATCTTCAAGAAAAACACTCTCATGTAAACGTTTCGACCGAAGTCTTCATCAGTAATACTTTACAAATTAAATGGAGCTAACATATACAAAATAAATACAATATAGCTATACAATAGAGTTAAAGCTGTGATGATGTTCCAATTTTATCAAATTATTAAATGTATTAATGATTGTTAATGTCCGCTCCATTTAGAAAGCAAATCTTACATTAAGCATTTGCCTTCTTGCCATCTTACTTAATCAAATTCTGCAGTCTTTATGCATAGGATTGTAATTTTCAATAGTAAGTTTATTTTTTAAAGTTTGCCTATTCTTTTAAAAACTAATTGTGTTGTATCATCACAGCTTTAACTCCATTGTTTAACTCCATTGTATTGATTTTGTATATGTTAGCTCCATTTAATTTGTAAAATATTACTGATGAAGACTTCGGTCGAAACGTTTACATGAGAGTGTTTTTCTTGAATATCTATATAATATATATTAGGCATTGACTGCGTATTGGCTTTATGTAGACCGCTCTACGCTTTTGCTAATCTGGTAACTCTTCAAAAATAGGCAAAGCCAAGCAAGTATCTTTTTTAGATCAATCTACTAGCAATTTTCTGGTGTTAAATAGAAATTTTGAAGAAGAAAATGTCGTGAATTGACGCTGTTGTCTGTTTATGTAATCTTTGTTATGAGCACTGCATTATTGCCACGAGACACTTCGTTGCAATTTGCACCAATTTGAGGAAGAAGAGAAATTTTTACTTTGCAAGCATCGAAACTGCTTAATAACTGATTTTCGTAAAGCATCAAAGAAACAGCAATAGAGAAATATGGCTGATTGGCAATTTGACTTCCTTTTGTATGTGCATGTTACATAATTGAGACAGTTGGTATTTGGGACTTTTCTCCCTAGCCCATTCTATCTTTAGCGGCTTTTGCTAGTTCAAATTTTCTACGTAAGCGTCTCTTGAAATGCGTCGACAAGAAAAAAGCCTTTTCACCTTTTACTTTTTTCCAAGTTTCTTTTTTTTTAATTTTGTTTGAAAGAAAATATTTTTTGAATGAAAGGGTGATATACAAAAGCAACTGTCTTCCTTTTTCTCAGTTTGTTAAGCTCGTCAATCGCCGTTTCAGCGTTTCAGGTAAATCTTGTGTTTGTTTATCAGGGAAAAGTGAAAAAATTTAATCAATCAAATGCTAATCAATGCAACGCTTTTATCATTCTGAAAATGATCCTAAGATTAGATTAGGATTAGAATGGTTTAGCATAAACCAAATGCAAGAAACTAGCGAAAATAAACAGGATTTGTTGAATAGATTATACAAATATAACGCTATGCTTGCAGGAAGCAATGTTGTGTCGCGATAAATGTTGATGAAATTTGTTTTGTCCCCTTCTTATGAAAAATGAAAGACTTTGCAAATAGCACAGCAAAGCTGCTGCAGAGAAGTGTTGGTTTAACAATGTCTTGTGTTTCTCACAAAGCAGGTGCTTGCCTTTTTCTGAAGCCTGCGTAACATTTTTATTCAATCATACCCAATACCCAACGCCGTTTCTTTCCAGTGTAGTAAGCAAGGATAACAAATTATTTTTAAAGGATAGGAGTTTGCTATTGATTATTTTCTTTTTAAAAACATTTCTTTAGAAAGTTCTTATTCCCTCGATAACATTTTTGTAAAATGCAATTATAAATGCCTCCGTTTTTGCTTCCTATCCTAATCAAATCACTAAAAAACATGGCCAAAGCAATTATGTGGATGATTTCTTAATAGGTCTTGATAGCTCATTGAAACACACTAACAGCTCATGCGGACTCTGTGTCATAAACTGACAAGATATATCATGTCGACCAACCAACGTTCAGTACAGTGCCGTGTTAATAGCTTTTGCCGTGTTTGGCCATGTTAAGCCGCAAACTCCGTGTTAATAGCTTTTGCCGTGTTTGGCCATGTTAAGCCGCAAACTCTCCCTGAAACCAGCTTTAAAATTCCTTGTATGACTTTTTTCAAGAATGTATTTAAGTACATATGTATTTCTGTCACATATAATTTTTCCCCCAATCATTTGTACATTTTGTTGTACAATTTGCTCTAGATTTCTAAGATCTTTTAAAATTCGCGCATAACACACATGGCATAAATATTGCGTTATTAACCAATGCATCATTTAAGTATTTAACTTAGAAATGTATCCTGTGTCAAAACACTCTGTATTCTCTCAAACGAATGTTAGAAAGAAACGTCTTTTAGAAATATTTAATGGTGTGTAGTGTTAAGATCCCAAAATAGTATTGCCAGTTCAGTGAGAGAACGGGGCTTGTTCAGATTTGATCAAATTTAACTGAAGTATAAACAAGATGAAAATTAACAACATCAAGTGTTTTCTAAGAATTATTTTTCAAAATTGGTTCTAGAGGAGGAATGTTGGAATTATAAACTATCATTATATGACATCAAAGGTTAACTCATCTCGGAAACGCCAGTGTCATTAACTTAGATTGAGGAAACTGGTGGAAAAATTCTTAGTTTAGACAAAGAAGGTTCATGAGATCACCACTGTAAGCCAGAATTTTTCGCTCTAATGGTAGCCTAGTATATAAGTAAATTGTAGCTGGATTTTCAGTATAATCAACTGGCAAAAACGAGGCTTTTCTCGATGTGCTCACTTGCCAAGCAACTAACTAGATAAACAAGGAAAATTTAGATTTTCAAATCATCATCAGCCATTATATAGCGGCTGCCGCTGCTTCACGGGCAACTTTTGTATCACATTAACAATGCCACTTGTCCTGACACAATGCTATACGATTCAACTGAGAATGTTTATGTTGGCACTATAAATTAAAAGTCAATCGATGTCCACGAAATTTAGTTCGCCTAGTAGCCAAGATTGGTATAAATAAATACGCTAGCTATTGTGTATTAAAGTTTCAAATAACGATGCTCACGTTAACAAATTCCGCGTTATTAAGATACAATAATACTTTAAATGTGACCCATACCTCCCTATTTGATGCAGTTGACAGTGATAGTCGCCTAGTCAATCTTCCGAACCACTCTCTTACTATAAACTCTCCTTCCGTTTTAAAGCCAACCACACTCTGTAAGTTATAGAGAATGAGTATCTATTAACTCGCATGCGTTAGGTGTTTTTGCTACTCTGTTAACTTGTCGTCTATGCAAAAGATGTTCGTATGCACCCACGCCTTTTGACCATCTGCCACCGTAAGAACAAAGTTCCCTTAAAGCCAATTGAAGGAAAATATGGAATTTTGCCGGTGTATGCCACTATAGTTGACCAAATGGAGTTTAGTCTTGTTAACCTAAAGAAGAGCGTCTCTGAACGCTTTTCAATAGCGCGTTGCCACGCCTAGGTATTTTTCTCAACCAATTGGCCATTAGGCAGCCCAAATGGGTTTAGTTTCTTACAGCCACTGAGCGCTTCTTCATCTTCTTTGCACGTGTTACGTGTTGTGTAATTCTCAGCCCTAACAAACATGATCGTATCAACGAGTCAGCATTCTCACGATCTTGTTAATTTTTCGAGGTTCTAAACAGAAGAGTATCGGTCAGATCTGCTTTTCTCATTTCAGCTTAAATTTCTATTGAAAAAGAAACTTTTTCACACGAATTTCTCAAAATAAATCAAAGATGAAGATATCTCCCCAAGTGAGAGTCGGTTTAAGAGATGGCTGATTGCTAGTTTTGGTATAAATAAGTTTTGTATCTTCTATGTATCATTTGTTGATTACGTAAAATATTTTATAGATAAACTTCTCCTTGAAAATATATCAGCCTTTAACTTATTCGTCTTATTAGTCGAAGCTTGGAATAAAATTATCTTATCTATTAGAAATATTCCTGCAATTCTCTAAATAAGAAAAAAAACAAAGACTACTTTTTAAATTGACAATAATTATCAAAGCACGTTTCCTAGGATCAAGAGCTATATATTGTCAAGCTGTGTGCATTTTTGAATTTTGGATCTACTGAAAATTTGTATAATGTTTTTCTTTTGTAGTTAATGTAATTTTTTGAAATGAAATAAGATATGAAAATAGGGGCATAAGTTTTCATTAAGATACCTGTAAAACATTCTGTTGCTGGCTGTGAAATAGACAGTTCCGTTCGTAATTTTGTTTGTAGAACGGGACTGTCAATCGCAGGGGCAGGTCAGAACCGTGCTGTTCTGCACACTAGAGCGTGATTTTGCAATTTCTATGTAATTTTTATATCATTTCCAGCATCTTTCAGTGATCTTAATCTTTTGATTGTCAAAATTCTCGTGAATTGCATACATCTTCGGTTCCGAAACTAAAAACCTGTAGATTCCTTTTCTATTTTTTGATATTGTTTTATCTTGTGCACCCTGTCTATTGCAAAATATGCCGTGGCGGAGTATTTTCTATTTATTGCCTGAAAACATCACAATCAGTACTAATCGTGTGGATTCTCTTCATGAAATTAGCAATAAGTACCTTTGTAAGATGTTCAGAAGTCATTATCTTCAGCAAGCGATTTTGAGTATTTTGGAAATCCATTTGAATCGCATTGGGCTCCGATGCAATCCAAAAGTAGAGGATCTAACCGTATAGAGATCTATCTCGATTGCATTTGCTAGTTATGGTATGTGCAGCAATCAGACTTAATCAGGCTGCAGTATATCAATTATTGGTTTGTATGTTTTTCGCGAAACAAATACTAATATAGCAGTTATTTAAGGACCATCAATCGAATTTCTTGTATTTTGTTTTCAAAAGAATTAAAGTTTATCGGCAGGACTCGATTTTTCATCGTCCCATTTCATTTGCAGCACCAGGCTGATTGATGTTTCACTTCTGCTCAGTTAAAGTGTATCGCAATTTGTCAACTTTTTATTTTCTGAAAATGCTACAAGAATTATCGATTCAAGCAAGAATGAATGAAAAATGAACCCCAAGACATGGAGTTTTGGGGAATGAATCACTCGGCACACCACCATTAGGTGATTCATCAAATGACATGCGAAATGACCTGACAAGAAAAGCTATAGACTTGACGGAATCGAAAGCGTTGTTCTCTACTTTCAGTTTACTTCTTGAGCAAATAAGGCAAAACCTCCATATCATAATCTGATAATGGCGAGTTGATGTTCTCTGCAGTTAGGTGAAAGGGTTGGGATCTTTTTTGTTGAATTTGCATCAAACGCTTTTTAGCAACCTTCGGCACAATGGATTTGGGAGGGAGCGGAATCTTGCTGAAATTTTAGAGGACAACGATTATGCTCTAAACTAGCTAGAGTAGATTATATCTGCATACGAAAAAAAAATTTAAAAAGCATCATTAACTTCTAAGAACTGTGCTGTAATAAACCATATGCTGTAGTTACCTTTTTTTGGAAATTGACTGTATGGAGAGAGCAGTTGCTATGTGAGTGTTCCGGTACTTTCCCTTTCCAGTATTGTCGCTCTTATAAACTGTCTGACGCCTTCCGTTTCGTTTTTTTCTGATTGATAAACCAGAGGTAATCATCGATCTTTTATACCCGCTATCGAGGTTGGGTCATCAGATACCAGCAAAACGCATGACCATTTGAAAGCATGGAATCGCGATAAAAGCTCACCAAGACCCGGATAAGAAGCGCGAAATTTTAAAGGCACCTTTTACTCTACGCTCATTATCGCTAGCAATTACGGCATGCACACTGTTTTCTACTAGATAAGACATATTTTTCTGCTTTTCATCGAAATCAAGCACGTAGGAGATTAATTATTATATTACTTAACTGTTTACTTTCCTTCCTCTGCAAGTGGAACACACAGGCAGGGATACGAAGGACAAGGAAGGATGCTTGTGCTAGAAAGTTCGCTTGCTCATTCATTCATACTTTTGGCAGTTGGAAACATCGCCTCCTGTAAATCTCTATATTCATGAACTAATTTAATCCGAAAAGCAACTGTTTTCAAACGCTTTTGTAACGAGATGCCTTTTGGCACTTCTTTGTCATTGTGAAATTTTTTTATGGGTACAGTATAGAGCTGGCGGTGGAATTGTTTGTAAGTTGGAATGCTTTTGCATATGTTGTTTCAGAGTCAAGATGGTTGGGTTATTTGAAACTTTTTACTACGTGCAACAGTTTGTCCTAGACAAAGTTCCATTGAGTTGATTTTGCAAGAATTTGTACTGTGTTTCAGATAAGTGCAAGAAAAATTACACCATAATTACTTATGCAAAATCATTTCAAAATAAGAAAGCCGTTTAGATTTCAGTATAATGATAAAATTGTTAAAAAGGTCGTTTACCAGTACAAGAAATATTAGATAAATTTTCTATTGTTTTGCCAAGGTAGAATGTGTTTAAGATGCCAAAATTCTGACAAAACAGGTTTTTGAATATGGATATTAGCAGTTTTTGACTTTTGATTTTGGTGATAATAATGATATGGGATAAAGGTTACGTCAAGAAATGGTTTTCGCAATCCGTACCAAGATTTCTGGAACTCCAATTTGCTACCTATAAAGTGTTCTAACTCATCTTGTCCAAGCTTCAGATGAAGTCGGCTTTTGAAGTTTGGTAATACAACGATTGTCATAAAGTCTCGAGATGACGCATTAACAAGAAATGCCACCCAATTCCACAGGAGACAATAAGCTTAAAAGATATTACAAATATCTCCCAGTCTGACAGAAGCCATCTTTCGCTAAATTTTCTGCCCTGAAATTTAATCTGTATTTGGGACATTGGGATTAGCTAGGTAATACTAGCCTACGGCTAGGTAATGACTTTGATTGGAGTTTGAACAACCTGCTCTTTCAATGCATTCTAGATTTACCAAAACACTGTAAAACAAATTTGACAAAATAGCAATTTCATTTATGTTGCTACAAGAAAACAAACGACTTTTTATCAAAGGAGAACTGTTTGTTGAATTTGTGCTCATTATTGGAGAAGAAATGGTATTGGTAAAACACAAACAGCTATATCAGAGGAAATGGTTCAAAAGTATTTGAAAAGAGCCACAAATTTCTTACTCCCCAAAATCTGTTTCGTTATGTTTTAGGAATACCCCAAGCCTGCGTACTACATGCCGATAGTATGAAAATGTATTAATTTATTTTCTTTTTTCACTCTAATCTCCTTTTATCTCCAATATTTTGTCACTTTAAAATATAACTTTGACGCACTAAAAAGTGTCGAATAAGCAAAGCAATGTAATGCCTACAAAAGGGAATTTCTCTATTGATCCGCCTTTGTCAACGAACCAAAATTTGGTTTATTTCCGGTGAGTCAATTTGAAAAAACTTTTTATGACTTTTACAGAGTCCAGAAGAATATTAATACTGCCGCTGGAAATATACCTAAAGTGTGGTACTTTACATTGATTTGTTTTAATTGGTCTACCTAGTGGTCCTTGTTTGTTAGACCGCTATTTTTTTCAGTATAGTTGGAAATCTGTCTGAACTTTTATTTATGATGTCAATAGTTATTTTTTTTGTTTAAATGATGAATTCTTATTTTTTCTTAATAAATGCCCTAAGATTCAGTTCAAATCCTGAAGGCACATTTGTGCTAATTGTGTGTGCTGCAAGAATACAATCTGGTTACTTTTTACGTATTTCAGGATTTCTGACATATGTCAAAAAGGGGCAGCGGGGGCAGAGGGGGCAGTGTAGAAGTTACATACTCGTGACAAGATTGTTTGTAGCTGCAAGCAGCATTGTGTCCTTGCCTCGAAAAAAATTAGTAAAAAATATAGATAGATGCTATAAATACAAAACAATGGAAAATTACTTGAGCGATTTGTTGCGTAGAGCATAAATGATCATGTCAGTATTTCGTCTTGCGACAGGTTTGCTGAATTAAAAACACATTTTGTTCAAAGAATCACGTTTCATCTCCAAAACATTAATTTTCTGTTATAATATAACTACTAACAACCCAACGAGTTTTCGTAATTTTTTGTTTATTATTATCTGTGTTTTACGAATCATTAGATAGCTGTTTTTCTATGGCTGTCTTTCGTCTTATAAATACCTTTCTCGTCTTCTTGACACGTTACTCCTTATCATGTTCAATCAAATGAATTAACCATTCAGGGATATGACCTTTGTTAATTTGTGTACCCATGTTTTGCCAGGGACTTGTCGTCCTTTTTGATTCGTCTTCATTCTTTACGATATCTCGTTTCTGCCATTTTCCTCTCTGAAGCAATTTAAGAATGTGAAGAAAAGCTTTGACATCCCATTGCTTTCTGTTAATGTTCTCCAACCACTGCTCAAGTTTGAGTGCCATCCATTTAGGCTGTGGAACTGTTGCTTCGAGCTCTTGTCGTCGCCCCCACATGCCCGGTTCACTTCGTTTTCCCCAGAGACTTATTTTGTGTGGTTTTCCCCAGCGACCAAGCCTTGCTCGCTTACCCCAAATTCCAGGCTCTGTTTCCTTTGTCGATATATCAGGCCCTGCTTCTCTGCCCCATATTCCTGGCTGCTCTTCGTTCACATCATCATCGCTTAATGCTAATTCACTGAAGGCCATTCTTTTGTTTTCACTATATCCTTCATTGCGTTGCATGCCTGTTTCTAGGTAGCTAGCTTGATGGCGCTTCGCTTTGACTTCACCAATTCGGTTCTCTTTTGTCAGCTCTCTCCTTTCCCTTGTGTCTGCTTGCGCTTCCCAGCTGAAAACCATTATTGAAACCAAGATAACACATAGAGACATCCTTGAACCAAAGGCCATTTTCGATATGACG